AGAGGCTATAGATGGTGTATTAAGCAGTTTACACTACATTAAAGATGTCCTTGGAGAGGATACTTGCCTCCTTGGAGGGGTGTACGCCTTGAGTAGGCTATTCAATCAAAAATATGTATTTAAGGGTATTTTCCACCTTAGTAGGGCCTTCTTGGCTCGATGTTCAACATGTCAGATGAACAACCCCTTGCCAACGCGAGTGCTTCCCCCTCCTTTCCCCATTAGATCTTTTCGCCCCCATTCTCATTTATATTTTTATTCCAGTTCGGTGGCACAAGTGTAGAGGGTTTGGCCACGTACGGGCCGAATGCCCGACGAGACGCGGCCCGGTTGTGCCCCACCAAGAAAAGCAAGCGGCAGATCAAGCAAAGGAAGTGATAGTGAATAACTATCATTTTCACGCCTCTCTTGACAATGTAAGATTTCACTAATAAGTTTAGTGAGTTATCTTACATTGCCAAGAGGTTTATTTTATACTTTAATATTAATAATCAATTAAATTATAAACGTACACGTGATTTATCAGTATTATAAATTTAATGTATATTGTTTTTTTTTATTTTTACATGAGCTTAATGATCTTGTTTAGGACAGCCATATTAGTACGTCAATGTGATCAGAAGACATTAAATATTTGGAAGAGAAACTTAAAACTTGTCCTTTGCTTACATAGATTTGTCTTTTGTTAAGCCCTACTAAGTGACTCTTGATGTCATGTCAAGTTCTCCATGGGTTCCACAAGTAAACAGACACCATGTTGGAATGAGAAGATAGTAGTTCATCCCAAGTCACCAAGGGCTTCTTTTGCACTCAACCCTTTAATTATTCTGTTACAATGTTTTATCTGACGGTGAATAGTACCCGTGGGCCTCTACGTTGATGTTCACTTTGCTTGTCAAGCAAAGATAAATCAATAGTTTGCCGTCAATATATGCACATGCATCTGTGTATACAGAGACTTCTGAGGAAATTTCTCATTGCCTGAAAACCGGCTAAAATTATTGACTTCACCCAAGGGTAACCTTTCATTGAATGTGGAAATTCTCGAAAAATGAGACAAATTCTGACAATTTATCTAGCAAGTAGAATATATCTTAACATGCCAAATCCAATCTTCACCCCAATTTTCCATTTTCTCAATCAACTCTAGAAACACGGAGTTAATTGTGACAATTCATCCTACAAGTAGATAATATCATAACTTTTCCATATCCAATCTTTACCCCGATTTGTTCAATTAACTTTAGAAAAATGGGGTAAAATCTGAGTATTCATCCTATAAGTGGAATACATCCTAACATGTCACATTCAATCTTTGTCCCGGTTTTTTGCTTTTATTCCAAGAATTCTGTAAAAAATGGGGTAAAATCGGACAACTCATCCTACAAGTGAAACATATCCCAACTTGTTATATGTAATCTTTACCCGCATTTCCACTGTTTTCAGAGAATTCTAAAAAAAAATTCATCTCATAAAAGAATATATTCTAACGTGCCCAATGAATTCTGAAAACGGGCTAAATTGTGTCCACTCATCTTAAAATTGAAATAAATTATAACTCGGGACATCCCTATGAAAAAAGCCACTGAAATGACGGTTAATGGCGTTAGGATTGGTGGATTAAAGCTATTGAACACTGGCACTATTGAAGACTGGAGAACTGGTCATTAGATAGGGAAGACACGAAGTACAAATCATTACCCGACCAGGTACTTGTTGCATAATCAGCAATTCATTTGAGCTATCATTAATCCTATTCATTCCGCCATTCACGTCTTGTCATGTTTTGTCGCAATATAAATACTTGTTAACAAGTGTATAATAAGTTGAAAGTCAAACAATGAGGACAGTAAATAAAGACTGCAAATAAAGCGTGAACAATAATGCATCTTTTGGTCGAAAGTCGCTTTGTTATTTACGTAGCAAGTTATTCTTCCACGTTTAGGCTGTAACAAAGACGCGATCACATGGCGCTAACGAAGGAAAGATAGGACTTCAAAGAAAATGATGTTAATAAGTGTATATTGTCCCAACTGTAATATATGCAGAAATGCTATGAAATATATAAACTCGTGAGTTTAGTTCTAGATAGGATTATTACTTTGATTGGTGTGTGTATGAATAAAAAACTTTTTGCAGAACCGAGTAGTTAACAGTACTCAGCAGAAGAGAGAGCCTGATAGGAGAGTCGGACTGTTATCAGCGTGAAGCAGGGGCAGGCGCTGGAAGGCCTTTAGCCTTCCCCGACCCACTTTTGCGCATTGAAAATTATAAATTAGATAAAGTGGCAAAAATTAGAATAAATGTTTCATAAATTCGTGAAGGATCCGTTTTCAACTAAAAAACTTTTTCAAGACGGCTTCATCCCGTAACAAATTTCCAGTTGATAGTCAAATTTGGTCACTCTATGTGCAGCTATTACATTGTTAACAGAGATTTTTAACTAAATCAGATTGACAATATAGCTTCTCATATGCATATCATTCGTTCTGGTGTTGCCACAGCAAGTTCAACTTAAAGCCCATCTATAAAGGTAAATTGGTGTTCGAGGAGGGTTATTGTTAGTCTCTTTACGACTTTGCAATTGAAATCAAAGGGCTGTAGACACCTAGTCTCGTACCCAGTCCTTCCACGGCCACGCAGTTGTAACAGTCGCATGGTAGGATCTGGGTTCGAGATTGATGGACACCATACAACTCACCATACATAAAATGGCCTGAGTATCAGACTTTCCAAGAGGGTAGGAGTTGGGGGTGAGGAAAAGAAGGAAAGGCCTTCCTCCCGCTCTCGCTCCGCCCACACCCCCTTCCATTAGATGTCTGATACTCAGACCATATGGGAAAGTGATGAGCAAAGAGGTCTCGGTATATAAACTTATAAAAAAATATATTAAAGTTCACACGGCAACCAGGTGGACAATCAGACATAGTTTGATGCTACTCTGGTTTGCAGATTTAATGAATGTAACCGAAGAAGTTACGATTCATAGACCCAACGTTTCGACACTCCTGTCTAGTGCCTTCATCAGGGGTGATCTAATCGCTGCAACAAGAGGTCCTTTTATATGATCACTAATTAGCGGCCTTTTTTCTGACGAGGTGTAAATAGGCGTCAGGAAGCAAACCGCCATCGTCACGATTTAAAGGAGCATGGGCGGAGTTAATATGCCAAGCCTCCAAACAAAGGCGCTGGTGGTAACACCGATTAGTGGTGATAATTTTAGAATTATCCCACCCAATTGTATGGTTGATAACTTCCCTTTGAAACACCTCGCAGTAAATTTTAAACAATTCAGTCCAGGTCACTGAGAAGTCAAAAAATAATTGACTCTTCAAATTATTTTCCATACATAATCCTTAGCTTCATATGGAACACAACAATAATAACAATTTCCTTCAGCAAGTCACAAAAAAACTAGAAACAGTTTTCGGAGCAACTTCAGAATACCCGGCCACTCATTTACATGTCATTGAATAAGAATAGCGTCTATTGTGTTATGCCTCGATCTTCAAAGCCTCCCGACACATGTAAGTGAGGCGGACCAAAGTTGCGTGGTATTCTGAAGTTTAGCCCAGTTTTCAGCATTGTTGCCAGAAACTACTCCCTATGTCGCCAAATGCCATCTTTTGTCACCACCGAAATCTTAAACAAAGTATTTAATTCGGTCTGTTCAATTGCCTCTCCCATTTTTAAGTTAACAAAAAAATTCCAAGTCTCAAACTACAGAGTGGTGCAACTGTGGGTTGCCTGTTATAGGAAAATAGTAAGAGTAGGTAAAAGTTAATATTAATAGAAACTATCCTCAAACTTCTAAATAGGAGTACAGAGAAACCTAACATTGTTTCACTAAGTTCTCTCATTTTGTTGTTTCGCCAATTTGTCTTATGATCTTTATGTCTTCACATCAGAGTTTTCCCTTGACATGTCTCCCTATCCACAAAGTGGCATAGAGTTGCTAGACAAGTGGACTTATCGAACGGATGTAAATCTTGTCCTTGGACAACTTGTTAGTTAAGATGCGGAAAAATGGTGAGTTACGTCAATGGTTCCACAAAACTGACTCTTACCTCAAACTAAAACTTTCCGCAGGTCTAACAAACTCCGTTTACTGATAATGACTTGAAACCGAGACAAGTGCAAATGGATTTAATTTCCCTTCACACTTCCATTGAGTTATTGAATACGGACAATTCCCGGAAGTAACATATACCTGTAAACCGGGAGCTCCCGGATCAACTCCTGTATCAAACACAGCGATTACAATTCCACGGCCATCATACTCGGGATATTTAGCCAAAATCTATCTGCTCCCGTTTCTCGCTCGGGTAAAAGCCCGTGAATTGGAAAGTCGCCGGTGTTGATGGCCGCCATCTTTAACCAAATAAAGATTACCGCTGACCCAGGGATCCTGGAGCGGAGATGATAGCCTGGGGTCGAGGGTAGATGGTGGTTTCGTTTGTAAATAAGCACAACACGTTTGTTTTTGAAAGCCCTGAAATAGGTCCCATGGGAGTACAAAATTCGATAAAAGCTTTGAATAGCGTGGTCTAAATGGCATTTTGGAGCTTTTCTGACAAGTACAGACACGATGAAAACTTTGGAACAGTACCCTACCCTAGTGACATTTTAGATTTGTTCTCTTACTATCAATTTTTACCAGGAATGGATCGCATTATGCCCGCATTTGGAGTGAATATTCAGTCCATCACAAGTTTTGCAATCTAGCCACTCCCCCAGCTCTGGTAAGGAGAAGCTAAATATTAATTTATCCTGGGAGTGAAAGGATTAAAACTTATTGCTTCCTGAATTCTCTATTTTTAAGTCTCTCAACTTAGAGACATTGTTGGTGTGGGTAGTTTCAAAGAAACTAAGTGTGAATCACAACCATACTTCAAGAATGTGGAACAGACTTATTAAAACTCCTGGAAGTAATATCTTTGTCCAGCTCAACTCTTCAACAACCAGTCTACAGACTTACTTCACAATTTTTAATACATTGTCAAGCAGACATTACAAATAATAGACTAAGAATGAAGTTTTGTCCATTATGTCTCACTTTGTAGTCACTTCTGATGCCATGTACATACTGGCAATATGTACTCTCATCCACAGTGAATACATTGTGAAAGAAAAGACTTGATTCCTATTCAGCACTTCCAGTTGAAACATTTCTTGAGAGAGATTATCCTGCAGTTTCATATGTTCAGGTTAAGCAGTTCTAATTTCAAATGTGCACAAATTTGCAAGGTTGTCAGTAACAGTTAATGTACTGGAGCAAATTCATAATAACTTAAAAATTGAGGCTTTTCTTACTCTGAACTAGGAGCTACCTGCAAAAAGTTGGAGCTGAAGTTCAGAACAAATTGCAAGTATTATCATTATATCAACAAGTGATGAATAGCAATTACCAAGGTAGACCATGTAATAAAATTTTTTAATCTTAATAAATTTTTGGCTCGGCAGACCAATAATTATTTCTCATCATAAAAAGATTTCTCAAGAGATACAATAATTGTAAGATATATAAGTCTCTTTTCTCCCTTAAAAAACTCACTCTAAGTACTCTTCAAAAATTTCAATTCCCTTACATCAATTACATGGAAACTACCTTTTTTCTTCAGAATCACCTAAAAAAGCTACATCTTTGCCAATATTTTCCCTAAACTTACAAGATTTTTCCTATTTTACCTTACACTCGACAAGAATCTCTTCCATCTTATCATATTCTGACAGTCCAATCTGGGCAAATATTTTTTCATTGCACACTTGAGAAGTAAGAATGTCCTTAAGGTCTTAGAGACAATTGTTCCCATTTAAACAAAACTCATAGCTATAATCTAATCACTAAAAAGCTGATTTATACAATATCTATTCTCTATATGCTTCAGAAAGTTTAACTTTACCACATCAATTACATGGAAACTACATCTTTTTATAAAATTTTCATCTTTGACAATATTTACCTAAAACTCATGAGATCATTCCTATTTAATCTATGAATGTTATAATGTAAATGCTTAAAAATGTTATATTCATTCAATAAACTACAAATCTAAGAGATCATTTCTATTTTGTCTACAAATGTTGCTATGTAAATGCTTAAAACAATGTTATTCATTTAATAAACTAGAAATCTGAAAGATCATTCCTATTTTATCTACATATGTTGTAATGTAAATATTTTTTAAAAAAATATTATTTTACATCGATAAACTACAAATCTTACCAAAATTCTCTGACTTAGAAAGGGAAAATAGATTATTAGAACCTTCAATGCATTTCTTTAATTAGCCTGTGATCAGGTCATTTGGTTTTAACAGTATTATCCACTGAGTTGATGACATAAATAATTTATGGCCAAGGTAAAAAGTTTCCAAGCAAAAGATTCCTCATTCGTTCTGACAAAGGGCTAATGCTTGAAACGTCAGCTTTATCCTCTTTACTGTGGCCAATTTAAATTATCAACTCAGGTGATAATGCTAAACTACCCTATTATACTCTCCCAACAGTACAGCACCACAGTTTCTTTAGGAAATTACCCCCTTTATTCATCTATCTTGTTTTAAATAACCCAGCTTTAGGATGACTTCAGTGCTCTCCACATATAAGAGTTGTCTTCCAACTTCATCTAGTAGTATACAACATTTGAACAATTTTTGTGGCAGTCTGCAATGCTGATCCAGCTTTCTGTGGCATTATCAAATTTAGTATTAGTCTTATAATGGCTGAAACTACATGAATGTCCATAATTGAGTGTCATTATTGCACTGCTTTATTTATCTAAAAAGTTGATGCAAAGTCAATCAATATTTAAAACCCATTAAATCATATGACAAAAATAGCCAGGCAGACTAAACCTTTTCTGAACCAAAAATCAGAAGGAGTGATGGAGTGTCTCTCAAAAGCCAGCATGTACATTCCATATTTGTCTTTGCAGCAGGTGCATCCATGTCACAGAAAAATGAATCCATAGACCACTGCCAAAATAAAATTGAGAAACAATACTTATTTCTGGTTAAGAATATATGAAAGTCATATATTTAATAAATACTTATTTCTGCATATCATCCATGGATACACCCTATAGGACACCAATGGCCTTGTGCCATCCATGTCCCTCACAGCCATCATAAAAACCAGGCTGCAATTCTAAACTAACCATTTGTACCAAATTTTAATGACACCACTGAGGGAGATGCATACTTTTAAGCCTGAAACCCCACAATTGCAAGTTTACTAATGCCCATTTATCTCTAAAACCTGGTGACTTGGATATTCAAGGCTTTTAATTCTTACCATCAATACAATCAACTCATTGAAATCATTTGACATATGTAAACTACTTTTGGTCTGGATAATGTTAATTGTATGCAGCAAAGTTTGATGTTCTAAACAGAGATTAATACTTCTACTTCACCCCTTGTGTGCAATTTTGTTTGATTGTAAGAATTTTAAAGTATCACTGAAGAGTTACAAGGGGTAAAACTACTTTCACAGCTCCTGCTTCATAAGAGCTCTCTTAAGAGCTCTCATAAGAGCTCTCAACTCCAACCTTTACTAGACAATATTTCCCTTTGGTAATTATCAGATAACCACACATACCTCTCAAGAATGTTTTGTAGCTTGGAACTCTTGTAGTGCATTCAATACACTTTCATGGCAAGTTTGATCTTTGGTGGACGTCTCAATCTCTTTTTTCAGGTTTCTGCAATCTTGTGTGTATTTTCTAGGGTTGATTTCCCTTCTTCTTTGGTCATACATTTTGTATTCAATCCAAGCAACTACAGATGTTATGTCATCATCTTTGAATGACTCATCCCTATCACTGCTGCCAGGCCGGTATCTCAAATTCTGCTTCACTGGTTCTTCAAGTAGCTTTATTCCATTGTTCCGTATTGAGTCCTTTATATTAGGATCTCTAGGCTCAAGAAGATCACAACCAGGGACCTTTACTGGACGTTTCTCCATGTTTTTTGAGATCTTTTTGTAAAGATGGTCAGCCTCTTCCTTTCGCAAAAGTTTGGCTGGTGAGCACTTGATGTCGTCTGGATCAACATCATCATTGTCATCTTCAATGGATCGTTTGAAGGGGGATTCGTACTCTGGAGGGCCACTTTCATACTGGGTTTCTCTGCCTCTTTTTGAAAAGGGGTCATTGAAGAAAGAATGCACCTGCAATCTATACTCAGATTTTAGTCCCTCTGAGCTCTGGATTGATGTCTCCTGTCTGCCATGTTTGATCTCCTGTTCAGTTATCCCCTCTTCTGATCTTAATGCATTGCAACCATGTATAGTTGTTATAACAACTAGGTAACAGAAACATCTAGACACTGCTGTGTATAAAAGTTCCTTAACCTTCTTCACTGACCAATTAATGTCTTGGAAAAAAGGTGGGTTGTAAAGAACAACTACCTTTGATTCCAAACCCTTGAAGCGCCAGATGCTTTCAACCACTACCTTGTTTACATGCAAATCATATCCAAACAGGTCTGCTGCATTTTGAGTCTCAATTCCCATTTTATTGAGTTCTGAGCTGATACCCTCTTGAATCTCAACATTTTGCGTCAGAATGCAGATGTCCTTGCCAACAACTTTGTTTCTGCGGAGCTCTTTTATATGCTTTGCAATGCATGCTGCACCAGCATCCTCTGTGACCTTCCTGCTTTTTAGCGAGTTGTCCCATGTAATTTCTGGTCCACGTACATTGTGCCCTAATGCAATAGGTTCTGCATTTGAATTTTCGGCCCTGAAGTACTTCTTTGACTGATCAAAGATGCTTCCAGTGCTTCTGAAAACTTTGGTGAGCTTGGCACTTTTCCTTATTGATTTCCAGTGCTGCTTGTACTGCTCTTCAGAAAGTCTCAGATACTGATTAGTATCATACAAGAACCATAAGTGTTTTGGTTCATCAAATGAGAAATCATCCTCATCCTTAAGCAACCTCTCAAAAAGGGTTTGCCATCTGTTACCATAAAGGTCCTGGCATTCATCAACAAATACATGATCATACTGTTGAGCAAATGCAGATCTTTGCTCTACAACTTCCAATGCTTGGGAAACATGGTTTTCTTTCTCTTGATCAGAGTCACCAGATCTGGGCCCAGTTACATCAAAGAGAAGTGACTCAAAAGTTTTCACTTCAACTACTTCCTCTAACTCTCCAGATTCCAGAAAGCTGAACAACTTATCTTTAAACACTCTGGCAAACATCATGGACAAGGGTTTGTTGTAACAGGCCACAAGTATTTTTTCTTCTGACCCCTTCAAGAGCGCTTTCTTAGCAAGCATTAGTACTTTTTTCATCAGTAGCCAAGTCTTTCCACTACCAGCTGGGCCTGTTATCCATTTCTTTGGCTCTGAATCCAAAACTACTGATAACTGCTGTTTTGTGCACATCTCTAACTTCACTTTATCATCATCAATAGACTTGCTGAGGGTGTCAAGAATGCTGTGTGACATTCCAACAAAGCTGAAATTATGGGGGAGTTTAAATTAGCAATCTCTTTTGTCCTTACAAAAAATACCTTTCTCCAAATAACTTATACCAATTCAAGACTACAAATTAACTTTTTGGGAAAACGTCAGTCAAAATAACGACTTCAACTTGGTTGAGGACAAAATTCTTGTGAAAAAGGAGCCCCATGAAGAAATGAAGTAAGGGGGAGGAAAAAAGCTTCCTGCTGCAAAAGTGCTTTTTTAGTAAGTCCAACCCCTTCAACAGGCAGGTGTCCAATTATTTGCTATAAACTACAGGGCTCTAAGCTCATTTTTTCAAAAAAGCACATCCTTCAATTGCAAAATGGTCACCAGAAAAAAAAGTTTGATCACCCCCTTTCCCCCCCCCAAAAAAAAATAAGACAACAACAACAAAATCAAAGGAAGGATATTTCATGCTGCACAAGATTAATTTTTAGTTAGCCAAACAACACAATTTCTATACTCACTTGCCAATTAACAAGAAAAATTGTAGTTAAGGTGAAGTGAACAAGAGTGAAGAGACTGATGTCCTGGTAACAGAAACAATTTACTATAAAGTGCTCAGACCAGGTAACAACTCATGTTTAGTGAGTTTTCAGTCTGTTGCTCAGCTGAGAAACATATCTCATTTGAAGTGAGCTAAAATATTGGTATTGAAACCTTCCATATTAAAATAACATCTTGAATCACTTGAGAGTTAGTCACTAAAGATCTTAAAGCAAAGATTATGGTTAGACAAATATACTGCAATCAAACAGATATAAAATGAAATCAAGTCTACATGATCACGGCTGATTTTAGGTTTATGCATATCTAAGAGTTTTTTTCTGGAACAGCAAAAGAGAGAGAATAAGAAAGACAGAAAATACAGGAATTGTTTCTTTGACAATTCATATCTAAGATCCATATTTTTTTCAAGGTTTTCTCTTTTTTTTTCAATTACCAAGAATACACATTATTTTTTGCATTTTCTGGTTAATAGCTAAATTTAAATTTGAAATAATCAACCTTAGTGCCTAACCAGTCCTCATTGACCATTTAGTGTCAATGAGGACACATTTAGCCCTTGGCCAAAATGACCATGTTTCAAAGCTGTGACACTGGAAACTGTTAAGACAGGTCTGCAGCTATGATGGAGAAAAACTCGCTCTTTTTCCATTTGACCAGCCTGACAGCAATAGCCTCTGGCTTTGCAATCTCCGAAAGGAATAACTTGCAGTAAATATGCCTGATGTCTTCTTAGCAAAAAATCATAGTGCCTTGTGAAACAACTAATTCCTTCCATGCTGCCATCAAAAGTTAGCTTTGGTTTGCTAAGGGAATTACTCTACAGCAACAAATCTCTAGAGCACTGACCAAGAGGAACGTTTGCCACTCATTGTGCAAAGGAATAATATGTTATTACAACAGAAAAAAACATAGCCACTATTCTTTACATTGATTTTGCCACAGGACTGAGATAATTAAATTGGATTTAAAAAGAAAGGTAAAAAACTTCAAGATGCTAAAAGAAAACACAGCAATTAACCCATTTGTAAAGTGCATGACATTCTAGCTTGTAACTCACCGCTTGACCAGATGCTCAAACAATGTTTGATCAAACTTAGTGTCCCCCTTAACCTCAGCAACCTTAGTCTTCCACCAAGCAGAGAATGCACCCACATCTTTACAGTCCTCTTTAAAGACACCATTGGGAGGTTTTGAACTTTTTGGACTTGGACAGTTGGGCATAACTACAAACCCTGGATATTTGTATAACACAAAATTCATGTCTTTAGTACGACTGCTTGGAAGATTCTCATTAATGAATGCCTTTAGAGCCTTCTTGTCTTTCTCTAGTTGTTCCTCTGCTTCACGAAATCTCTTTTTTGTTTTTACAGCTGCCTTCACCTGGAAAACAAAAATGGTAGGAGCTTAAAATTTCTTTACATTGACAGGAGGCTTTTTACAGCAAAGTTAACATGACACATGACAATCACCCAAGATAACAACTAGGATTTTAATTCACTTTGTTCAAAACATCTCTTAATGTTTGATTCCAGGATTAGAAAGATAAAGATGAGAGCTCATGTATGATGTTCACTAATGTTCTTCAAAACACCTGTAGGTACCCCTAAAAGGAAAAATATTCTATAATTGAACTTTCATAGAATAACCTTCAGTACCAGTTGTTTAATCAACCAAGTATTCTTCTAATTAGCCAGAATAATTAGGGACATGCCATAATTTGAAACTTATTTTTCTAATTTCTGCTAATATGTTTCCTTCCACAACTTTAAAGGCCACTGATCATGGGGTGAACCTTCATGTACAGGGCGTGAAATTAACTTTTTTTTCTGGTAGCCACTTGGCTCCTAAATTCTTCAAAGTGGTAGCCAATTCAAAAAAAGTTGGTCGCCATTTTCAAAGACAAACAAAATCTTTCTTTACGCTGTCAGCGTTCTAGGTAGACCCTCCAAAATTAAGTTAGGGAAAAGATCTTTAATGTACTACAAAGTGGACACTAGGATGGATGATATACAACATTCAGGCTCATCTAAATCCAAGATGGCGTCTAGTTATTGATCAAGAAGCACGTGCTACGTTTTAGAAACAAACTTAATGAGGAAGTTTGCCGAGGATTTATCTTTGCAAATCGTTTTAATACACTATATCTTGGTAAGGTTATGATGAAACGTTCTAGTCGCCAATTTGGCGACTAACTTTTAGGATTTGGTCACCAAAGTGAAAAATTCAGTCGCATTGGTGCCTGTATTTGGCGCAATTTCATGCCCTGAATGTAACAGGTTCTCAAGAGTGGGTAAAGAAATGTCAAGAGTTTGCTACATGTAGGTGGATGTACTAGCTGAACTTTGCAACTAAAGCAGCCACAAAAGAACACTTACCAGAATTATCAATAGACTAAAATAAATAGACTAAATAAAAATAGAAAATCAGAGACTCTATATGGCTTCTTCTACAGTGCTGCTCACATATATGTTAACCAAAAAACACAAATTAAAAGTGCCAAAAATTGCATGCAATTGCAAATAAAAAAAATCGTGTGCATCAAAAAATTGCATGTGTGCACACAACTTCAAGACATCAGCCTCATTAGTATGTATGAGGTGGTCTTTTTGTTTTTCTATTGTTGGCAGTTTACTGTTTTAAAGAATGGGCTACAATTCAATAGCACTAAACTACCAACGACAAGCAAACTTGTTCATTAAAATCACCATTTAAACTGACCTTCACAAAATGCTATTACCAATGCGACTTCAAAAGGAATTCACTCATCAAAATAGCTTTTTATCACTTCATATATAGAAACATCAGTTGCAATGGTTTGGGAATTTGTTCAAAATAAATTTATTCTTAGTGTATTGTAATTTGGTAGAATCAGCTAAGGCACCCATTTGTAATCAGTTGTCACATTCTGAATGCAAACCCACCCACGAATGCTTATTTCATAGCTTTTGTCATTGGTGAACATGCTGTTCTCAAAAACTGGCTCATTCATCTCACCAGTTGTACAAAAACTAATAAGTGCTACTCGCTTATTTTAATGGTGTTGTGTTACAGTATGATTACCTGTCATGACTATGTCTTGCTCTGACTCGTATGCAGAATTTTTCATGAGAAACCAGATTCGCTTTTTGTTTCGATATTTGTTGAATCATCAATCAATGTTCACCAAATTGCTCGAAAAAATGGAACAGAAAAATTAACTGCAGGATACATGTAGTTCCAGTTTGTTTAAAACTTGCCAGCACATGCAATGAAACTGTTGATGAAACACTGAAGCAGGTGCTGATTGCAATGAACAGAACACCATTCACATTCTTAAAAACTATATTTTCATTCAGATGATTCTAGGAAGAAAAGTTTTGATTTCAATCTTGTGTTGGTGGATACCACTGTGAAATTATGTTAAGGTTGCTATCATCTTTGGTAGTGTTGTGGCAAGAACTGAAAAGACTATTTCTTCAGATCTACATAATTTGCTGATTTATGCAGTAAAATGATCTGCTCAAGGAAAAATTTTTCCACCAAGTTTCAAGATGCACCAATTACACCTGTTAAGATACTTCTGCTAAGAGAGCTATTTTCTTTAATCATGTGCAATCCTAAAATGATTCTGATATGTTTATTGTCTTCTGCTGTCTTCACAGTGTCACTGAAAACTCAATGCACTGGTGGCTATGAGCCAGAACTCACTAAAGGAGAGAACTCTATTGTGTGACAATTGCAAACAGTAAACTACTTAGATACTCCAATAACAACAATAAGTAGGATTAAGAAAAAGGTTGAAAATTGGGTCAAGATTGGAATTCTATTGTTACACTCACTCACTTACTCACTCATCTCAACAACATATGTGGCTTTACCTCCTATAGGAAGTAGTAGCCACAATAATGACTGTAAATACTAGGGGCAACTATGAAGGACAATTTTCATGTTTGCAAGCCAATCTTATGATCAATCAAATACATAATTTATATTTGTTATCTCCAGTAATACTTTTTGTTTACCTGGAAAAATATTATTCCATGTTGGCGATGAATAATAACAAAATCGTGCTCTCCAGCCACCCACTTCTTTTCTTCCTTGTTGGATACCTTATTCCATTCAGAAATCATCTCTACAAATTTATAAGAGTGAACCACAAACATTGGTTCTGGTTCTGAACGACTCTCTCCAAACTCTTGCAATAGATCATAAAACTTCTTTTCTGTTTCCTCTCCATTATCTGGTTTACGTTTTCTATACAAGAACTCACCAGGGACCATATGAGTCCCTGAGAGCTCTTTCCAGTCTGCATACTCTTTATCCAGAAAGTGTTTCACCCCTTCATCCCAGCTTTCCTCTCTTTCATCATTCAAGGTCTCTAGGCAGGCAGTACTAAAAATGGGTGCATCCAGCATTTTGTCAGATAATTTCTGTCAAATATAACAAAGGATAACTAATGAAAAGACTAGACAGTGGCCTGTTAGCAAACGTGCTTAAACTACAGATCAGTCGGTCCGAGTTACACCCTTTGGTCCAACTAGTATGTAAGGGTGTGTTTTGGGTAAAGTAAAATTAAGGCAAAGCCTCTCACGAGCAAAGTATGCGGCGAGGTCTTACACTGGTTTCAATAACATGAAAAAAGTATGACTACCCATGATGTCAGTTCATCGCTAGTTACTTGCAAAGATTTTGTCAGGTTTTCCAGGAAGTTTTCTAGCAACTGTTGCTACCTCTGGGTAAAGAGAGGCACTATAAAAGTAAAGTGTCTTGCCGAAGAACGCAAAACAATAATCCCATGTATCAGGTTAACACCTAGGTGGCGTAGATTTTAAGAAATAATCTGTGCAGAAGAAAATTTTTGTTCTAAACATTGTATCGAAGTTAAATTTCCCGCCAGATATCTTAAGTTAGCAATCTAAACTACAGTGATCAATGTTAATCGAACGCCATATGGTTTAGTTCGGTAAATCCGTTAGACTGCCTTCACGGCTCGAATTTCGAGCATAATAGACACTCCCCAATATTTCCCGTGCATTCATCAAAATTTAACAAGCTTCAAGGAGTTTTCTGCGTTATTTTCATTCTACTTAATTCTTTTTAAGTCCGTTTAAACTCCACAAAGAGTATTTGCTTGCGAAATGAAACCACACTCGAGAAAACTCGAAAAATAGAGCTTCGCGCGATCGGATCAGTTTCGATTTCATTCACCGTTCGAATCTGTCTATCTGTTATTCAGTCGACATTTGATTCCTACTCAATCGATCTTTCGCGGAATAAAAGATAAATTAGATATTACTCACTGCTTCAAGAAGTTCGCTCTCCAAGAAAGCAAAGTAAGAGCAATTTTCGCCAAGAGCGTCAAAGATTCATCTCCCATGATGTGGTCCAAAACGAACTCGAAGATGAGGCGGATTATTTGGCGCGCACACTGCGCGCACAAATATTACACTTAATCCCAGGCTTTTCAGTCCACTGGAGACGAGGCTGAAACTGTATCATTCCCAGTCTTCCCACGATCACAAAATAACTGTTCGTTCACTACTCCACTGAAATGACGATTAATGGCGTTAGGATCGGCGGGTTAAAGCTATTGAGTTCCTGAGGACTGGAAAACTGGTCACTGGATAGGGAAGACGCGAAGTACAATTAATTACCCAACCAGGTACTCAGCAGAAGGAGAGCCCGATAGAAGAGTTGGACTGTAATCAGCGTGAAGCTCCAGGGGCTGTGCAGGAAGAGGGACTGGAAGGCCTTTAGCCCCCCCACCACTTCCACACATTGAAGATTAAAAATTAGATAAAGTGGCAAAAATTACAATAAATTTTTCATAAATTCGTAAATGATCCGTTTTCAACTAAAAAACTTTTCCAAGACAGCTTAATCAAATAACAAATTTCCAGTTGATTATCGTATTTGGTCACTCAAGATGCAGTGATGACGTTGTTTTAGTCTGTTTTAGTCTGTTTACGACGTTGCAATCGAAATCAAAGGGTTGTAGACACCTAGTCTCGTACCCAGTCCTTCCACGGCCACGCGGTTGTAACAGTTGCACGGAAAGATTTGGGTTCGAGATTGATAGACACCATACATAAAATGGCCTGAGTATCAGACTTACTAAGGGGGTGGGAGATGGGGGAGGGAAAAAGAAGGAAAGGCCTTCCTCCCGCTCTCGCTCCGCCCACGCACCCTTCTTATGGAAGGTCTGATACTCAGGCCATATTGGAATGTAATGAGCAAAGTAGTCTCAGTATATAAACTTAAAAAATATATATCGGGACATACGGGATCGAGCCCTCTTCTGGTACTTTAAGATTCTCCTTCAGTTTTCTGACTGACCTTTCTTCGTAGACCTGTGCTGAATTCTCACCGACCACTTCAGTAAGGGAAGTCCGCTTCGCTTCTTCTGTTATGGATACATCCTTCAATTGAACGAAAGTGAGATTCCCTTCGCCAACTGTCTCAATGGCTAAATGGATCAACTACAGAAAGAACAACAAATGGTACAGATTTCCCGGAATCTACGGTAGCGAGACAAACTAATGAGGCTAATGACTGTATCCCAATTATTGCTTTCTGTTATTTCGAAATTGAAAAATACAGTATCGTTCCGTTTCGAGGTGCCTCTGCCCTTAAGATCGAACAGACAGAGCACTTTAGGCAGAATTGACCCTTTCACTCCCAAGATCTCATTGGTAATTCTCGTTACTGTCTGCCTTACAACTGTCATGATGTTAGTTTTGAGAATTTGGTATTGAATCAACTGATGATTCCCTCATTCATATTTTCCTTTGTCCTCGTCACTTTTCTGTTTGGTATTGTATTGATATTGCAAACTGTAGGCAAGTCGGAGAACTATCTTAAGCACAACGCAGACGCCACGCGACAAAGAATCGACCTGTGCTGATTCTTGATATTCGATGCTCCCGATCTACTTCCTTTGACAAATGCCTTGCCAAAAAGGTCTTAAACTCATTACAGACTTCCTGAGGGTGCTGTAAGTCCCACCCTTAAGTATGAAGGTACCCTTGCGCCTACATCAATATTGCTACCGATTCTAGGTCAAGATGGCATCCTTGAGTTTACATTTCAAGCCAACTTGGACAATCGGATATTAATTGTTGTAGCACCTCTATCAGCTGTCCAGGTATAGCCGGCTGCTTTACTCACCTCGTTCTTTCCGGTTTCCTGACCGGAAGTCATACGAGTCGGACGAAGGCTACAGCGGTGGACCAGAAAAGAATCTACAATCCAACGAGCTTGTCATGATGGAATTGAGATGGGTCAATAAAAAGTTGCTTTTCCCCTGTACGGAAATCGTCTTTCCTAAAAATAACACATGAAGGTTCTTCAAGTCCTGCTCAACTGAAGACATTTTTAGATAAGTTGAAATCAATCCAAGTTCAAAGCAGTTGCGTGTGATTTGATACAGCTAGGAATATGATGAGCTGAATTACACACGCCTTTTGCCGGATTGGTTCCCATTGATAACCTATTTGGGGAAAAGACGCATAGATGACGTATCAGTAAGCAACATCTCATTTTTTTTTTTTTTAACATGAAATAAATAGATCCCAAGATGCCCTGCGTTTGTTCAGTAATAGCTCACAGATGACGTCAAAATGTGGTGAGAATACCAGTGACACACCTAGTTGCCCCTCTTGCAACTTTTTTGTTCTAATCACACTTTTCCGTCACCTCAGATCTATTTAATGAACAGTCGCATGGCAACATCAAATCTGAAATTGATCTAGCTTTTTCATGGTTTCAAAGTAAATTTGTTTATGATGAAAATAAATTTCGATTTCGTCAAAAAAGATAAACGCACTGCCACAAGGAAACGAGCCGAAAGACTTGAGGACGAACAGATTAAAGAGAGGACGGACTTGCTATATTTGGTGGGGCGAACTAGTTGAGTTAGGGGCGAACTAGTATGGGGGAAACTTGCAAGGGGTCGAAGCCTCCAAATGCTATGTTCAATAATACGATTAATGAAGAAGTAGTTGAAATTCCTATTAAAAAATTAATATAATGATACATAAAGTCGTTAACAAAAATGAGAATGCTTAAAGAAACATGTTGTTCATAATAAAAAGGGGAAGGTATGTCGAATGTCCAGTGTCAGCAGTCGCCGCGAGAAAACTTGGTGGTTGATGGCAAATCTCCGACTTTTTATGGCGCGACTGAGAGGAGAACGTCAGTCTGAGTAACCAGTTATTATTCATTGCCTTGGAGCTGGAAGGGGTTGAAAAGAAGGATTTTGGGGGATTACATGATTTTCAGGGGCAACAGAGAGGGGGTGCGTCGTCGCCAACAGAATATAAAGGTAGAGACTATGGAAAATTGACTGTTAATGAGGGGAATTAATCATCAAAATACTTCAGAGCCTTCGGGGGGAGGGATGGGGGGATGGGGGGGGGGGAAATCAGGCAAATTTCATTGCGACACAACCACAGTTTTCCGATCCTCCTCCCCAACCCAGGTAATAAATAACCGCAATGGTTGCTAGGCACCTAGAAATTTTTCTCTTTTTTTTTTTTTTTTTTTTTTTTTTTTTTTCGTGCAACAGCATATTAACACTGAGAAGATCATGAAAGTTCTGCACTCTTACACTTTGGATTAACAGCGCTCTCTACCTGTAAGAGAAAGCTCCACTGAAATCTGTAAAATCCAAGAGCTTTACAGTTTGAGAGGACTGACACGACATTAAATTACCCCCTGCTTACTTCCTGGGGCACGATTCTCATTACAAAGGCATTATTAAGTTGATGAATTTTTTGGGAGACAATGAATGTTCATTTGCAGCAGTTGACGACGAGAAAACCATCTGTCAAGACTACAGCTTAACATCTTTATTAATAGTCTAAAACACCCAGAAGCTGAGAGCAGATATGTTTTGACAAGAAGCCATTCATGAATGTAAAATTTCAAGGTCACCAGACAACTAACAGATAAAACATACTACACATTTTCGACCTTCGCTGCTTTTCCAAGTTTATCAGCCACGAGGGCAGTCCACTTCCATCCTTGCGATAATTCAGCGATCAACACTTGCTAATGGTTTTTTTTTCTATATTTTTCGAGTGCTCTTCTGTAATGTCAAAGACTTTTTGTCAGCTTTAACCATGATCTAGGTCATAATATAGTGGATAAAACGTGGCCACCTTTTCAGAATCATCTTATGACAAGAAATGATCCTTTCGAGATGAAGCAGCAGGTATTCGTGGGGGCTTCAGTCATTGTTGCTGGCTGTCGCCAACAAGTCCCGCCTGCGGCAATTTTCACCCCTGGATGAGGTAAACAAACTTCTTTGTTCATTTCACTTCTTGTCGTGTTCTTAAATTCCATTCAACTTCCCCTTGTCTCATGAGGGAAAAAAGCCAAGATCACGTCTTAATGTCGCGACGAATGTTCCGCTATGTGTTAATAGCTCTGCTTGGGTTTCTGTGGTTTTTAGCAGTCTTGATCACGCAATATTTTTATCGGCTTTTCTTTTCTTCTGGCAACATTTATAACTGTCTTTATTCACCATTATTTACCTCTGTCACCGTTACGAATTTTACATACAAAGTCGGGCGCAAAAAAAGCACCGTTTTCAGATGTTCGTTTTTTGTTTTTGTTTTTTTTTGTCAGCCGACGAAGAAATCATTTACTTATCTACTCGTCAAAAAAATAAATACCCGTATCTCTCTGTTAGACTTTCCGCACTAGTGTTTAAATATCGTATCTCTGCGCCAAGGGGGCGTATTGTGAAGGAAAATGGCCTAACGTTATCGCTTTAACTTCTCAAGTTTCTTCCTGAAAACTGAAAAAATTACCATGCAATCTGTGCGTATCTTTTGACGTTCTCTATATTGCTCTTAAATTCTAGTTTCCTTTAATACTGAAACCTCATTTCCCCTTCCGTGGTATAAAACTGCATTTAATCGAAATTTATTAATATGAAGAAAAACTAGGCAATAAATTTGTTCCTGATTAAAATATTCCGGTTTGTTGTCAACGATGTGTAAAAAAGACAAGCTTATTATCATTCGGAAACTCGCCAAATTTGACGAAACGGCGTTTCGTCAAACTGGAGACAGAAAGATCCCTAATGCGTCGACAAATTCAGAGAAAAAATAATTTCAGAGAGCAGCTTTTCGCATCGGTATGAATTCAGGTTTACTATATATCTTTTGTTTTTATTTAGGAGGCCCCTTATTTTCAGTTTCGATTTGTGTGTTTTTCTTTACGCATTGCGTTTAAAAGGACTAATACAGATCAGTCTTTCTAATAATTAAGGAAAGAAGATTATTGAAATTTAGCCGTAAGAAGAACACGTTTTAGTTAATATCCTTCTTGTGGTTGAAATCGAATACCAGTTTCGAGAAGGAATTAGAATTTTCTTTTTCCTGTTCTAAAGTGTCTCTGTAAAAAACACTATTCTTTGTATTCTTTGTGAAATGTGTTTTCAACTTGGAGCCTGATGATTTCCTGAAACTACAAACACAAGATTCATTCAAACAAAAAGGCGTTTGCGTGGAGCACATCGATTGAAAAGGAAAATTTTGGATGAAATTTCTCCTTCGAGCAATGCTCGCACATAAAAACATGATCTCCAAATTTTTATTTAAAAACCTTGTCGAAATTCTTGTCATGCTGATGTGGAAAATTACCGTCTTTTATTTCTCATCAATATTAGTGCGATTTTTGAATATTATTCGAAATGTTTTTGGAAGAATTATCTTCCCTCATGAACTTTTTAATTTTATTTTGGAAACTCCAAATTGCTGATGGCTTTGATCGGTCGTTGTAAAATAAATACGGTATTTTTCTTTGTCCCTCTTAATAATTAGCCTGTACAGTTTAGAGACGAAATGTAAGAGGGATTTATAACGATTGGCAGACCATTAAATATGAGTTTGTTACACTACTCAACAGTAAGAATAAAAGTGGCGTATTTTGAGATATTTCTTCGATACCCTTTCGAATTTTCAGCCAGTCAACATCGAAAGCCGTTCTAACACTGCGAGAACTGCTGCTCTAACTGAACGATCAAGTTATCATACATCTGGGGAGCCGTCTTTCTGTGGGTGAAAATTTGTGCATAGCATTAATTATTGAAATCGTCCATCGCATTTTCGATTGAAAAACTTAATGTTGTACTTTTGTTTTTCTTTCAAGTTGTAAATAGCTTTCAGATGTCTAGCTCGTTCCAAGAGATCTCTTATCGAGTTGGAATTTCCACATCTTGACCTCAAACAAGATTATGAACAAAGGATTAACATTAACACATTCAAAAGCATCGAACCGTTAATAAAAAAATAGGCTTCGTCCAAGGAAGAAAGGCAAAGGTCGTATAAAGGGGTTGAAGGACAGGTCTGATGGGTTCGTAATTGTCATCAAAGTGAAAGGCTCTCGGCATATTTCTTTCGTGAGGTGTGTTCAGTAAAAAAAAAAAGCCACTTGAAAGTCTTCCATTTAGCAATGTCGAGTATTTTTGTCCGGTTTAGGCGGATTCTCGAGTTACGTCGGCTGCAAAATGCACGCTAAGTTCAAGGCCTTTGGCAGAGCACGTTCGTGCCTTCGATAGGGAAAATTGAAAAATTTCGTAAAAGGTTGAAACGGACTCTGTGCCAAGTTGTCAAATAAAGAAGGGAATTTTTATGGAAATTTCGATTCTTGATTATCCATTGCGTGCGTATTGTAGAACATGAGCTTTTCGCCGTTGACAAGTCGGCGGAATATCAAAACATCGGTTATCGAAAAAGTCTGACATGCTCTTTCGTTGAATTGTCAACGGTTCGCTCGCGTTCACGCGAGGATGCCGCGATCGCGCCAATAGGTTGTAAACAAACCTTCAATAAGATTGTTTACGCCGATAGAATCGACTATTATATCGAGCTGCTTTCCGCGGTTTAAGTAGCTAATGTTTACATCTGCCATCTGCTCACATCTTCAGCGCAAGCGAATAGACATCCTGGTTTAGTTAAAAGGAAACCTGTATCAACTATCATAGTATTATTGGCTCATCTATTTACATTCCGTGTGAATGATGGAGGGCGCAGGAACAAAACAAAAAAATAATTGTGCTACCATCGCGCGCGCGAATTTCCCCTCCGATTTTCAATTTGTTTTATTAACTCATTCCTCTGTTAACATGTGAAGTTATTTCGCTTGTCGGCGGTCCTTGTTACAATATGCAGGGTATATTAAATAGCTAATATAGCTTCTGATTAGTTTTGCATTGTTATGGCTGCAGTTTCGCTTAGGGAAATTGTGTTTATTATCCATGTGGATTTTTCTCGTGGTGCTTAACGCATTTGTATCATAACGTTGAATCTTATGTTTTCTCTTCGTTTTGAATCTATTTGGTTTGCTCTTTGACAAGTCCTGTTGAGGATGAGAAAAAATATTTCGCATTGTTCTCAGAGAGCATTAAAATTGAATAGTATCTTCGTATTCTCAAAGTGTGCCGAGGTAATTTTGACGAGCAACGTATAACAATTTTTAATAAACCTCGCCGCAAAATTAAAAGACGCTTTGAGATGTATTCGTTGCAGCTGGAGGCGAAATGCTTAATGAGATAGTGGAGACTAAATAATTTGTCGTCGATAAAATTTTGCGAGCGAGAAGGAGCCCTTAGTGTTTTCGGCAAAACATAAATATTTGGCCTGCTCCAAATTCTACACCACGCCCCGAGAATTTAAGCTATTGAATTTTTCATCGGGTAACATTCTATGTTTCTAAAATTAATGCTGGTGCTTGTTCAAAACCAAAGGTTTTGTTTGTTATAAAACGGTCGAACCGGTTGCTTGGAAGAAAAACATTCACTTAGGAAGCTTTTAGTCGATCTTCGAATTTGATAACAAACTCCGCAGGGAGCGAATACAAGAAGAATGGAAAAGCATTAAGTTCTTAAATTATACTGGATTCCCTGACGAGTGTTAAAATCAAAATGAGCATGCTATATTTTGTTGTTTAGATTGTTTTCTCGCCGTTCTTTGTTTCTAGACGTGTGGTTTTTCCACTCGACGGGAGGCTTCTGTCGTATCGCTTTCCATTCAACCCGTGGCATAGTTACACGCTTTCCTTAATAAGAATTTGCCAGCTTGAATTACTTCCTTTCATTCGCAAAAGCAGAACACCTTTTTATTTCTTCAAAAACAGTTTAGAAATATTTTGCAAGAGGAAAAATGACACGATTCAAGTAACAAAGTAATGTTTATAATTTAAAACGCTCCACAATGGAAAACTGAATTGTTTTTTCGGTATTTAGAAAATTAAAAAATTCAAAATTTGGGTGTCAATTTTTTGACACGAAGTCTAATGAACAACTGCCTCGCTTGTTCTCCGTCATTGTGAATATTTTTCTCAACATAAAACCACACAGTAATTCATTCTCACATAAAGCGTGAAAGTCAATCATCTTCAACAAACGTGTAATTCGCTGTACACCGTACTAATAATCATTTTTTAATCGTGTAATATGTTTAGGTGAAATTAAATTAACTTCGCGGCCAGTGAAATGAATTTGCCAAGCGTGGTTTCTGCTTTATCGTGTTATCTGCTGACTATTTCGAACTACAGGAGGCCCTGAGAGACGATTTGCATAAACCCATCTTGTTCTCGCTTACATTTTAATGAAGTTGGTTCACAAGAAATAAACCCAATAGCTATCACCCGTTACGTTAGCATTGTTAAAAGCTACTATCCGTTACTATGAAGGCGCAGGATATTAAAGGCACAAGGGTATTAACGAAAATAAATCGCTTTTTAGCAGCGCATTTTCCTCTCGATTGAAAGCGTATTGATTCGGACGGACAATCGCCTTACACGAATTAAAAACACCATTCATGCTCCCTTTTAAAAATTAAACCTTGCAAACACATAAGACAAACAGTAAACGAAACCCGGCTGCCATGTCAAATTTCCTTTTTTCCTCTCTCTTTCGTGTGATATGTTGGCGTTTACTCAACGTAAGAAAGATTCTCCATTTCAGGTCATGAAAGGGAAAAGTGTGAGACCATTTTTCATCCAAGATATAATTATAATGATTCGATGGACACCTAGGTTCCTCGGAACAAAAGCTTTAACAGCATTTTCTGTCGTTTGCGAATTACAATTCCATTATCTGAAAAAATAGTACTACGTTTTGTTTGCTAACCGAAATAATTGGCTTTTGCATTCAAGCTCCTCCTCACTGGCAAACGCAATCAGCAAAATACGGAAAGTGGCGAAAAACATTTTGGCGTGGGATAGCCGGGTAAATTTCTCTTAGAAATACGAGCAATTTGGCCGTAGTTTTGACATATATTTGACGCTGCGAGAGTCACTGCCCCGATGGGAAATTTTAATTGGGGGGTTCCACGTAAATTAAACGTGATTCCAGCCTTTGTTAATGTTTGTTGTTTTTTGATTTTTCCATTGTTAAACTGTGTTTCTGACTCAACGTTGGCTCGGTGGATGATTGATAGGTGCTGTACATTATAAATTAATTAACATTGTTTGGTGCGTAACAATATATCAGATGATCACACCCGCGCTTCGGGGAGAGAAGAATAAGCTTGCAAACAACGTAACGGTCTTAGGCCAACGACGGACGGGCAGGCAGGCTAGCAGGTTCGCTAAGCGTGGATGCGGTTAAACGGATTCGACGAAACCGTTCTCAATCAATCGCGCGTTTTTCACTGCCCGTTAAACGTTTTGTGTCTGTGTTTGCTGCCTGGTAAATCAAGAGAAGTTTTGTCTTAGCTTGAAAGAAGTGGTTTCCGTGGTTTACAGAGGCTGATTATACGTGGGGCCAGCGCAGCTTTTAAAATGCCAAAATCATTTTTGGTGAAGAAAAAGAAACCTCGACGCGCCGAAGACGGCGAGGCTGTAGAACCCGTGGAAGCCGTTAGGAGTGAGGATACCAACACAGGTAAGACGGACAAGATTACAGCTTCTCTTAAGCCTGAAATATTGTTCATTCCTTATTCTACTTGACCCTTTGACAAACGATTTTGTTCGTTGTTTCTTCCTAACATTTCCTGTGCCACGTTCACCGTTATAAAGTGTCACAAAATTACGGGCGCAGATGTTGCTGGTCGAACGGTGCTATAACGGAACAGCCCTTTTTATTTTACTCTAACAGAAATGTCGCCTTCTCGAATCTACGTCTACAGCCACAAATTGTTGCGTTTCCGTCGAGAAGGGACTTTTTAAAGGCCCGAAGTATTTTGCTTGCGGGGTGCCCTGAAAGCAACTTTAGGAACAATGGTGATATGTTACTACAAATAGTAAACCGATGCTTATCATCAGAAATCACGGCTTTGGCAATTGGTTTCCGTTTAAGAGCTTTTTATGATCGCGGGGAAAAAGTGGGTATTTTGGCGACTTAGATTTGATTTTTTGTGAGGTTGAGTTCGTCGCGGAACTTAAGTTTTGAACGCGCGTAATGCATTCCGTTTTTCTCTCGAGGCTTACAATTGAGGTTAAATGCAACGGACATTCGATAGGGGCCGTGTTTTGCCCACAACCTATTACACGGTAATGTTTGGACGTCTGTGAGCACGTAAAAACACACGCTGCCTAGTCACGAAAAGTAATTCGAAAGCTTTCACTGATTACATTGTGTACACTGGGCGCTGAGATACAAAGCAAATGACAGCCGCGCGAGGCGCCGAATTGATTTCTGCCGCTTAGCTTGCTAAACAGCAGCCCGAATTGAAGATAAGTGTTATGGTCTCGTTGCAGAGATAATCAGGAAAAAAGAATTCAACAATGCAGATCATTGATTCATTCATATTCAAATTTTACACTGTGTAGTGATAAACGCCATTTCACAAAGGAACTAATGGATACATCAATTGACATACAATAAAGATTTTGTGTAGCGTTTAGAAAGCAGCGCGTGGCTATCCGTTAAGCAAAATTATTTTGTCGGGCGCTTTTCAAATGCAAGATTTCCCCCGGCTTGATTCGATGCCCGTTTGCGTGAATTTCTCTCGCCCTCGCCAGAATCGTTCACGAAAATTAAGCGCTGGAAATAAATCGATCCGGTCGTAACAATTATGTTTAATTTAAATTTATGTAAATTCCCATCACTTAAAATGCGAGATCTTTCAGATGCTGTCCATTTCTCGTGGTTTTTGCAAATGACGTGTAAACCGATTCTCCACTTGTCAATTTTACCCTGTTTAGACGTATTATTTCGAAAACAAAAACTCGGCCGGTCGGCACTTTTTTTGTTTGTGCTCCTACATTTCCACGCCTTTCTAAGCAGCTTTGCAGTGGTTCGAGTCGGTGTAAGACAAGGCCTTAAACACTTAACTCGAGCATTTTTAGGCGCAAAAGAACCGACATCTTAAAACGTGATCATATAGCCCGTCAGACAAGCATTTTAAAAGCACATTTGCCTTGCGAGAACGGGGCAGATGTTCCCATTTCTAATTCGTACTCTTTTGGCCGCGAACTTGACAGAAACACTACTTAACCCCTCTGCGTAAATACATTTCGATCAAAGCTTTTCTTGAGAGGAAACACACTTGAACGTGGCCGGCCAGCTTAGCTTTGAGAACATCGGTGATTAACGCACGCGCCCGGGCGGCCTCACAGCTGCGATACGAAGGTACATTGGGCGACTTTCAGTTTCGTAGGAACACATCGGTAGCCCTCAGAATTTTCACGCGGATGGCAAGAGCAGGTTTTTTGGCGCGTCAGTTTACCTTGTCTATTTTGAGGCTCTCTGTTAATAGAATTTTAATTTTCACCACGGTGTTTGTTAAGGTTCCTAGTAGGTGATGGGTTTCAGTTAATAAACCACTTTGTGATTGAGAACATAGCATGGCTTTTAATTCAATAAATTTCCCCTTTCTGCGAGGTGTCCAAATTAATGAAATTAGAGTGACTCGAGCTAGCTTTAATTGACTGGAATAAGAAGACAGCGAACCGAAAACGCCCAAGCCACCACTTCCAAGTTTGTTCAACAAAATGCAAGTTTAGAAAATTACTGTTCGAGAGCGGAAAGATTTGCTTTTTTCCTTCCTGTGTTGTCACTTCGAAACGTAATCATTGCCTTTGTCAATCGAGATAAAACAGCAAGACTACAATATGATTTTATGGATTTATTGTGTCGACAAAACTTGCGCACTCTATAAAATAAAACGCTTTGTCTTTGATGTGAGAAAACTCGACATTTCATAAAATTTCACCGGTTGTTTGTTTACCTGACCAACTTGTCTTTAAGTACCCCACACGCGCTTTGCCTTGCTCGTTAAGATTATAAAACCATTTTGTTCACTCTCGTTTCAAACGTAATTATATATATTTCCTTTTCACTTTGTCTCTGAGTATCGATAAAGGTGTAAAGATCTTCTTCCGAGTATCGGATTTTATCTCTTGAACGAACAGTCAAATGAAGATTTAAGATGTGTATCACCGAGAACTCTCGCAAGATGTACCCGGCATAAATGCAAAATCTTTGGAAGATTAAACACGTGAGCATTTTTAAGAATAAAGCTCTCTCTTAGGTATTTTTTTCTACAATAAATTGTCGAAACGTAGCTGATACAGTTTTTCTTCACTCTTAAAATTCACAAGTTTGATTCAGACTGATTTTTCAGTGGGGCTTTATCGCTACTTTCAAAGTGTCCCATTTCGTTTCCCTTCCATAAACACTTGGATCGAAACCTTTGGCGGCCTAGTCTCGAATTTCTAATTTACAATCTCTACTACAGCGGATAAGTTTCATCGGCAACCGAAGCTAGAAGTTGTAAATTTCGTTTTCAAATCCGTTACGGAAAATCGAGAAAAACTTGCTATAAACTTTCATTGTGAAAGCTCCCTCAAAAAACTTTCTGTCGATGACGCGATTTTATTTTCGCGTGTACTTAAGATCGGTTACTTGATTTAAGGACAAATTTTTTCTTGGAATTTTCTGTTTCACGCATATGGGAATAAATGTTCTTGAACTTGACTTTAAACACAGTACTTATTCAACTAACTAAAGCCCTTCTTTGAGAACCTGTTGTCACAAACGTGCAATTTTCCCCTCGACATTGCACTTAATCTTAGTGTGTACCGAACACCATCTAGAAAGTGACTTTTATGGTTTTATGTCAAGAATGAAAATTGGCTTGCGTTCTTTTAAAGAAGAGCCATATTGTTTGTAAAAAACTGGGTATCGAATGTTTTCTGTGGTTTCGACGCAGAAGTGAAGTCCGCCCTTTTGTGTTCAAACGGCTTGTTTCGAAAAGCACCTTTTTATCAGATAACATTTGATTGCAATTTACGAAACAACACCGAGACGGATCGAGAAAATTAGCTACTTTATATTTTGACAGAACATGGGGATAGAACTCTCGTGATACCGCGTTTCTTTCCAACCGCAAAATGTGATATTCCCAAAACGTGGTGTTGAAACGTGATACGATTTTGGCAGAGTTTTTTTTATCTACGTTCAGTGAAAATTTGTGTTTCGTTCTCGAGACCCGTTTTGAAATTAATTTTTTGCTTTGGTGTCAAGAAATTCGAAAGTGTTAAGTGTCGAGCGGGTTGACTAGATAAAATAATAAACGAAAAGTCGTTAGACAGTTTCTCTATTTTCCGGGTGACTGGATTGTCTTCTTTATTAACAGAACACGTGGGAAAGCTTGTTATTCGATTGTAAATCGAAATGAAATAAAAATATTTGTTCCTTCCCATTTTAGCAGGTTTTTCTGTGTGTTAAGAAAGTGCGAGAAGAAAGAAACAATTTCTAAACTCGTACAATTTTTTTAAAAATTTCTCTCACATGTAATCTTTGCAGATGCGAAGACTGATTATTAATTTTAAAACACGATTAAATTGCCCCGAGATCTGAAAAACCAAAGGTGTTGAAAAAGCTACCCGTAGATATGTATAGTTAATTTAAACTGCGAGGTTATTAAACCTGTATAGACAGCTTGTTCAATTTACAAATACTGGTATGCTTTCTTGATTTTGACATATTTTTTTTTATGCTTTCCTTAGACAACACCCTACAAAAAAGCTCTTATTTGCTTAAAGTCTTGCCTGTGTCGTGAATATTTTAAGAGCACATTTTCATTGCCCTCTTTCGTCCTCACTTTGTTTATATCTTGTGAGCTTCTGGAGCTATTTTCCCAACCCAATGATTCTTTAATAAACCAGGTTACTTCAGGGTAGGAGTAAAATTTGTCAAATTGAAACAGTGCTCTCGAACGGAGGATTTCTTTTCACGCTTGACGTAATTTAGAAAGCTTAACTATTAACTAACTGCCGTGTGGTGTTATTCATGATTCATAACTTCTAAAAACCATTTTCTTTATTGTTTGAAAACTCCCGCAGTTTTCCCTGGCGCTGAACTATAGGGAATTTCACAAACGACGAATATAGCATGTGAGGTGTTTGTTTTTTTTGTTTGTTTGTTTTTCAACTTTAGATGAAGAACTTTCCTTGGCGGATGAAATGGAGGTGGAGACAGTCGAAATACTTGACGAGGAAGGAAACGACAAAGATCACCACAAGGAAAGTTTATTGAGCAAGGACATAGAGCAAGAAATGGCGACTTCTGTTTGTAAGTTTGACGGTGAAAGAGATTCATTTGCGGTCCAACCGGTTGAAAAGAGAGACGCGAAACTGGAGCGTTCAAGCGGCTGTAACGATATTTGTTGGTGGAGTAGTATAACCTCGAGGTATGAATTACAAAATCTTCCTCCACCCCCGAAACTCATCAGCTCTGTGCCGCGAAACGGCTTTTCAAAGATGCATCATTCTCACCCAACAGAACACGAGCGTTCTGTCATTTCTTTGAATCAAAGACATCATTTTCCACTGACAGCAAACGGTTTTGGCGTCATGAACTTCCACGAGCATCGGGTCCCGTCCATAGCCGAGTCAATACCTGTTCGTGGATCCTTGGATGGGCTTCGAGAACTATCGCTGAACCTTCGGCATGTTTCGGAAGGCCGTCGTGATTCCCCGTTGTGTCCGAGTATTCCACAGCCATCACCCGCTCCGCAGTTTAACGGCAGCCATTTCTTCATCCACAGTCATCCGTTTTTAACTTCTCACCAGCAGCAAGAGTGTCTAACAAATCTGCAAAACAAGGAACAGGCGAGGAAGGGCAGCGAAAGCGAGGAGACGAAATACAAATGCGAAATTTGCAATAGTTCGTTCACTCTTCAACGCCTTCTCAATCGCCACATGAAAACTCATTCGTTCTACAAGCGTTACCATTGCCAGTTCTGTACGAAAGGTTTCAATGATACCTTTGATTTGAAGCGCCATATAAGGACACATACAGGGATAAAACCATTTAAATGCAGCCGATGTGACAAGTCTTTCACACAACGATGTTCTCTCGAGGCGCATCTAACACGCGTTCACGGCGTGGTACATAAGTTCGGCTTCCGCGAAAGACGCTCAAAACTGTTCGTTTGCGAGGACTGTGGTAGCACGTTTACGGAAAATTCCGACTTTATGAAGCATCTGCATGAGTTTCACCCCGAGACTGAGAAAATCATGAGAGCACGAAGAAACGGGGGATTCGTTCCAAAATTGAAGGGTGACTGTTAGTTAAGGTACTGTACTCAGAGATAAAAGGCACTCTTTTAGTCATAGATTACCATGAAGAAGTCGGTCTTATATCAAAAGATACATTTTGACAACAGCAGTCCTAATGAAAAGAACTATTTGGTGAAATTCCTTACATATTCTGTTTATTCTTCGAAAGCCAGTCGTCAAGGGTCTGTTTTTCTCATAACCCGAGGCTTTTTAGGAAAAAGGGATGTCGTGGATTAAAAATTCACTAGATCACAGCAATCAAAAAAAAATTTAATAAGCGGAATGAATGGTATTGCGAAGTTCTTTGATCAAAATGTTAAGCAACAGTCGTACAAAACTTTGTTCATTTGCATCAATACGAAGCGCTTTTAAGAAAACAAAATTTAATGTTTACCAGATCACAGCGATTACAAAATAATAATGGTTTGGATGACCAGAGGAAGACCAAATGGAAAATTATTACAAATATGGAATTGTATACTAGCAAAGCTCGGAGCAAGGCTGAAAAAAGTCAATTTAACTGGCCCTTTAAAGTATTGATGAAATTGTTTTCTCTCGAGAAACGTTTCCCTTCAAAATTACATGTTCTTCCTCAGAGAGCTTTTTTCAAGAAGGCTTCACTGAAATAGTGCGTGTTTGGTTTATGTCGTTTACTTTTAAGGAAAATATGTTAAATTCCGGCCTCTCAATGTTCTTATTAAGCTTTCGCCCTCGTTTGTTGTTGAATTGTGTTTTTTCTGGTAAGCTGAGTTGAAAAGGATTACCACAAGCTAGGGTTTTCTAGCACAGCTGTCTCTAATATTTTGACTAACTTTGTGACCATGTCTACCTTGGAGATGATGGAGGGAGTTGGTTATTTAGAAGCATTCAGATTATCAATAAAAATAGAGTGCCTAGTTTTCGTTTATCGAAAACATTAAAACTTCTGCTTTGTATCTAAGAATATCCTATCACAGATAGATCAGTCGTATTTAATTAGCTTTGTGCAATGTTATAAACGATATTCGTATCTGAGAAACAGATGTATAAATGTTATTCTCAACTGAAATACTACATTAGTTACACTTTTATGAATTCATAAGCATTCGTTGCGTTCATTTACCGCCCATGCAGCTCTTGTAATCATTCAAAACGTTTTTCCATTCGTTTCTTCGCTCGTGAAATTCGCCTCTTAGTTGCATAACATGTTATATAATCGAGCCACTTACATCGAAATAAATTTATATTCGTGAATTATTAAACAGAACATGCATTGAAAGGGCTGTTTTATTTTTAACAATTTTCTCTGGTGTTTTGCTCCACATTTGTAAGTACATCGTAAGATTTCTCCTTGGGCAGCCAACTCCCCGGCATAATAACTATCACTGAAGCCCTCGAGAGTGGGTGACCTAGGAGGGCTTGTGGGAGAAATGACAGTTCGGTGATTTGTGTAGGTGGTAACCGCCAGTCTCGATATCATGTCGAGGCTAGTATAGCGTCACTTTGTGCAAGAGAGATTGAACTCAAGAAATCGCTGCTAGGTGATTGCAATTAAAAGCAGTCTTTTCAAAAGTGAAGTGGGCTTCTCTAACTTAGTTGGAATCAATTGTAGGGCAAATACCATCTGCCTTTCAATGTAACGTACGTGCCCTTAATTCAATACTTCTCAGAAATTTAAAGGGGTTGTGTCATCTCGTTGTCGTGGTAACCGACTGGAATCCTTCGAACGACAGGTTTATTGCTGCATTCTGTTTCAAAGTTCGAAGGACAACCAGTCAATAATATCCCCTCGTGCACTCCGAATTCTCTGTAGAACAGCCATTTCTAACCCTCGTGCCTGGCAGTTTTGTGTGCTTTTTTTTTCGCTGCTTCGCCGCCTGTAAATTAATCAAGCGCCAAAAAACCGCCAGCGGCACAGCTGAAGCAATTTATAACGATCAAATCCAAAGAAATATGTAGCGAACTATGACACAATTCCTTGAAGTTATAGGACTCACCCAGAATAAAATCTTCTTTCAGATCAAAATAGATAACATATTAGAGAGGCAAGCTATATCCATGTTCTTTCCAAAAGATACAATTCAAATAATACTAAAAATAATGAATAAAAAAGTACGAAGTTACATTTTGTTCATATGTTGTTACTAGTAAACGATTGACCCCTAAGAGTGATTAGCATCTAATTTCTCTTTACAATATCACCCCTGAGTCAAACATTATGGTCATGAGAATAAACTAAGCTAAGCTCCTACACATAGAGGACAGAATGGAGAACATGCATACTGATCAGTATTGGAGTGTAAAGAGTAAAATGAACTGTAAGAGTTGAAATTTGTACTTTGTCGCCACGCCTGCGTGTTATAAGCGAGAGGTAAAAGTCTGTAGCATGCGCAGCATGGCCGAGGTGTCCTGACACAGACCTGAGCTTATCTTCGTCACAGCACTACATGGTAAATATACATTGTTGCAATTTCTCCAGTTATCAATGTTAGTCCAAGGCGGGTTACCCCCTGATTTTTTTCAGATTACCCAAGTCTTTTGCTGGTACTCATTTGTACTCCTGGATTAAGGAAAGCAATGTGATAGGACCGCTCTAGAACTGAACTGAATTTGAATGTTCAGCAGAACTAAAACTACTACAAATGTTGTCGTAAAATGTTCTGATGATAAATCTTTTACCAACCCACGCTAATGTGTAAACAAAATTACTTTTTTTTTTAACCCAATGTGGTCTTTACACTTATTCTTTGTTCTGAACCGGTTTCTCTTCTTTCCGCCATCTTGCAAGCTGATTCTACAACGCAAAATTGCGTTAGAAAAACACATGTCAAAATTGTTTAATCAGTTGTGAAATCTTGCCGCTGCCATTCAAACCACACCAAAATGAACGAAACGTAAATTACTTTTATTTATTATTCTTTACTTTTTGGCAAGTCTGGTGTTAGTCCAGCTATTCTTTTGATCGACTGTTGCAGAACTGGGGCAAAAATATAATGCACAGGAACCTCAATTCCCAACCCCCCCTCCCCTCCCATCTGACAAAAATCCAACGCGAAGAAGCAGACTGTGCCATTCGCAGTTTATTGAGGGCGCGGGAAATCAGACAATAAGGCCGTAATGAGATGTTGCGATTATTCTTTGTTCGAATCAGGTCTTGGAAAACATTATTTATCAAAAAATGTGTAAGGCTATTGTGCATGCAAATCTCCTGCTAAAACTTAATCAAATTAGAATTATTGCTTTTCCCGATAAGAGGCCAAGGTTATGCCAGTTCTCTATTTCCTTGTAGGACTGGAGATTCTCTAGAGAGATTGATACAGTCGGCTCACTCTCTGATTCATCAAACGAGGCTACAGGTCGATTGTTCAATAGTTTTCCTCAACTCTTTTCTCGAAAATCCTTAGGTCAAACTGCGATGCATCGCATAAACAGATTAAGACACTGATTTAAACAACAGAAAGAACCAGACGCGAAAATACCACTGGACATAAACAAACAGCATTCCTACGGACTCCTTGTCTCACAGTAAGTAAGCTTGACATGCTACGACGCAACGGTATGACGTCATAGTTCATATTCATATCAGCAAGAGTCTTTTTTGCTTACGTACAGTCTTTAAAATCATCTTAAAAACCGTTTACGTACAAATTTTTAACCTTATACACCGCAATAAGCAATATCCAGTTTATTTTTAAACCCTCATTATTTTTTAAACCCGTTTAGGTCGAATAATCGGCAAGGAACAAATTTAGAAAGGTTCAGATACAGGTCGTAAAGCACTAGGTATTTTAAGAGCCCAATATCATTCAAGTTCCTAATTACCTTCGTGACTAAAGCCTAAGTCTTTGAAAAATTTTATGGGATCACAGAATTATGAGTGAGTAGAGTGCATCAGGGCTTTTTTGTCATAGAAACATCTCTATCGTTTTCGTGTATTGCAGTTTGTCTTTTAATCTTCTGGTTTAATCACCATCGTTAACTGTTTCGATACTTGTATCTGCATCTTCCTGTTCTCGTGACACTAATTTTAAAATCTGAGATTCATCCCAACGCCGACGTCTTTTCTTTTAAAACCCTTGAAATATAACAATGGCCAATCACTGAAAAAAATATCAACTACTTTTCGAGGCGCCTGTTTGTTTTATCACGTCAAAGCTACCATTAGTTATTCAACTTATTTTATTAACCACCGTTAGTACAGAGCTCAGATGACACATTTTTTAAAGAGAGGAATTATCAATGTTAATTTGTCCTTCTTTTGCAAATTGAAAATCATCGTTCCTAGTTGTTTTACATTGCTGCAACGTATAAAAGGCTGTAGGAAAGCATCTTAAGGCTCCAAGGGGTTTGCACGAGTCTTACTATTATCGTCGGTTTCAGTCTTACCTCTGGTGAGCAGCTCATAATGTTTCGGTAATTTTAAAATATTCGCCCTAGTCGATGTGTCTCGCAATGTAAAGAAAATACAAAGTGCCAATGTCAAATACAGTATTGCCCTTTCACAGCGAACACTTAAACTTTATCTTACATTTAAGTGAGTTCACGCGCGTGTGATTGATTTTTTTTCATAACAAGTCAAGGTCTCGGACAACTTATCGGAACACAACGCAGCTGAAACCAAATATCTGTGCATTTCAGTCGTTTCATGATAGACAGATCATTTTTTTTAAAACAACTTCAACTCGTCAATTTGCTGGGTCAAGTTTGTCGAAGTATTTCTGGAATGGTATACGTCGCAGGTTTCAGTGACTCTGGTACGTATCTTCGGAAAGATTAGAAACAAACGGAAGATATATATATATATATATAGGGAACGTATAACATGTACGAGTATCTGCAACCATTTGAAAAACACCGATATAGTTACGTCATTAATATTGCCAATATTGCCATCATCAACTTTGTTTTGGTTACGGTTTTTCTTTTTGAATACAACGAGTGCTTTCCCTTTTTCACACACCCTGCCTCGACCCCAGGATTCTTCAGGAGTCAAAATTCAAGATGGCGGGGAGGCAGTCCAGTCATCGCTTACACCGCGGAAGAACAACGACAATTTTTGCCACTAAAGTGAGACTGACAAAGGTGAATCTCTTTCTGTATCCCCTGTACCAATGCTAGAAATAGGTGTTTCGTTGCAAGAGTCCCAGAGAAAATGATGTTCGTTGCTCTACATTTGCCAGTTCCTTGAGTTATGTTGTCACAACAGCGCGGAAAGGAAGTTGTTGACTGGGTTTTTTCTCTATCACAGTCTCATTTTCCTTGATCCAAAACAACATTTCCTTCAATATTTATAATGGTCTCAACGAAGTGTGTACCAAGGAAATACTATACTGAAAATTCGAATCTATCTTGTTAGTCATGTAAACCTTTGCCCGAGGGCTGTATTCCACTCGATTTTGTAAAGATTTGAAACAGTTGTATTTCAGTTTTGCTCATCAAATATGGGACATCTCCACCCTACCCGCCTGGCTTAAGAACGGAAGGATACAGTGAAAGGAAATGAACCATCGTTGTACAGGAGGTGTAACTTACGTTAGATTTAATGTTATAATCTGTGCCGATATTTCTGTAAAGATCAACGAGAACGGGAAACTAAAAAAATCGATGAGCACACAGGAATATAACTCAGGAAGTGCAAATAATTTTTTTCGAGTTCAAGATACTCCTTAAAAAGGAAACTGGTTATACTATGCCTAATGTCACATCAAACTGAACATGTCATAAAGTGTTGTGTTGTAAAACATCCTAATGAGGATACATTTTGACTTGAAAAGTTGACATTAAATTGTTACCAAAAATTGTCGCCTGCACATGTCAAATTTCTTCCCTAGTTAATACTCAGCAATCAATACAGCAAAAATGCTTTTTGACATTATTTTATTAGCTGTTAAAATGAAAACACTAATATCTATGTGAAAATTTAACATATTCTTATACAAACCGGTCAGTAATGTTCGGTGAAAGCTTTTATTGGCAAATCAGTATACACTCGAGAAGGGTAATTCTTGTACCTTTTAGGTTAGAAAGTTCTATGTATATCAAGTGAGAGTCAGAAACGAGCAATTGTACTCGATGGCTGGTTATGAATTGTCACATAGAAGACGGTTTCTTTTCAAACTTGGATACAAGCCAACTTTCCATCTTACACAGCATAACAGAACTTCATGAACTTAAGAGCTTCTCAGTAAAACTGAATTTAATCACTTCAAGATTTACAATCCAACAGTTTGATATCTTTAATCATCGATCAAATAATACAGATCTCTTTTCTTCCACATAAATTTTGGACACCAGATACTTAAAGTCATGTTATATGATTCACATTTGTGACGAGAAATTAAAATATAAAGAAAGAAATTAGAAATTGTGTACCAATAATACACTGACATCTACTGACAACAGATTCAGTCTTGATCGAACCGATATTAGGTATCTACAGGTGCTAGATAAAAGCAGTGATTATTTGTGCTAGATAAACTCAAGCAGTGATTATTTCTGCTTGTTCATTATATCCATTAGTGTCTAACCTTCGCAGAATACTCTTCGCATTCCTTAGTAACTTTTGGTACGAAGGTGTTACGAGAATCATGTCCCTGTCTATTCAGAAAAAGATACTTGAGGGAAAGAAACAAAAAGGACACAGAACGTACTCATTGAAAGAAAGTATTTTTGCGAACTGTTACATGACCAACAATCCTCCATTTTCCTCTCTGTGATAAATTCTGCTTCTTCTTTTTCTTTCTCGCAGGATGGGCGCGTTTAGCCACAATCGATTATCACAGCGTTCGCCTTCCATTTTCCCTGCAACCTCTGCAGCCGTATTCACGAAAAATTTCACTCTTTCCCAGGCTCCGCGAAACACTGTTGCACGGTGCACTCTTTGATACACGGCGCCGGCACAGCACACAAGATTTGACGTCACCCGGTGATCATTTAAGTTGTTCAAAGAGGAAAAAATGACGTGAGTCTATCCTAACACACATACGTCGCTATTTTTTGACCACACTTGAAAGCTCTCGAACATGCAGACTAAATATCAACATACTTGCGTCTTGCACCGGCTATTTTAAAACTAACAAATATGTATCCGCGTACCTTAAATTTATGCATTAACAACGTTTTCACGGTTCATTTGCAGTTGCCTATGATTGTTTTTTTGCCATTTTCCAATGAGAAAAGCATATTTTTGGTAACTATTTTCGAATTTTATTTCACGGCTAAAGTCGTTGAAAGACGAATGCAAAAACCATGTGGCGTTGAATTCTATGTATACGATTTTAGACCAGTTCATAGATAGATGAGTTCAAAGTTCAATGAATTTGTCACATGCCTGGAACAAAGAAAACTTGTGATGTCCCGCTAAGGATCCAAACTCAGTTTGAAGCTTAACTATCAAGCGACAGGGAAAGAACATGCAACCATTAAACATGCAAATAACCTGCTTTTACAAACGTGTCTAAAGGATGTGCTTAAACACATATTTCAAGTGCGCACAAATCTTACATTATCTTCCTAATTAAGCCATACGGAAAAAATTCATATTTCGAGTAACGATTATGATTGCTGGAGAAACATATTTCGGCCAGCTCATTTCTAAGACAATATTAACTCAAGGATTCAGAGCGTATGTACTAGTTTGTTAACTTAGGCTGCGAAAGAGAAATAAAGTTATCTCTGCATCGATTTGTTGCAGTTTGCGACCTAAACAGTTATTCCTTGAAGATGCGCTCCATTTAGGTACCACTCGTGTTTTTAGTGCTAAATTTGAGCACTCTTTGACTCGTAATCAATGTAATTTTCTGATGGAGATCCAAGAAAATTAAGATTATCAAGCTCTCTAAATCCTAGGGTTCTCAACACACCTTTGAGTGCTTTATTAGAGAGAGGGAAAATTAGGAATTAAAAAACATGATGAATTGTTATGTTCTGCTTTTTCGACGAATATCAGTTAAAGTGTCTTGAAGGACAACAAAAAAAGGATATTAAAGGAAAAAATAGAATTTTTCATCCGGACATCTTGAACGCTATCACTTCCTGTAACTGTCGCCTTGGGCCATTTCTGCTCTTATTGTTTCGATAAATCATAACATTACTTGTCACTTTTATTTTATTGATCGAATCGAATTACTTACCAATGAAGTATTCCTTCATATGTAAATTGATTTACGACAAACTATGTTAATAGCAAAACCTGACTCAAATGAGAGAGAGCGCTCATCGACTACCTTTTAACTTAGCTCGAGCCTATGTGACAGTTTGAAAGCGCTTTCCTTCGATCAAAGCTGAATCTTCCACGTTAATATGAAGCGGTAAATTTAATCCCAAAATGATGTCCTTGCCCTCCTCTCTTGGAAATAATTGCAAGCATCACTTTCGAACTGTTAAATATATCTGTGATCTTAAATAGTGTAAAACTTTAATTGAGAATGTCTGGATTTGTGATACTGTTTTTAAATTGTATACGAGTAGAAAACAATATCGGTAGATGATTTAGTGACTAAAAAATGACAGCATATAATTTTTCTCGATCGATTTTCGCGCTTCAGGTGAAATCCTAAGCGGTTTTACACGCTGGCAGTTTCGTGTGACTTTGTTATTTTTTGTGGCATAATTGCTGATCGCTGCAAATTGAATTTCTACCTGATTTACATGTAAAAATTTCATTTTGCTTAATAGTGTTTGGTGCTGAGTGCAATCAATATTAAAACTTCCTATGAACGTTTTGTTATAACAACAGCCATAAACTGATACCCGTGTTTTCTTTGCTCAGTTTCGAAAACAACATCGAGCTTTCAATACCCGTGGAGTTAAGCCGTTTCTAAACTAAGTTCTTTCTGACGCGAGGGTATAATGGTATTATTCACGGCCGCCAAACTAAATTTACACGCGCAGTCTATATTTAGTGGCAAGCTTCTTTGCTGGTCCGATCGAGTGGGTGAATTGACGCAAATCACATTGCGGAAAATCGTCATATATGGGTCTCAGATCTTGTTTTGAATGGCAAACCAAGACATCATGGACTCTCTGTTTATCATCAAATGGAGAAAAATAAAATCGTGGTCCGACTTACTTTTAAGTGGAATTAACAGTATTTGGTACAAAACGTGTTACCAACAGGTTGTGACAGTGTTTAAAGATTGCTGTTTTCGATTGAAAAGACGCCAATTTGGGTTCCATGTTAAACGCAGCCGCGAAAACTTTTTCTCGCCTCGTTGCCTCAAATCACTTCCACTAAAAATAAAATTGCTATTTACAGCTCGTAACAAGTGCCCAATTGAACTGCCAAATTAAATGACAACACCAGTATAAAGGCCCTCAAAGGGACGTGTATTGTGTATTGTGTTTGTTGACTTCTTGGAACATTGTTCGTGCTAAGAGCGAACAAAAGACGTAATCAAAAGATACCATGATATCAGGGTAATTGGCCGTAATCCGTATCACATGACCTACTGAACGCTACCTTAAAGCGAATGAGCTATAAATTCACTTCGCACCTCTAACGGTTTCAAATGGTCCGCACCATCGCACAGACTAGCACGTGTCGCATAAAACCCCTCATTGATTTTTCGGGCTGAAATTTCATCAGTTTTGAATTTTAACGTGATTCAACTTGTCAGGTTCGAACTAGCTTTCGTTGTCTCGGTTTTTGGGTTGGTTTCTTCCTTGAAGTTCCTTGTAATATTGCCATGCCAAAGTCCTTCCTTGTGAAAAAGGCGAAGCGCCGACTCGACGAAGTCGGAGAGAGTAATCTCTCGTGTTCTGGTAAGTAAAGCATATAAATATATTTTCCTTACCGTGATAGCGGGTTTCGACTGATCCTAGTTTCCTTTAGTAAACTGAACTGAGAAATCGATGGTGGTAAGTTGCAATTTTGCTTGTGGATTTTTTTTGTTACACCGTTATAAATTTGTTTGTTGCGACCGATTTCTTGTACTCAAAGCGGGGAGTATTTGCTGACCGATTATTTAATCGTATCAACATTTCTATCCGCAATCTTTTTTTACGCAACGAGATGTTTTCTAAAATACGCATGCCGAGGTCTTGTTTTTCCTCGAGGGCAAAAGGGTCACGAAAGATTCCACTTTGGACAATAGCGACATGTTTTTCTTCTTCTTTGTCTCGTATTAGTCAATACCTAGAGATTTTCTGCCGCAAATATTCAAGCTCTTTCGATTTTAATCGCTGAAGACACTCCAAAGTCACGGAAATCTCGTTCTCGTCATAATTATTTCAAGGGCACGGTGGAATCCAATCATTACTGAAGCGCGCTACAAGTCCTTAACAGGTTGTGCTAACACGGGCTTTTTGTATTCTGTGGATGGAACAAAAGGCAAGCGCTCGCCAAAGAACACAACTGAATTGCCGCCCCAGGGGCTCACATTTTATTCTGCGCTAGTGGTGGCATCAACCGCGGATCGTCACGAATTTTTTTTTTCAATTTTGCGGTATTTTACACTGCACGTAAATTGCTTTGGGAGAAATTGTAAAATCACTTCGATCAAGAGTTGTCTCAGAACGATCGGGTCGACGGATTGCAATCCTTTGTAAATGATCGGGACAAAAGTGAAAATTGGAAATCCTTTCTTCGAGTTAATTGACAAACGAAACTTAATAGTTCTTTTCAATGGGCTTTCATATTCAAATGCGAAATAAAGATGGTTACATAGAAAAGTTAATGGAAATTGCTATTGACATCTCAAGGTTCGCTTTGTTTGCTCACGGATGTTGCACGCGTCTTCTAAAGGCTTCAAAACGAAACAAATCAAACGAAAGCCTGTCTTCTTTTTGTTCCACTCGAAAACCGTAATTTACACTAAATGAGCAATTTCATTTTCTTTGCAGAGACTTGAACCGGAAACTTAGTCTCGCCACAATGAATTATCATTTGGAACACGATGAAATTTTGAACTGCAATTAAAAACAATTGCCTGAAGTGTTTAAATTTATCGGGAATTTCATATCAGCAAACTTGCGCGTAAATCTAAGTGATGTAACGTTTGTATTTTGTCCTGTAGGTGGCGAGCAGTTGAATTATAACCGAAAATCATCCATCCGCAAAACTATCGCGTGTTTTGTGATATAAAAGCAAACGGGCGGGAGAATTAATCCTTTAGGAACCTTGTTTTCTGAGGGGTTATCTCTGACATACAAGATTTAGCCAAATTGGGGTCAGAGGGGCAGGTCTACGGGAAAAACTTCTGCTCAAAATTACCCAAGATGTCACGAAATTGCTACATAAACACGAAAAGCTTGCCAGACTTCTACAGCTGGTTCGGGCAGCGACATGACAGCGTTTTGTTTGACCAGCAAAAGCACACAGCACTTTCAAACTAAACAACGTTTAGTAATTTCCGTTTCTTGCACTTACTGATCACAAACCGTTCAGTTTCAATTGAATCATTTCTGAAAGTTAAATGTTTAAAATGTTTAAAAGAGCCATATACAGTATATATTTGAGATAACACGTTCCACCCTGTCGACTAAATTCGCGAAAACTTCGCGTCTTTCCTTGAAATAATCCGCTTTATTTCTGAAGTTGTTATGTCGATATGTCAGCATTTCGGGCGTAATTCTGCTAACAACAATTCAACCCAAATTTACATTTTCGTTTCAATTTGACAACGCTCGATTTCTATTCACATATCATTCTGATAGGAAGCGCACACCTGCCTAGGGGATAACGCGTTTTACTGTGTTTTCATTAATAATTCATCCTCGAAGTCAACAGATATAATAAATTGGGATTTTGTTCACGAAAGAATTTATGTACGTTTGACAGGCCGTCAGTTGTTTTTGTTAGCTAATCTGCCCCGTTACATTTAAGAAGCGCCGCGTCATTCTCTTAATTACAATTCACTTAAAACTTGAGATAAGCAATAACAAAGACATCATGCACGTTCAAATACCAGAGTAAATTAATCAGACGGGCAATTATTAAAGCATTTGGTCCCTAAACGTTTGCGGCCAAGTCAAGATTTCAAAAAAGAAAATTTCTCGAGAAAGTTGCATTTTCGTTGACGCGCCCTAAACAAATATAGACAACAATGGCTTTCTGAAAAGCGCTGAGGACTTCGGACCCTCCCGACCAATTGCTCAGCCAATTTCTCGACGGTTTCTTCTAGAATGCTCACACTTTCGATCGTTTGAAAAACAGTTTTAAAATTCAAACAATAAAAATATATTAGTAAATTGAACAGAATGGACTAGTCTTGAACCCCACTTCTTGAAACCCTAAGATTTCGAATTTAGGACATAATTTGCGGCCCCTTAAGTTACCGCGACTATCGAGAAACGTGCCTCTCTTTGGAAAAATGTTCTTACATGGCCCTTAGTAACTAATGGAAAAATGTTTTGTTGCAGACAAAAGAGAGCCTTGTGAGTCCCCTACGTCAGCGCTCTCCATGTTGAATCATGGGAAGCAGGAGGAGGACACACCGAGTACGTTACACCACATCATGAAAGACCCATCTAAAGACACGATAGATGCTGCAAGGAACAGTTCAGTTTATAGGGGCAGACCAGCTGAAAAGTTGACGGAAAATTGGCCTTTATTGCCCCACATGTTTTTCTTCCCATCTTTACCAACTCAAGGTAATCCTCTGGCGGAATGTTGTGCGCCTCTAAAAGTGCAAGTCTTGACGAGCAACTCGGTCAAAGATGGCCATTCTCCACCCAATGAAGAAAGCAGAGAACGTGTGCGCAGACTTAATAAGATCGCCGAAAAGATACCAAAACATGCAGAAATACAAGGAACAATCAGAAATAGTGAAATTTTCCCGCCTTGGCTTCTCGATTCTGCGCCAAAGTTTTGGAAATCTGGACTAACCGATGGAGCGCGCCTTCCTCTTCCCAAATTCAATTTTCCCGATTCGAGGATGAACAGAGAACGTGTTGAAATGAACCGTCATAATTTTTACCCTTTTGAGAGAGTTCTTTGGTCAAGAAAGAGAAAAATTGCGGGTACTGAAAGGGAAATCTCCTTGTCACCTCAAAGTTATAGGCTTCTCGAAACATCTCAACTACCAGCGGCCAAGTGGAAAAAGTATAGGAAAAGCCGAGAACACGGTGAGGGGGAACATCAGAAACCAGAAAAAGACAGAAATATCGGACAGGAAAAGGAGTCGAACAGAGTGCATGATAAAGATAACATGGAACAAAAAGTACAGTCGAGAAAATTGCCAGGCCGAGTGCTCACAAATCGCATGGAATCTGAACACAACCCCAGGAATATTAAACACCACCAAGATCCTACCGATTGGCACATCGTCGTGCCGAGCAGATTGGCAGACGGAATGTTCAATTATCATGATCCGTATTCGTTATGGGGACAAAGCGCTGCCGTAACAAGTTCTGTGTGGGTTCCTGACGTTTTAAAGACTGCATCGAAAGAAGATGTCACTGGAGATGCGAATGGCCCCAAGGGAACTGAATTATGGACGTTTAAAACAAAGAAAGAAGGAGAAGTTTCTTGTAAAGCCAAAGAAGAAACTGCAGTCTTTAATCGGAAGGAAGAAGACAGGAATACTTTCCAGCCCAAGCTGAATTCTGAAAACCAAATGGCGTGGTTCAAAAAGGGCTCACTTAGTCCAAAACTTATAAAGGAAGATTCGTGTGACAACAAATCTGTTCTCAGTTTCTCTAACGACGAAGATCACGTTCGAGATTTTCAAAGGAATCCAAGGAAAGAAGAAGAGATTTTTAAAGATGACACAAGACGTTCACCAGATCACAGTACTATCAAAGATGTTAATTTGCATAAACTTGTGACATTTGGTCACCAGAATGTTAACTTATCCAGACGTTTTAGCCCGGTGGAAATTAGAGATGGGAAATTATCTTCTGTGTCGTTCAGATCTCCAGAACGGGTAAGCCCAAGCAACGATGCGATCAACTTAAAGAAAAGGAAAGAATCTGACTCTTTGCTGCTCCACCAAGACGCCAAAATGAACGTTGTTGAAAAGTCAAACGACGAGGTTCTTCCGTATTCCTCGTCGTTTTGGCTTCTCAGCAAAGAACCATCCGGAGTATCCCAGGGTAGTGTTCGCCCAAAATTACCTGTTGTAGCTTCCAGCCCTTCCTATTGGATGACGAAAAATGGAGCTCATGAAAATGCGAAAAAGGAATCCCCGAACGGAACTAACAGCCACAGATGTGAAATATGCAACAGTGCGTTTCCACTTCGTCGTCTTCTCAACCGCCACCTTAAAACACATTCATTCTATAAGCGTTACACTTGCTCCTACTGTGACAAAGGCTTCAATGACACGTTTGACCTGAAGCGTCATGTAAGAACACACACTGGAATAAAACCTTTCAAGTGTGAGCAGTGTGACAAGTCGTTCACTCAACGATGCTCTTTGGAGGCACATCAAACACGGGTACACGGCATTGTGCACAAGTTTGGTTTCCGTGAGAGACGCTCGAAGATGTTCGTGTGCGAAGAATGTGGAGCCACGTTTAAAGACAGCCAGTCAGAATTCATGACCCACATGGCGAGTATGCACCCAAATCGAGAGAGAGGTCCATGGATGAACAAAAACACAAACCTCTGCTCCCAAGTTATAACATTTTGAAACACTGAACACCTTTCATTGTTATCATCATCATTTTTGTTATTAGTATCATCATGATTATCATTAACACCATCTCAACATAGCTATACCGAATTTTCTCAAGCTATTTCTACAAATTTTTAGCTCTAAAGGAGGGAATGATCGTTTAATCATATACATTCCCTGTGTAACAGTCTTAGACGACGGTTTCGCATAAACTGATCCAAACAGATAGACAGATACGCTGTCGTCGATACATTTTTAATGCCACAACAGAAAACCGGCAAGAATTTGTTTAACAATCTTGAGCATCTTAAGTTAGCGATCATTCCCTTCATTCTTTTCACCGTAATGCTTGATTTAGCAGCGATACTGTAGGGAGAAATTAGACGCTGGTTACCCTCAGGGGTTACAGAGTTAAACACACAAACACCAGCGCCGCAGAATATCAGTCGCATCTGAAATTCATACTATGAAAATCGAAACCTGGGTGCTCTTTTCAACTAATTGTATCAAGTTTTATTGAAACAATTTCACATCACAGTTTACACTTCAGCATTTTCGAGTCTGTTTTCGATTTAAATGACATCAGAGATTTGTGAAATCTTTCACTCTCAACATCATGATATGTATTCTTTCTAGCGCAGTTTCATTCTGTAAATAAATAGTTCTGTGGAGTCAGTAGTCCTTTAACGAGAGAGCATCCCATCCTCTTTTAGGGGAGCGAACAGATCTCGAATCCTCTTGAGAGTTAAAGAGAATGCAAATTCAAGCTTACAACTTAGATTTATAAATTAAAAATTGGGTCTGACGAACAGTTCTGCTGTTAGTAATTCAACATCAAATCACGTCTTTGAATCATGTTTAAAAGAGAATAAAGATGAAATTACCTATGAGTCTATAAGGAAATCATCGATATTTTTGTCAAACTCAAGTACCCAGTCTAACATACAACGAAAAGGCAACTTTGGTGACTTTGAACTATATTGCCAGTTTGGTCTGATAGCTTATTTTGGGACGAAAATTACTTCTGTTAAAAATTAGGGTGCATCACTTGAGATACTCACAACTGCCGTTCTACAATTTTGACGAGTAAAGCGGTCAAATCATATCAGACGAGAGAGTATTGGATTTAATTGAAGTATAGCCACATTACAGAAACTATTTTTGCCCTGAAAGTGGCATTTCCGACCGCGAAAATTAATCATAGAATTGAACTTCGTAAATGCGGAAAAAGCGAAATGGGGTTGAACTCTAGAACGGCTTAAAAAAAAAAGCAACCTAAAGAAGATATTGTCGGGACAAAAGAGGAACACAGAATCGTAGCTGTCCCATCGAATTAATGGAGTGTTGAAATAAAACGGATTTGGTTTCCACATTTTAATGCAGGCTTAACTTATGAAGACATTTCCTTCACATATCAAATATTGAAAGACATAACAAAACAGTTATTGCGTGCGCTAAATCCAGAATTTTCAAGATTGCAGTCAGTGTTAATATCCGCCGACGGCTGGCGTCACTAAACAACCTAAACACCTTGCTTTTGATCGTCAATGTTCCAAGCATTTTTACAAAAGAAAAAATTCACTGTTTACTTGTTTATCATCGGCTTCTAGTTACCCCGAGACGTTGTTTTTTCTTTTTTGTGGTCAATGATTCGACCTCATAGTGGGATGAAAGAGGTTTCATAGATTGCTTCAGCCATCATTGTCAAGTTGAGTGAGAAGGAAATTTGAATTAGGAAATAATGGTTCGATATTCTGAACTTGAAATTGTGATGTGTCGTGACATCGCCGAACCGGAATACATCGCCGAAATGTTTTCAGTTGGCAACCTATGTTGCTAATCTATAATTCTGCTTCCTGTTCGATACTATGCTAGGGAGATATATCGATATATTTTCTAGTTACCATCTAAATATTTGTTATTATTTATTAGAGACAGCATTCTTGTTCTTATCAAATCATTTACCCCGAAGTTCAGGACTCAATTGTAACGATAACAACTGAAACGAAAAGATCAAGCTTGCATGAGCACGGAAGTTTATTGGGAGATTGTTCACCAACAAACGCCAGGGAGTCTATATTAACAAGGCAACGTTGCAAATTTAATGCCATGAAACTTAACCTTTACCAATTATAGCTTACATTGCTCACGTACAGAAAACTTTACAAAGACGTTTTGATTCAGTTGACAACTGCTCACACTGTTTTGAAAGCAACGCATGGTAACCAAGTAACGATACTATTGGCTTAATCCTTAGCATACAATGCGTAGAGTGGCCGATAAGTCATTGATCAGTTATTTATAAAGTCCATCATGACAGAAATAATGAAATAATAAGTTAGCTTATTATCCACCGTTACTGATTTACAAACCCGTTTATCTTATTTCATGTGTCAGCTAAAATGGTTATTGAGGTCACCGCATATTTTGGCGATAGAATTCTGATAGAATTCCGGTAAGATTGCAAGAGCTCTAAACGTGCAGATCGTTGGGAAAGTTTCACGGCCACACAGCATAGACAAGGGTAATTAACGATTGTTAGAGATGAGCCTTTTTAGGCCTGCTGGTAAAAAAAATGGGCCCGAAATGCAACCCTTTTTTCAGTCTGCCCAAATTTCGCCAATCTTAGCCCGCCTCTCGCGATTGGAGTTTCTTTCGCATTCTTCAGCAGTTGTTAGGCGTTTCGATGATGTTAAAACAAGTATAAGAAGTATGAGTAGAACACACTCGCTATGACAAAATTATATTTAGAGATGTTTTGTTAAGATGATAAAAGTCGAAGGTCAGAATTCGAATTACTCGAGTCAAACTTGGCACAATCAAACACTTCTCTCTTCTCTGTCAACAGTTCGTTATCTCAAGTTGACGTACGAACCCAAAATAAATTCCTGATTTAAAAAAGGCCAAGAAAAATAATGGTGAGACAACATGACGTCACGAGAAATCTCTTCCGCCTTGACAACAGTTAATGCCAATAAAAATATGACACTGTGGTGTTATCGAGGTACAAAAGGTAGTGAAAGCATTATACGCCCTGGTGTTCTAAGTGTTATCGTCTCTTCATCCGTTGGATATCATTAATCATCTTTAACGGTGCCAGTTTTAAATCGCTATCCGGTCTAAATGACACTAGGCCATTTCCTAGGGTGTTTTTAGACAGATTTTTAAAATACTTTAGAAGATATCCATGTTTATATAAAAGTATTAAACACGGTTATGACGTTCAAGATTCCCACATATCTTTTAGAAATATTTCAGAAATTAAAGCAATTAAGCAATTTAGTTTTCCTTGTTTAGAAAGGCTCATCTTAATTATCACTCGAAATACTTGGGGGGGTTAAGGGATCGGAGGATTTTGGATGATCACATAGTTTTCAGGGGGGATAGGAGGGGAGCGGGGGTCAGTTATCACCAATGAAGTGGGATCATCAGAATACTAAAAAGCCTTAAGAGCGGATCAGGTAAAGTTATTGTGACACAACCAAAATCCTCCAAACACCCCCACCCCTCTCCCCCGGTGATAAATAATGACCGTTTCCCAACTGTATCCAATTCTGCTAACCCTTCCCCTTCCCCGACGGTAGGGTGTTCAAATGAGGCTATCTGAACAAGGAAAAACTGTTATGGTAGAACACGCTTTTGAATGAATGAAGTTGTCCATTTCTAACGAAAGGTAGAAATGGAAAAAAAGAACGAGTCCTCCACGAGAATTAATGATCCAAACGTCTGCAACCTCTGCAAGTTCTGGCGATGTAATACCAACTAAGCTACAACAAAATGTACGAGTTAGGGCATATACCAGATCATTGAACATGCGAAAAGCATGTGGCAAGCCGAAAGATATTAATAGTTTCCTGAATTGAACTATAGATAGATAAAGAAAACAAAATAGATAAAGAAAACAAAATAGATTGACCACATAATCCGAGGGACTCAGGTTGGAATCCTCGTGGGAACTCAGAATTTTCGTTTGTCGCACGTTCGTGCCAAAGACAACTTGTGGGTCAACTTCTTGGACCAGGATTTTCTTTTGCAATAGAGCTTATCCAGTGTCAGAGAAGAGCTACCACAGTGGCAATTGAAGAGGCGAGAAGAGGGCCTGGGAGGGAAACTGAGCTTAAAGTCGACTCAGTCTCCTGGTTTATTCATGTGCCAGGGAAGTTTGGTGATGAAAGACAAAAACCTCATCTGCAGCGGGCTCAAATCTTAGCATTTCGATAACTAAGGGATCAGTCTCGCCAAAACATTAGACTAAGCATTAAATGGAGATTTTTAAGCGTCACAAATTCAATGCAGCAAAAGAAAGATCTTCCATAACGATTTTAATATCACTTGTACAAAAATACTGCTTTTTTCACACTGCCCTCCTTGCATGAAAATAATTCAAATGGGCGATGTAACATTTATACACAATCAAGTAGGAAACTTAAGCGTGTTCATCAGCAAAATACAAAAATAGAACGCTATTACTTAAAAAAGAACTTATGTACAGTCCTCGTTCGTTTCTGTAGGTGCAAACTGTTTCCCTGCTTCAGGGCACTCAAAGTTCAGTGTTGCGTATAATAAAAACCGGACTCAATAAAACTTGCTATGATATAAAGCACTTGAACTCCTTGGACCCATTGCTGATACCGTGGTCTCTAAAACAAAATTAATCGATTACAACATTTTTGAAGAAACGGACAATGATTTCACCGAACCAAATTCAATTTGGTGTCGATCAGTACTTATAGCCAAAGAAAGCGAGGATGACAAAGAATCTAGATTGAATCCAATGGTTCCGTCATTACTTTCTTTAAAACAGAGAGCTGTGCATGATAAAGTATGGGATTATACGGAAGTCATGACTAAGTGGCTCAGGTAACAAATGTCTGACGCATTAAAATTGAATGAAATCGTTTTCAGGAACGAGAAAGGGTTTTCCAGGAAGGTTCCTCGTAAATGAGGTGCAGGTTAATATCACCCTGCCCCCTTCCCCACCTCTCTTTCAAACAAATTTTTCTTAAAATGTAACAGAAAAGGAATAATATGGGTTGAACGTTTTCACTGCGATGCTTCTTCAATTTTTTTCCTTTTTGGATCTTGAATGTTATCTGTATGATTCGAAAGGGACTTGCGCATAACGGATCGAGGTCTCCTCCGTAGCGAACTCCATTTCTAGTGAGATGTCAACCGTGCCACACAGCCTTCACACGAGATCACGTGACCCTAGCGTGATTATGTAACGAGAAGCTTGTTGCCATGAAGACGCCGCTGCTCTTACTCAGGCTCAAGCCATTTCTTGCAAAGTAGAACCCTGAAATAGTGCTTTTTCTTTGCTTTCGTTTAGCTTCTTTCATCTTTTACTTCAATCAGTGCACCTGGCCATCTGAAAAATAAGTTTTGCTATCGATTAAACTAATACCGGCAGCAATGTAACATAGATAACTCTACAATTGCAAGACATGCTACACAGAGGCTCTTCTCATACACAATGGTTCAATATTTTTCAAATTTTTTTAATGTAACCGTGTCCAACGTTTGCGACTACAGAGATTTACTCTGTGCTGAGATTGTCTAGGAAATATCGCGAAAACTCTCCTTGTTAGAAACTAAAACCCATCTCTGTAATAAAAGAGATGTTATTTATTTTGTCTCGTAAGAAAATGAAAGATCTGGGCCTCCCACGAAGAGTCTAACCTCAGACCTCGGATTTCGCCCCACGATTCTCTGCCACAGAGCTACAGATAACGTTATAGTGGGCTAGGCCACCGCAACTTGTTACCGTGGCTCGCGTTTTCCCGCGCTTTCAGGAAATTCGCTTGTTATTTTTTTAAAAAATTTGATTCGTCAACATGCAGCTTCTACTGATATTTTCCTTCGTCATGATCGGGCGCTGTGATTATTATGGTTTTATTTGTAACGATATTGAACCCTTCACACCGTTAGAACAGTATGTATATTCTCCATACTGTTCTCTATAAATTTCCCAAGGTGCTGATAAGGAGAATTTGTTGAACAATCAAGAGCTAACTTAGTTCGTGATCATCTCCTATATTCTCGTAACATTAATGTTTGATTCGAGGGTGATGTTGTTGGGAGAATTCAGTTGCTTATCGCTCTTAGGGGTCAAATGGTTCATCAGATGTGCTCTCGTAACTGACCCAGTGCCCCCCCGGCCAACATAACAATATCCTGAGTAGTTTATCACGGCGACTGACTTCTGTGTCAAGAGCTGAGTCAACTCACTTGGTTCTTAAACAGTGTTCCACCTCAGATGGTTCCTCCCCGAATTCGTCATCGGAGCTGAAAATATCTCTCGTATCTGAAAAAGAAGAACCTCAGGGTTGACTGACACAATAATTGAGTTGGGGAAGGGTAACTATATATAATATGAGGGGAGGGGGTGGGGGATTTTGTTGATGTCACAATGAAATTTACCTCCTCCCCCTAGAAAGGCTCCCTAATATTCTTATGATTTCCCCTCACCCCCCCTCACTGGCTGTTAATTGACAGCCAGTTCTCTATAGTCCACCCTTTGTGGTCTGTTGGCAACGACTGATACCCCCTCTGTTGCCCCCGAAAACCATGTTAACCCCCCCCCCTCCTCAGAGGATAAACAATGAATGGTCCCTAGGCCGACTACATAAAAACTTTGTTTTCATGGCAGTTAAAACTAATTAGGAGAAAATTGTGATTCAGATATCATCACAATGTTGAGCGAGTCGGTTTAGGACTTAAAAAACACTTTGGTACCTATAATAAATACACTCTCGTCTGCACCATTGTTTCTTTTAGCTGATCCAGTACAGTACAACAACTCAAATCTCCTCTCGAGCTTCCTGTAAAAGGCAACAACAAAACCAAATTAGTTCGACGAGGCCATTCCCTTGTATTTTCTTACTTTTCTTTTGAATTCATGAATCACAGAGAGTATCGAAGCAAACTAGTTTAGTTCCGCCCGTGTTGTTTGTGCAAGTAATTAAGAATGATACTTTTATTTACAATTGTCAGCTTCTTCAACTTGTTTGTATTTTAAAGACTTGTAAGCACTTAACTGACCAATCATTAACGAGTTCCTTGTTGAGTGAAAACAGCACGCCGTAACGTTCACCAGTCTTCACCACCCAAACTGGAAACTTGGGAGTCTTGAGCATGCTGCCAACCTGGTCAGAGATTGATACAGGAAACAACTTGTTATGTTTTGTATGCACCAGAACTGTCCCAAAGGTTAAGGGAGCTATGAGATGACATGGCTAAATAGTGTACAGCAGAATCCCACTAACTCAAACTTTCGTACATTAAGTTTGTTTAGGAGCTTTTTGATAAGGACGTTAGTTTGGGAAGTTAAGCTAAATGTATCACCTTCTTATAAATGTTATCACGTTTGTACCAATCGCGATTAAAGACTGGGACGTGTGAATCAGTTAAGTTCTGACACGTTGACGTTTACTGACCGACGTTTTTACTTAAAATTCGAGTTATCAGAGTAAATTTCAGCTAAGGGAAAGTAAAATTAGTTCGAGTTCACGGGGAGTTCCAGTAAACCGAGTTAAAGTTAGCTGATGGTAAATGACTGGGAAAATGGGGTCAAATCCAAGGGAAATTGGTTCTTGATCGAGTTAGCGAGGGATTTCGAGTCAACCGGATTCAATTCAGTGGGGTTCTACTGTTTTACTGTATCATCATATTACCTGAAAAGATTTGGGATCAAAATGCTCTTCAAGAGATAAAAATCCAATCTCACTCCGACCTTTAATGCCATTCAGCGGATGGGGCTGTGTATAAGAGAAAGTTACTTGTCAAGGGTGGGTTTCAGAGAAGAGTTTGAAACATCCGTTGTAAAACGAATATGACTGAGAAGGGTAAGAGTTAAGTAACCCTTTGGACCCTATGAGTAACCAGCATCTAATTTCTCGTTACTATGATGCCGCTCAATCATCCATCAAAATCATGGGAAAAAAGGAAATGATCGCCAACTTAAGAAGCCCTTGATTGTTAAACAAATTCTCCTTGTAAGCAGCTCAGGGCGTGTGTAAAAAAGGTCATGGAGAATATAGATACTGTGTTAGTGTGTAAAGGGTTGAACCGACGATGAGAATCGCCCATAGCCTTTGTAAACATGGTAAGTTACGATAATTCTTTCCTAGGTAAACTGTTGTTTTAAAGATTAATGTTCTTTACAGACAATATAATGGCTTAAAATGGCAAAGGTAAGCTTAAAATGGCAAGCTCCGGTGCTCTAGCTGCGTAATAACAACTAACGAGATAATAAGCTCCGGAACAAAACAAACTATAACAAGACAGTATCCGATCCTGTAAAGTTCTCTTCCCCTTACCAGTTTTCGTCCTCTTTTATTGAACTCGATATCACCGTTGAAGACATTGGCGGCTGCTCTGCCAGTTAGCATCAAGTTAATCATGGCCTGTGTTGCAAGAGACAAGAAAAATTAATAACACAGCCAGATTGAGAAAACACGCATTTACTAAAATTCACAAAAACAGGTATTCAGATCTTAAGTTTCTACGCTCAAGATGAGTCCATACCGCGACGAAAAAACACCTTGATTCGAAAAAGTTCTGTATGTTGACCTGTTTCGAAGGAACTCTCCTACCTGAGAGCACGAGTCGTGAAGACCCATCAAAGAGGAATTCGGGTCTCCTAGATCCTCAGTTACCCTGTAAATACAAAGATTAGAAATATTTAGCAAGTTGAGAAAATGCTGGCCACTTTGTTAAGGATTACCCGATGGACTCTGGATCGAGGGGTATGGGTCCGAGCCCTGGTCGGGTCGTTCAGATTTATTGCTGGGAAGGAAAACGAAATGCTGAAGGATAACCTGCGATGGGTTAGCATTCCATCCAGGGTAAAGGAGGGGGGAAGGGGGGAGGAGAAATAAGCGTAGTCGTTTCGTGCCACAGGACCTTGGATAAACATAGGCAGTGATAGGCTACCAGACTCTTTAATTAACCCCCCTCCCCTCCCCTCCTCCCTTGCCTAACAAGGTTGTGATGTGTGTTTACTACTGGTTTTTAGAGCCATTTTCAATCGAATGTCGAAAGTTACTCAGGATTGTTTTGGTTTTCTTTACTTTGCTTTGTGATTGGTTCTGAAACTTGCGCCACTTTCTCAACCAATCAAATTCAAACTAAAACCAATCACGACTAAGTCGCCTGTGTTTTCCCGCCCTTTAGGCAGTTTGGTTGATTCTACTTTGAGTTCTCATTTTCTCTTCATAGCCGTTGTGGCTGTTGGTTTTGGTTTTACGACACTCAGTGGAAAAGAGCTCTAAAAGCTACATGTTTTATTAATTGACAGAATGTTTACAGCACATCCACGGCGTACCTTTCAATTGATCTGGACAGAATAACCGAATACAAAAACAGAATGCAACCATTTCCGTTTGTGCTTTCAAACTACGAAAGAAAACATAAAGAAGTTACCAAAGACGACTGAAGAGCATAGCAAAGACGAGAAAGAGAGAAAGGGAACGAAAAAAAAAAACCTCGAAGGGAAGCGCGGACTACAAAAGCTGACCGAGAGGGGCGAGGGAGTTATGGGGCCGGTTTACGGTTACTTCGCCCCATGGCTAGATCACCCCCGTAATATACGTCACTTCAGAAAGGCCACAGACTACAATACACGCCTTTCACGCAAAAGAAAGATCCGCCATTTTAAAACGCAGTCTACCCAGCTTCACCTGGAATTGGGTTTGAAATCGATTAAAAATGGCGGACCTCGTTTAAAAACGCACTTTCAAAAAATAATGATAAGAGGCAGCAGGAATTAGGAACTAGAGAAGATGGAGGAAACAATATTTTAACGCGTTCGTAGATGGCACAACAGATTCGCCTCTTTGTATTAAATATGTTGTGTTTAAAATGGAACATACTGTGATCTCTAGATTCGTCATAGAACATTTCGACAAAAAAATACTAAGATACAAATAAAAGATAACCAAATACTTTCCGTTAACACAACCATACCTCTCTAAATTGTCCATTAAAAGCTAGAATCAGAAAGCGCTGAGTACTTACAAATGATAAGTGCTTCTTTATGAACCTTTCCAGGTGGGAAAACTCGGTAAATCTGAACTGATGAAGCTGTAAATTCAGACGAAAAAAACCTTTTTTCCTTATAATCATATCTTATAAACTGTCTGAGCTTTCGTTTCTCACTCAATACCCAAAGTAAAATGAAACAACCTAAGTGGAAAATGTTAGAGAACCCCACCCCAGCGGGACCCCACTCAATCACGAGTACTTGGGTGGTTGAAAGTATTCAAATCGAAAAAAAAACCCCACGCCAGAGAAAACCACCGCTAAGTTTATGAAGATCGAAGTGACTAGAGGGTTTAATTCCACCCTTGCCCCAGCCTGCAGTGCAGGTGTCTTATTTCGGTGAGTTAATGTTAGAAGATCGCGATCGGTTATCCAACTGGCCATGGTTGATTCAGAGTTAGAGTGGACGGTGAGGGAGGGGGCAGGGAAATGCGAGGTAATTTCTATTGCCCCACCTCCTCCCCTCTCCTTTCTTTTAACCGACGCTCACCCCCTTGGTACGAATTTTTTTCTCCCCAGCGTTCCGCTGCTGTAAAAATCAAAGATGTCAGCAGCAACTTTCACCAAGAAAATACTTAGCACTCGCTCGCCAAAACTACGCCTTCTTTGCCAACTACCCACATCCCTTTTCAGTCTAATACACAATGTAACAGCGTCTGCAACTGGTGGTATTACTCTTTGCGAGCAGCACAAGCCCTCCCTTTTTTAATTACGGCTTTTTTTATTAATAATTTTGCCAACTTTCGCGCAATACTGATAATCGTGCAATTTACGTAGCCAACTCAAAAAGAAGCATCGAGTACCAGTTTGTAAAAGCAAATGACGACAGAATCGAATAAGCACATTAAGATAAAAATCAAAACTTTAGTGATGTGCACCTTTTCCGTGAGCTGATCTTCTCTGTAGTCGTCCATTGTCGCCCAGTTACACTCACCGCACGGCCTGAAATAAAAAATTTATCGATCACGGGCGCTCACGAAATTGGAAAGCGCAGAGATACTTACGGAGTGTGTACCCATTGAAGGCTAAGGAACTGGATGATCGATACACTTATAAATTTTCTGTTATGCTGACTCAACCTCTATAGCTTGTTCCAGGCATCCAGTTAGTAAAACGGAACGAAATAGTTAACGGCGCGATAGTGGCGGTAGAGCAAAAGCGTTCGGGTCATTCATTATGCGACCCGTTCCAGACCTCCCTCTCTATTTCACTTCCCCGCCGCTATAGCGCCTTTTATTTTCGCATTGAGTTTTACTACCTAAGCACCTAGAATAGGCTTATTAACGATTTCTCTGAGCTCTAAGGTGTGGGGTTCGATTCTCTATTTTGCTTTCCCACCTTCATGACATAAGGAATGAAGTTTTAATCAAAGTTTGAAATTTTTCTTTAAGCGACAAGGCAAACTTTCGGCCTCGTCGCCTGACTATGACAAGCAGTATAGCAGCTGAAACGCTTCAGTCAATGCAATTGATTAGCCTGAATCTTATATCGTGAGACAAACAATCAAATGCTTATTTTTCTACGAAACCACGATGAACAACAACATTTCCCATAACATACAATTTGTAACACTCACAGTACTACCGTTGCGCGCTGTTGGCCTCCTGCTTGCCAGAGGATCTTCGTCATGGCTGTAATTAGTGCCTTCTGACGGTCAGACGACATTGGTCTCAACATACTACGGAACAAAAAACCAAAGGTATTTCTCATTCAGAGAATTCCCATTCAAATACTTCTCGGTATTTCCCTATGCGAGAATATCAAAACCATGACTTTGCAACTTCTTTTTTCTTTAACAAAATAGCTATTCTGATTGATTCAAACAAAATTTAAACTTATTTCGTGACACTGCATAATCGAGACTCTACTAGTTACTAATAATTTTTCTTAGAGAGAATTCGTCACGGTTTGTCGACAAAGGAAAATCTGACCTCAATTTTTTCAAGTTCTTCATTTGAAATCCGTGTTCACACTCAGTGAGCCATTTTATGTCAGAGAGGGTTAGGTAACTCGGCGCTGGATCGAGTTTGTTTACTGACAAACATTCTTCACAAATCTCTTTTGTACAGGCAATAATTCAGACCACATCATTTCCAAATGGCCCAACAACCCTAAGAAGTGTAAACACAGTCTCGACTCACGTTTGGTACACGAAACAAATAAAAAATAAGATGAAATATCAATCCATGCGGGGAAATCAAATGATTTTTACTCTCTTTCTCAGAATGGCACTTTGAGAATAAAATTGACCCCATCTACTCATAAGCTTGAGATTTCAAACCACATCTCCTAAATATTCCTTTAATCGATTGTTGTCCTGGTTACCTTTTCACGTGTTCAATGGACGGCTGGTCGTACAACAAGAATCTCAACAGAAATCCCTGCAAACATGCCATGATCCCGTCAGGTCCCAACTACGGAAGTAAGTGAGTGAAAAAAATATTAAAACGATAGTCTCCGTTTGGCTCAAAAATAAGCTTGGATGGCATTTCATTTTTAATCATTTGGCGATCCAATAAGTTCCCAACGCTCATTTGAAAATTGCTCTCGATTTAATACACTGGGCCAGGTTGTTCATGATAAGATGTAGCTGAACTATATCTCGGCTTTGTGTGAATTTTTCAGATGGCTTAGTAATTTTTTTTCAGACAAATTATTATTCGTATCATGTAGTTTTTTTCAAATCTGCCTCACAACTGACCACTGCATAAAATCTCACTTAAATTTAACCCCAATTAATACTTCGCGCACGGAAAGTCAAACTATAATTTGAACCTCAGGTTGGCGCTGACCACCTCTCAAACTACTGGCTCTCTTTACCCCCCAAGTTACCTTATGGAAGCTTAGAGCGTAAGACTTGTGCGAAAAGAAGTTGATATGCTGTCTTCTCCAGTCAGAGTTGAAAGACGTGTACGGTGTACCAAATAATAACACACGGAGGGCCTGGAAAGTGATTGAAAGGACGTTTAAACCTTTCCACTGAAATATTTAACCATCAAGGTTCTCACAGTACACTGACGGTCATCGATACTGTTCTCAAAATTTCAGATCTTAGAATTTGGTGGTAAATTAAACAACACCCTCTCTAACTGATATTTTTCTTTCATCTCGTCAACTTTACAGTTGAAAATCATTATTGATAATTCCGTTTTGGTCACTCCTGGGAGTGAGTACATGGTGAGGATCTGAACTCTGACTATTCCCCAGTCGTCTTCAAAGCAGAAGCCAACCAACGCGAGTAGAATTGGAGAGAGAAGTGTGCGCCGCGCACTTTTTGGAGGCAACCGAGGATGAGTCAAACCCGATCCCCAGGCTGTACCGACTTATTTTGCGCCCGGAAGCTCTAACAACTGAGCTAAAGAGTACTCAATGGTAAACTTGTCCAATCAGACAACATGAAAATATCACAGGGGGCCACTGAGAACTGAAACAAGGTTAAAGCCTGAAGCGTGAGAAAACGCGAGAAAACGCGAGAAAACGCGCGAAAACGCGGAAACGCGAGTGACCAAGACGCGACTGATTTGAGTAATGAATCTGATTGGCAGAGAAAGTGGCGCAAGTTTCAGGACATAGCGCATGGCGAATTCAAAGCAAAACAAAAGCAATTCCAGATAACTTGCGACAATCAAGTTAAAATTATATTATTCTATGTAAAAAGCGCCTCAGAAATTCCCAGGAAAGGTTATCTCGCATGTGTTCTAGGTAGAGATTGAATAATAATCGGCATGTCCCGAACGGATTCGAACTCCAAAAACAGTGGATCTCACTCAAATCAATTTTTGAAGATTTGCCATAGAACTAAAGCAATATCTACGACGCATGTCTTACCTTGGCTACCTCCAATGTGATTGGATCCCCACCCGGCACAGCTGGTTTAACGGATTCTGTGGCGCGTTCTCTTTCCAAGGGCTTTCTTTGACTGGAAGAATTTTGTCTCTTAGGGCGGGATGAAGGAAGTAACGGTCCAATGTCTACCGGTTAAAGTAAAACAAAATCATTTCGTAAGTTTAAGGGTTGACATAAGCAGACGCCTTGATCGGAGAGAATCTTCTACCCAGGTTCCTCTTAACAAAGTCATTCGAGATTGCAGTAGTTTTTCTTAATTTCGGGAGTCGTCATCAAATTAAAAAAAAATAGCTTTTGGACACAAGAGGATTCTAACTCCGCATTTGTTGTAAAAAGTAACTGGTTTGAACAATACCAAGCTAGATGGCTCATTCAATTGTCTAATAAATTTTAGTCAGTGAAGACGACCGAAAAGGAAAGCGCGCGAAAAACATGTGAAAAAGCACAAATAACGGCGAAGATCCTTTCCTTAACTTCTCACCCTCCGCCCCCTTCTCCCTTCCCCTCCCCCCCCCCCTCACTCCTCCCCCTCCCTCACTCACGGTTACGAAAAAAGAGAAAGAAGGAAAAAAAACAGCCAGACTTGTAGCAATATGTGATCCAGTCATAGCCAGGCAAGTATTAGAAACACCCTCATAGGATTGGAGGGGGATGTATCCAGACCCACCGGACCCTCCTCTAAATCCGCCTCTTGGTTGGTAACATAGCAACAGTCTAAGACTTGCCTCAAATAAACAAAAGATCGTGGAAAATTGCGCTAGTTGTTACTCGCAAACTGAACATACAAAGTTGAAACATTAAATTAATCTTAAGTTCTGCTAAACCAACTAAAACATGTCTTAAAAGGCAACAAGACTGCTAAGTTGAATTGTTTTCACTGGTGACTGACAAGTAATTGCGTTCTCCAAACGTTATCCAAACTGTAGATTCAAAGTCCAGAAAAACACGACGTGTTCGAGAGAGACATATAATAAAAAGACAAAAACAAATGGAAAAGATACCAACCGGATCTGTACCACAACAAAGTATTCATTTTCAGAAGCCGCTTGTAAAGTTTTATTTCAACTACATCTCAATATGTTCTCCTCTACTTTGTGATATACCCGTGAATTACTCTTAACCAAAGTGTCTAAACCAGTAAGTGTAATATCACTAATATCTCAGTCTCTTACGTCAAAAGAAAACTGTATACAAACTGTGTTAATTACCCAATGATAGCTCCTTAACGAGTTCCTGTTTCACTTCATGTTGAGGACATTTTTCTGGTTGAGGTGCAAGCTGCACCTGAAGAAAAAAACGCGTTAAATCTACCATCATAAACGCTGAAACTGTATAATGCTTCACTGATACTTTTTAAAAGTAGAGAAATCGACCCTCTGGACCACTTGCCCGCGTTTCCCGCCCTCAGCCGAAGCACCCACGTTATGATGACAGCATTTCCACACCTCTAGCACTTTGTTACATCAAACTCTTAACCCTTTCAAACTCAAGATTTCATTCTTCTTACTGCCTGTCATACAATTCTCGTGATGTTAATTGGGAGAACCAGGTATTAGATCGACTTATAATTCCTTAACAGATACTGGTCTTTTTCTATATTCTCATTACTTAACTACTTAACATTGTATTAATATTCTGAGGAGAAATTTTGTCTTGGTCACCTATGAGAATTAAAGGGTTAATATTTTGATATAATAGTATTTAATGTTTTGTTTCGCCCTAAGCTATTCTTAAATTGTTCAGTTTATCATCATAAGTCACTCACCGACGTTTCCGCTCTGTTACCAGATTTTACAGCAGATGTTTCTTTTGGAGTGGGTGCATGAAAGCTCGTTTGTCTAACAGGTTTAACTGGTTTGGGTTGGATAGATCTAAAAGGTTTGACCGGTTTCTGCTCCAGGATTTTTGTGCGTTCCCTTCCGTGTCTTGAACACACATGTAAAGTACTTCTGCTTTCTTGAGGTATTGGAGGTGTCAGCACATGGCCAGCGTCTGTGCAAGGATTCGAGAAAAGAGAATATGATCACTGCCTTCTCTTCTCTCATCTTTCACACACTGCTGGGTCATGCAGTCTTAGGAGAGACTTGCCGGGAATATTAAACAGTCAGGACAGCAACGCTGAAGACGAAATCGCTTTAAAAATGAATTTATATTTTTGGTTTGAATTTTGCGAATAGCTGAACGTATTTACCGTCTTTTGCGCCGCCCTACCCGGCTCTACATCAGAAAAACGCATGTGAGCGTTGGGTCCCAATTGGAAACTTAAATAATTTGCTATCGCGGTTTTTGTTATCAGACCACACAAATTTTGGTAACTGCACGTTTTTGTTTTGCAGAAGAAGGCTAAGAAATGTACATATTTTTAAAACGCACGTGGTGAGCTATTGTTCTGCTCATTAGATCTTTTTGTTTTGCCACGTTCTCGGTAGTGCCTACTGCTGGCACTACCACGACGAAAGGAAGGATGGGAAGGAAAGAGACAGTGAGAGGAGAGTCTTTCCTTTTTCTTTCTACCCATCTGAACCCCTCCCCCCTCCCCCCCTCCCCGCGCACTTCTTGCGTGCATTCCTTGTCAGCTCGAGACTTCTATCGCGCGAGAGTTTATGAGGGCGAATTGAGAGCGAATAGCCAATCAGATTGCAGCATTTGTGATAGAACGCTTATGGTTCTATACTAATGAAAACTAGAGATACGGCTGAGAACGAGTATGCTAAATGATTTTGAAAGTACTCGTTTCTCTCTTTTCATCATTTCCGAGGTTTTTTTGGGGGGAGTAGGAAGGTACCAGCTTCTGTGGTAACTTTTCGACCAGTCAAAGTTACAGTGTATCTATTGAAACTGGGCCACCCGGAAAGAGGACCATTTACCGCTTTTTTTTAATTTAACAGAGACACTCTTTGACAAAGGTTTTGCTCCGGTAGGAAATGAATGCAACATACAAATCATTAATTTGTACCCCTACAACTCTTGGACCTCATCAGAACTTGACGTTCAACCAACGATCCGTGATCACTTAAATATGACCGATCAACGAACATTGTGTTGAGATTTCATAGTTTTGTGCCATACAATTGATCAGCTGGAGTTGAAAGTGTCGCAGTCTATTGTTTAAGTTTTGGGCCTATTTGGCAAGGGAGGGGGCCTATTTGGTAGGGGGGAGGGTCTATTTGGTGGGGAAAGGAGGGCCAATTTGATGGGAGCAGGGGGCCTATTTGGTGGGTAAGGGAGACCTATTTTGGGGGGGAATGGGGCTTATTTGGTGGGGAAGGGGGACCTATTTGATAGGGGAGGGGGGCCTATTTGGTGGGGGGGGGAGCCTATTTGGTGGGGAAGGGGTTTTTTTTGGTGGGGAATGGGGGCCCTATTAGGTTGGGGAGGGGGACTACTTGACAAGAGAGGTCCATGCAGCCTTTACCTATGTCAATGTCTTCAATAACATCTTCTTGAACATCTTCTAGCTCCAATGTGCTTGACCTTTTAAGGGTTAACTAAAAAATAACAAAACACAATGTTAAGTCCAATAATACAGTTGAACCACCATTATTCTACAAATTCTTTCTTAAGTAAAGAGACCATACAAAACCAAAATGTCTATGAAAATACTTCCAAATTAGAGACAATTTTGTATGTGTGCAAAACCATTTAATCATTATTTTCTGACTGCATTTGCAACAAAGGTGTCATAATCACAACAGAATGACTCATAAAGGATCCCATTTGGCCATATATCTCCTATCTTTTTTCTGTGCATTACCTGTCTCTAAAAAAATTAAACCTCAACGCATTCTTCATATCCAGGCCCTTGTTGGACTATGCTATAAGACACCATCCCTAGTTTCCAAATGCTGGGTAGCACTACTCATAATCAGAAATTTACACACAAGTGCCTAAGGTGCTGCTCACTGGTAGGGAAGTATTACATCAACATGATAAAAAAGAAACAGCCATGTTTGGATTATGGCCCTTCTTAAAAGGGGAAAGAAGTCTGAGGGACTTCATGAGGCTTTTTTTTTACACTCATAGAGGGCTTTGCCAAAAAAATCGTCACTTCTTGTTTCTATTTCAGGCCAATTGACTTGGTACTTCCACATTGAAAGGTAATATTCATTTACATACAAAGGTCAATTTTGATACACTTGTTGTACCTGGTTTTAGAGTCATAATCTGTGCAAAAATTAATCTGTAGACACTCAACCCAGTTATAATGAGGAATATTTCTTAGACTAGAAATTTGAAAGATATCTGGTCTTTTAACATCTGTTACATTGCAGTGTATCATTATATCAGGCCTTTCAAAAGACTTCTAACCTACATGTGAGGGAAGAGCAGATCAAAGAAGTTATATGTAACTACAACTAACTCTAGTTTTTAAAGTTAACGAGATCCATTTGTAAGCCACATGAGTATAAAACTAATATTCTAGTTAGCAATAACAATATACAGTCATTACAACAGTATAATACAGTTTGCAGTCTACTACACTTACTGTCTTTGGTACTGGCTTTGCAAGGCTGTAAAAACAACAGAAAGGACAAAATTAACCCCGAGTTTTTATCACTATGTTACCAAAGTGTTAAAAAAGGATGATACCTGACCAAAACACATAGCTGGAAAGTAACGGAAAGTTTCAAAGAAAAATTCCATTAAAGTAACTATCGAAATCATTGTGAAAGATTGTAAAATTAGTTCACTCATTACATTCATATTAAGTGGTATTTAGTGTTATTTTCTGCAACCCTAGGCATACAGGAATTTGGATACCCTTCTTTAACAGGATGATTGCCAATCTAGCAACCTGTACTCAATCATCATGTAGCAAGTTGTGACATTTTTTAAGTTAGCTCATGTCTGTTGGCTAAAGGGCTCTAAGGCAGTTACATGTACTTTGTACATTTTAGAGTGTAAATAACACTTGTGATGCATGATGTGTCACACGGGGTGTCAAGGGAAGCATAATGGAGAGGCGTAAAAAATGTAACAGAGATCTTTGTAACAATTGTGGTGTTTTTATATATATTTTGGGCATGGGTAGCATATATACTCATCATCCACAACACCCTTGACCAGACTACAATTATACTTCCTCTCTGTGATTGGCTGATATTTACAAACCTTTTGTCAAAAACTTTTGCCCATCTGTCCAGCATGTTGTTGGTTTCCTCAGCATTCTTTGACATGCTAAAATATATGAAAACTCTGGTGAATATGTCAGTAACACGGCAAAGCTGTGGCACTTGGTAAAGCTCAGGCGTTAATTCTGACCATGTTTCTCCAAATATTGAATTTCCAACACCTAACTTGGGAGAAATTGGCACTGCAATGTCTAATAAAGGTATCCGATCCCTTTTGTTCAGTTTTTCAAGCTAGTATCCTCCTTATCATCATTATTATTAACAGCCGTATTATTATCATGTATTTTTACTGTCATTACTGTTATTTTCATGATTATTGTTGTTTACTGTTATTATCATTATCATTCATAAACAGCTTTGATTCATATTATTCATTGAATTTAGCCTGTTACGGTATATTGCAAAGGTAAAGACAATTTGTTCATCGATGATTCATTCTCTAATAAAAAGCAAAGTTACAAAAGCAGGGTACCGTTATGTAAGCTGCAGGACAATCGGCTACACTTGGTAAAAATTAAAAACCGAACTCATTTAGACACAATGAAAAATATCCATTTCACCTTTCTTTGTTCGTTTCTTGAACTCTCCTTTCAACTCCAAATTTTCCCAAAGGCACTGTACTCGTTAGTCACACAAAGTGGCTTTCAAATTTGCTACTAACCCTCTTCCATACTCTACTGTTTAACTCCTGACATCAGAAAGAGGATCTAGAGAGTCCAGTTCACCAAGTGCGATTTTCACACGTATCTCAGAGAAAACAGTAATTCTTCTGAAATGACATTTACAACATCTTGATAAAGTTTTTTACTTCTTTAAAACTTACATAATGACCATGACATTGCAAAACTGAGAAGGCAAGCGCCTGCCATCTTTGTTTCTATGCAAACTGTTTGTGGTACCCAGGTTTCCTCAGGAAGAGCTATATTGGAGACTAGTCAAGATGAAGGGGGAGGGGAGGTTTCATGGAATCACACGGTTGTCATGGACAACGGATGGGGGGGACCAGTCGTCGCCAACAAAGTGCTAAGGGAGAGCTATGGAAAATTAGGAGGGGGGGTGGGTCACAGGAATATTACAAACCTATAGTGGGGAATCAAGTAAATTTTATTTCGACACAACCAAAATCCTTTACCCCCCCGCCAAGCAATAAGCAATAAAAAATAATGACCATTCCCTTGATAAATTCCTAATCAAGTTTCAGAAGAAAATTGCCAACGATTATGTGCAAGGGTTACGCTTATTTTTCCCTCACTATTACTGATCGAAGGTGAATGTGACGTTTTCCTAGAAATCATGGCTAAATAGCTTTTTCTAGTTTCCCGTCCCTAAGTTTTGGACACAGCAGGTGCGAGGTGCAGTTTACATAGCGTGACTTGGCTAACCTCTTTCTAATACCGACGAAAACCGCGATCATGAATAATAATGAATCATTAATAATGCTAAACATTTTTAATTAAGATATGAATTTGCCGGTACTCTTTATACGATGTTGTTAAGAGTCTTACTCAATGAAATATTGGAAATGTATTTTTGGACCGAGCCTGGCCGATGTTATTGGACGGCAATAAAAGGAATCGACCATCGAATCTCTGAAGTAATTATAAACGGTACATCGGTCTGGGAAAATATCGGGGATGATAATTAATGATATAGATATATGAGGCGATCGGAAGAAAAAAATTTGTTCCTCGAATAGCTGGCCTTTAATTTTAGCACTGCGTACTTAAACAAGGAGGAAAAGTCGCGACCGATCGAATTTGTCAGTCAGCAGTACGGAATTATTTTTTCCGTGTATTTTAAAAAAATAAATTTTAACTTTAAAGCCTGAGGCTTTATTTCTCGGAGGAGGGAGATGAAATAATGATGATAAAATTAAATACGACCAAGTGGGAATAGCATATGCAGTCTAAATACTAATAACTTTGTCTCTTTTATCCATTTCGAAGAAGGTTGCGGAAAATTTACCTTTTTCATACAGAAAAAATTCTAGTAATTTCTTGGAAATATCGTATCCCTCTCCTGACAACTCAAAACTCTAAAAGCTAATATGAAAAAATGTATCTACAATTAGATGATCGGCAGTTATCATTGGAAAAATAAATGAAGAAGAAGAAGAAGAACATGAAAGAGAACTTTCTAATTTCCTGGTTCTGGATTATCTTTTTAAGCTACCTTTGAATTTCTGATTCTTATCTCGCAGTCAAACGCTTTTTTCTGTTGAGGAAGAAATAACCAGCCGATATATTTCAAGTTAGTAAAGGCTCATTAACCCCTTAACTCCCAAGATCTTATTTTTAATTCTCCTCTCTAGCTGCTAGACATTTCCTTGTATACTGGTTACGAGAATTTGGTATTCAATCAAGATAATAACTTGTACCTGATGAGTTTGAGTATTCTCATCACCTGATTGCTGAATAATGTGTGGATGTTATAGGGAGAAGTTACATGTTAATCACTTCTAGGAGTTAAAAGGTTAATCTGGTGACAAGACAAACGAAACTATTAAAAAAAAATAGAAATGAGCTACAATAGCGATGATGAGCCAAAAACAAATTGAACAATCCCAAAATTCAAAACAACTGATGTACAAATAGACCCTTCAACTCCCAGGATCTGATCGTTTATTCTCCCCTCTAGCTGCTTCCCATTGCCGTGTAAATTAGTAACGAGAATTTGGTGCTAGATCAAGATAAAAACTACTTGATAAGTTGAGTGTTTTGGGGATAATGTACAGATACGATGGGGACAAGCAATTTTTTAATCACTTCTGGGAGTTAAAGGGGGAACGACATGGAAGCTCAATGAAACAAAATATATATATATATATATATATTTTATACTCAAAATATATTCCAGTGCTTCCAGAATAATGCCAGTGTTGCTAAATGGGTTATTTGGAACAGAATTAACCAATCGCATTACAGCAAGGAACGTACTCAAATTTAGTCCAAAGCCAGGAAAGATGACAGATAATTTTAATGGTTTTATGGCCCGTTTCCTGTATTTGAATTTTTTTGTTTCGTGCAAATGACCTTGGTAAAAATAGTTGCATTGTAGATGCATAGAAACAACAATTAACTTTCAAGTGGCCCGCCCATGACCGTCTATAACATGAGTGTTTTTTGCATATCTCTAAATTACTTCTAAAATCTTAATTCACGCTAATGAATATCAAAGAAGAGTTACTCTTCGTAGTATTATTTCCGGCGTGGTAAAAGTACCGAAATCCTGTTAGAAATTGCATTCAATCCATAATGATATGCAAAGACTGACAACAATCTATTTCCGGTTTTAACGTGCCTCCTGAGACCTTGAACTTTACTATTCGCCGCGCAGGACCAATTAAGGCCTTTTACTTCCTTAGCTTATTATAAAAGGACACATGGCTGCACGAGTACAATTGTAGTGTCTACACTTCAAATTGAATGCTTTAGTTTGTTTTTCGCTGAAACGCGAGTTTGTGATATGTCAACTGATTATTGGTCAGTTCTGGTAACATTGGATCAGTTTGGCTTGAGTTTTGAATGGATGTATCAATCGAACGAGTTTCGTTTTATTCAGTTGCGAACCCGCGGACATTTTAAACCCCGGAAGGATATACTTGCAACGATTTACGGATTATGTACAATACACGACGTTGACGTTAGCTTCATCTAAGAACATGCCACTCGGACAAGACAATCGATTACCCAATCTACGATAGCAAGATAAGAAATGATTGTGCGTCATGCGCGCGTGTCTTTCTCGAGAAGGGTTTGGAGTAATGTATTGTATGACAAGCATTTGCCGTGGTTATTTTCATTCGAAGCGGTTCTTGACGCAATAAAGCTTATAATTCAGGCCTGAACCGATAGAATTGGGGCCTGTAACAAAGCGAGGCCGGTACATTGTTGTGATACAACGTTGACTAGGTTCTGAATCAAGCAGTTTTCGATATTTTAATTGTTTTTACGTAAGTTGTTTTTCCCGTTCAGTTTTCCTGCGTAATGGTGATTTGAAGCATCTGTTTCCCTAAGAGGACATGAGTGCTTCAGTGGCTATAATTAAAATGTAGCAAAATTTCCGCAGACAGCCAAAAACATGCATGACTGAGGATAATCACGGATTTTCACGAAATTCAGATGTTGTATTTAGCATCACCTCGGAAAAAAGGGTTTTCAGAAGAGTAAAACCCACAACAATGTTTTCATTAGTTTGCAACCAGTTCTGTCCTAACCTTAGCTGCGAAACCTGCCCGTACGTGTTTATCAGCACTCACCCAATATCAGTTGTTTGTATTTGAATTGCAAAAAAAAGTTACTCTCTGGGAATGATAAATATGGCGAGGTTGACGTCGCACAAATTCTTTTTTCGCACGCCGTGGCGATAAACAAAAGCAGAAAAGAGTATTCTTTGAAAGAAAACAGTCGAGGGTGACTTAAAACTGATGAAAGAACCATTGATTACAGCTGAGAATGAAATATTCTAATCGCAGTGTTTATGAATTTACCATTGGTGAATTTGCCCATGCCGAGGTTGTTTCCGGTTTTTGGTAAATCAAAGAGTCGCTAAATATTTACGCCATTTCCTGAATAAGCTTTGAATTGCTTTCGGTGTTCGACATTTTAAGATCTTCGTGAAAAGAATTGAAACAAAAAGGGTTCTTGTAGTTTTTGTTCAAGTTTCCGGTTATTTATCAAGCGAGTCGATAAAAGATGCCTTTCTCAGCGAAGCTAAGGTCGTTGACCGCGTGCTAAAATGAACAAAACAAAGCTGGAACTCTTGCCATTTTACACGGTTCAAGTTTTGTTTGTCCTCCCAATCGTTCGTTTGGTTAAAAATATTCGAGGTGTTTCGGACAGTACTCATATGTGATGGGCGCGGTTCTTTCGTTTACCGCAGCTATGCACACGCGGACGTTTAGGTCCGCGGCACGCATGCCCGCTGTCAAACTCCCTGTTGGTACAGTATGTGTCATGGTCGCGTGCAGAAACAACGTTTGACCTATGCTTTGAAGAAAAGTGGGATTTTTTTAAATTCAAACGCGTCAAAAAGTCACCGTAGAGCATAAAATGAATGAAGCGTTCCTCAACAGATCGATCCAACCTCCTACACATCTTCCCAGGTTTGTGCTGAAATATTTATTTGAACAAAACAATAGTTGAGTTTCTTAGCATGACAGAAGCGAAGAGAGATGCTTCCGTCAGCAGTGACCGAGTCGTACTCCACAGAAACTTGCTTTCGTCCTCTCTCAATCGAACTACGAATCGAGCCACAAACTTATTTGATTATCGTCTATACATAGTGTTGGCGTTTGTAGTAAATTAAATTTCAATTTCGGCGTTTCATAATGACCCGAAATAACACTGACGGTTTATTTTAAAACTCCGAGAAAATTATGCGTGGTTGTCACGTTCAAAGCAACGCCGGTTCGAAAATTGCCAAGATTGCATATATCTATTCTTAACTTTCAGTTTTACTTCAAAGATTAGATATTTAGTTCATTCAGCGAAAACAAAAGGCATAAATCTTATCAACGCAGTCTTTTATTTCTGTTTATCCAACACGTTGGCCGACTGCCTGAAGTCCGTGACAAAGTTGTACAGCGCTCAATTTTGTGTCAAAATTGTTTTCGGTAACAAATTTTAAGCAACACCTATGAGAGAACAACATCTCTTTTTTGGTGGTACGTGCGAAGAGGCGGGTAAGGGAAATCACAACTAAAACAAAGTCCTTTAGATGTAGGAGGTTTTAGAATTACTTGGACGAATTGAATCGCCATTAAAAGACAGGAAGTTGAGTCACAGTTTCTTTTATCGCTTTAAAGAAAGCAGGCATTTTAACACACGTGCGTGGGGCTCACAGGTAACTACTGCAATTAACAGTTTTGATTTTGTTTGACGAGCCTCGTTAATAATTCGACAGACAATTTCCCCTGAGAGATAAAGTTTTCGTAGAAACAAGGAGGCTTGATTTAGCGCTTCAATAGTCAGGAAGGAAACGTGGGTAACTCTTTGTGTGTTTTGTCAGAACAGTTGTGCCTGGCCGCGATTGAACTTGTGAATTCACACAACCAATAATCACAATCGTCGTCGTATTGCGGAGGCCAGTCAGAAATATCGAAAAAAAAAATTCAATGAAACTATGAGTTGGTGGAACAAAGAGCGATGAAGTCAGTGAGGTGTCACTTCTCTTTTTTAGATCAGTACTTTGAATAGCATGAAACAACTGTTTAATAATTGAGTTAAAGATCTCTATTTATTTTTGGCTTCGTTACAAAACTTAGATATCCTCTTTAATACAAAAAATTTTCGAACTTCAATTCAAGACGCAGGCTAACTTGTTTTTTGTTAGAGCGTCTGAGTAATGGGCTCCCGGTGGCATTCTGCTGTAAAATCGGAGTAAAAAGTTCCCAACTGCTAGCGAAAGAGAAATCGTTTTCCTTTTAAAACCTGCCCGAGCAGATCTCCATCAGGGTCTTTTGAAAGGTTCTCACTCTGGGAAGCTTTACGCAACTGGAAGAAAGAGATTTTGCAAGAGTGTCAACTGTAGTTAAAAATTTAATGCAAGACATGCGTCTGACCACCAGCTAACAACAGCTTTCAAAAACGATCATGAGTTTATCAGTACAAAGAAAAAGAAGCACAGCGATAAAAAGAGAAAATTCTAGAATTGCACCTCTCGTGTGAATGCAAAAAAATTGAGAAAGAGTGAAGAAGAATTGAAAGACCCACTTTACCTGTTGCATTTTGTGTTTTCGTGATCATCAGATCATCAAGCACCCTCGGAGAGTTCCACAATACAGCTCTTTTTCCCCAAATCTCGATCATATGAGAAAAATAGCCATCATAGGAAGCCACTGATAACAAGACAATCACGAATAAAAGCTAACACTGAACATGGGGAGACCGAAACATCATCAGGTAAATCTGTAGGAGGTAAAAATCAGCGCGCATTTTTTATTTTGTTTAGGCTTGCATGATGGGGTGTTTTACCCTTTCGGCAAGAGACCCCGGTCACGAAATTCGTAAACCTGATCCTGCAGAGCACGAAAAGAAAGATTTGTTCATGTTTGACGAGTTACTTCGATCAAATAGGTTTCCAAAGGAGGTACGAAACGTATTATAGTGGTACTTTAAATTGAAAGTTTCGTGGTCGTAAATTCAGATATGCTCAGAGAATTCTGGCAAGGTTGTTGTTTTAGTCATCTTGATAAGAAAAAATACATCATTTTTCTTCACTGAACGCTTAGATATGTTTTAGTCATCGAGCTGAGGAAGTCTACAAACTGTAGAGTAAATGTGGCCGGATTCCGCAGTTGAATATACGTGTTGATATCTACGAAGTCTGTGACTGTCTCAAACTCAAGAGGGGTTCGATTGTTTACAGTATAAGTAAAATCGGGCGATAGCATGTTTATTGATACATTAGGAAGAAAAAAAGATTTCCAATTTTGGTATTGCCTCACCTTAAAAGTCAGTGCTAATCATCGAACACAGGTGACGGTAATCAGCAATGGAAATGTTTGCTAATTAAGATTTTGCCGATCGGAGATCTAAGATCACGAGTGGATTCGCGTTTCATGGGAAGGAAAGGACTTCATCGGCTCCTTACAGAGCCGACAATAAGTTCGCCATGAACACATTGTATAGTTTTCTAACGGAACAAACAGGGCCTAAACAACGGCTGGGTTTATGTAAGAAAGTTTGACCTCCCACGGAGGAAATTGCTTCAGGCCCCGGCTTTTTGGTTTATGTTTTTAAGCCAAAAATGCACGAAAATGTAGAGACACGCGAAGGTCTTTCCACCGTCAAGTTGAAAGTTTGAGATGTCTACCATAACGAAAAACGTTCTTAGAAATTACGAGTGACTCATTTCCTTGTTAATTCAAACGGCGGCATGGGAATTTTGCCGTGCCGGTTGTGAACTGTCACAGTCATTGTGTTACCACCTCTAAACACTTAAATCAAACGCGGTTGCCTTTCTTCGATTCCTTATTCTTTGACTGGACAGCTGGAGATTGAGAGAGCCGACCGTTTGATGCGGTTTTGTGGCATTTGACCACTCTCTTTCTCGGCCTTCTGAAGCGGAAAAGCGGACAAAGGCTTAACACTATTTTAAATCACTCTCTGTGATGACGTAATCGCGCGGGCTGAGGCCAAGGTGCACGATCCATCACGTACTCGCGTGATGCGTCACAAGTGGCTGAGTCACGAGTCTTAATTCTCGATGAATATGGAATAGTTTCCCCTTTCATTTCCGAAATTACAAAGAAAACTTATGAAATTGACATCTTTTTATCATTTTCCGTGACTCTAGCCAGAATATCATTCGAATTTCGCTTGCGCCATGACCCTGACCTCGACAAGTAATTGATGACTCATTGTTATGTAATTTGAGCCCGCGCTGTTTTTGTGATAGTGAGCATGCGCAGCTTTTTGTTGCCAAATACAAAATTCCCCTAACTGCTAGAAATATCGGGAAAACCGTGTTTGCATCGTCGGCTTTGGCGTACAAAAACTTTTTTCACTCATGATTTCCGCCTCTTCTTGGTAGGTATTTGTTTACTGACCAGGACACACCAGAAGGACTCATTCCAAAAATGATAGTCCCAGTCATGGGCAAAGATCCTCGGTGGTTACTCGTCGAAGTTTGCAGGGAATTTCAGCGTGGAAAGTGTTCAAGAACAGAGGACGAATGTAGATTCGCCCATCCACCCGCTCATGTGCTTATACAGAATGGAAAAGTCACGGCGTGTTTCGACTCTCTGAAGGTATCTACGTTTTTCTCTTAAAGGGAATATTTGTGTGGAAAAATTGGAGTAGTTGTGGTGGCATTTCCGCGCTTTATGGCCATAATCTTCAAACTTTCTTTTGTTCGTAGAAATTTTCGAGAACTTGTTGCGTCGGTCACTATGAAACAAGTGTTTTGCGGGCTTTTCAACTTCTCCTAAAGTTTACGAGCTTGTTATGGGTGTGCTTTCTGAGAAGGCACGTTTGGGAATGATTTTCTACGAAAAATTTCGGAGGAGTCTGTCTCTACGATATCCTTTATTTCACAATAAGTAAGGTTATATAGGCACTAGGATTTTTTCGCTGCGTTTGGCTTATGCAACATCAGCAGTTCAATATTTTTGAGGAAATGAGATGTGTTTCTCTTAAAACTACTTAAAACTTTGATTGTGAATCGTCTAAGTGGCTATGCCAGGGGTCTAAACGATGTTTGTGGCTCATTTGTTTAACTGGACCAATATTCATTGCTAAACTGCGTAAAACCGGCGATGAATACCATGTTGTGGCATGTTGTGTGGGTGTCAAAATAGTTAAGAATTTGCTCTTTCGTATGTCATGAATCCAGCATTTCCCATTGCGTGTTTGGGTTTCGTTAAGGACTCGTGGACTCATCCGAGTAATTGTTGATTAAATTTTCGTGACCGATGGTCAAGTTCGTGAATCTCTTTCTTCTGTTAGACCACGTATCTCAACTGTTGAGAACAAAGCACGTCAAGTTAAAATTGATATGTCGTTCTGCTCACGAAACGGAGAACACGGGTTTCCTATTGACAAAATCAAAGCGTGCAATTTGTAAAACCTTTTTTTTTCATGTTTCGTGAGTTCCAGGTCGGAAACGCAGCAAGTGGATTCGCTTATCAACATATGGGTAGACACTTTCTTTGTTCTTTTCCTCTAGACTCACGATATTGAAAGGAAGGTTAAAATTTACCACTGCGTTCTAAACGTGTACTGAAATTTAAAGAATATTACGTAATTTGCGAGATAGTGCACGCATTTTCGTTTGCAAAAAGTTTCGTGAATTTTGTATCCTTTCTCAAAGACAAAAAAATAGCGTGCCCGGGGTGAAATTTGTTTTCTTGCAATAATCACGCGATTGTTGATTGGATCATTAAAAAGTTTGCTTTGAGTATTGTGAGCATCACTGTTTAATTTCTTGTCGCACGCGGTTTGCGTGACAGAAATTGAAATTTGCTCAGTATTGCTTCAGTCCGTGTTCTTGAGACAAAAGAAACTTGACTCTTGTTTAGAACTTCCTGTGCCATCGATTTTTGGGGTCGTTCTCTTTTGGCAAAGGGATTTCCGTGTCGGTGTAAATCCTTTCAGACCCTCTTAATCTTAATCATGATTAAAAAAAAATGATTATATATCTAATATAAATGTGGGCTATAACTCATCTGACATAAATTGCCTGATTACTGTTGAATATTGCTGCATGTTGCAGTCAATGATTTGAGCTTTGACTGTAAATTTATTTCAAAGAAATATTTTGGCTAGTGCTTCCTGAAATGTGCAGCTTTTAAATTGAATTTTGATCAATTAGTTATAATTTCCTGTGTGAATTTCAGATTGTCATGTTAGAAAAAATTATTTGGTGTTTTTGTGGTGATAGAACTAGTTTTTCAGAAGTTTTGGGAGTCTTTTTGTACCAATGTTGCTGTTTCTTTTCTAAAAACAATGATGTCAAGTTGCCAACATTGTGAAGATTTACACTAAAAATTTTTTTGTCAAATCGAGTCTTTTGTTTGGGTCGCACACAATGACTTGTCATATAATGGTTCAGTAGACATTTCTAGTTGACATGCATTTTTCAAATTCAAGTCTAAATTGAAGCTTTTTGTCATGTGTAAGGAAAGTTTACTTGTCATTGAAAAGTACCATTGGAATAAACTACATTCAAGCAATTGCTTGTCATTGAAGATAAGTGGTACCAGTTCTGCTTGTGAAAATATTTGTGTTACAGGTTGGCTAAATTCTGCGCTAACGATGGGGAATGAAAATTTAAAATGATTTCCAGCACTTGTTGGTGTTAGTTCACTAATAATAAAATTATTTAATAGATGCAATGAATTTTATAATAATGTTAAATTAATGGTATTGCTCAGAAATTAGGAGACAATTTGAAAACAGTGGTGTGGTGGGCTATTACTTGGTAGTTAAATTGATAAGGAGATACACATTTTGTTTGAAAGAATTTTTATTTGCATGTGTTGGGGCTTGCTATTTACTCCTTGTAGTCATAAGCCCTCTTATGTTAGTCTAAGCGGGTTAGGTTGTCTTGTTGAGATTAAGCCTTGTCTGTCTGGTTTTAATGTTAGCATGGGTAACAAATCTCTTTCTCTGAGGCACCCAGCTTGACTGGAGTAAAAGACAGGTTGTCATATTTTCACCTGTAGGTGGTAAATCTCAATAGTTAGACTAATTCAAATTTGTCCCATTAATTCTTGGGAAAAACAACTACCAAAAAAAAAGAGACTCACTCTTGACATCAGAGCACATTTTTAAATTAGGCAGTTTATAAGTGTTGAAGTTTTTTATTTTTGTTGCTCAGGCCTCATTTGTAGGAGGATATCTTTCAACTCTTTTAAACTTTTTGCAGTTTGTAGTCTAGAGGTTAGCAGTAATTGACTTACAAGATCAGGCTTGCTAAAAAAAACTGTCAAGTGTCTTTAAGAGAGATATGATAAGCTTCTTTAGAGCCACCCATATTAATCTGACTATATCGCATGTATTAACTAAGAGGCACTGTTATACATCGGTGAAAGTTCCAAGGTTAAAAGCAAACCTTTTTAATGATCAATTGTGATTAAAGGACAATTACTCTTTTCAACCTTCACACTAAACAAAAGGGTATTGATTGAGTCGCATTGACTGAAATTTCCCATGATTTTTTTAGTTCACACAGACTCACAGACTCCATGTCTAGACAACATTTATATATAAGATTCATTTCTTTCAGTTTGTAAAGGTTAACCCTTTATTTTGTGTAGTAATGGGATTAGAACCCCCTGCCTAAGGTGGTAATCTCAAAGCCTTTCTTTGGTTTCAAAACATTTCATTTGTGACTATCCATTGCTGGTTATTCTAAAATATGAGCTAAAGTTATCGCAAAGATAAAGTTTAAAAGGAACAGGAAACTAGTCATTAACACACAAGAGCTATGCATTATGAGTCTAAAGACACTCAAACCAACCAATGATTTTGCGAGAATTTTGTGCTTTGCACCTTGTGTTTTGACATTTAATATTTACTATTGTTTCAGGCTCGTTGCCACAGGGAAAAGTGTAAGTATTTACATCCCCCAAAGCATATAAAAGCTCAAATGGAGAACAATGGCCGCCTTCTACAACAGCAGCAGCAGCAACAACAGCAGATAGCTATTCAGCAGCAAGCCTTTGCACCACTTGCTCAACAGATGCTGACAAATCCCTCATTTGTAAGACACTTTTTAGCTAAATAAAGTTATTGCACTAAATGCAAACTTAAGTTCTTGAACTGAGGCAAAAAGTTTTGAAAATAGTGTACCATTTTTAAGACACAATGTATAACAAAAAAGTGTTTAGGAATTCTTACAGAATTGTTGAATGAGAGAAAACCAGCCCTTTGTCTAGGAAGGAAAATGAGAAATAACAGTCATTATTTTAATGTGTTCTTTGAAAAGACCATATAAAAGTCAGTGGAAAAATATGCTATCCAGTTCAGTATTGTAGTATTTTTTCCTTGCAAGTGGTGTGGAAAATTCCTACATCATGGTCTGTTTTCAGGTTTCTGATAATTGTGTCCTGCTTCTTGCTTCATTGTTACCCAAGTGAATGGGGGTAATTTTTAATAAGACATTCAAACCCAATTCCTTTCAGATATCTGCATGGCCATTAAGTGTTCCTGCTTCAAATGGAACATATCTTCAACATCCTGTTGCTTTTCTGCCTGATGCATCAGCCTTGGCTCAGAGTCCTTCCAGACGACTAGACAAGTCTGACAAATTGGAGGTCAGAGACCTTAAGTCTTTTAAATATTGTATATTAGCATAGGTTAATATATAAAAACAACTATCAAGTGATCTCTTAAGTTGTTGTAAATTGTTTTAATGCAGGAGAAACCATTGATCATCAAGTCTAATATCCTCATTGTGAAGGTTGCCCTGTAAAGGTCTGTTCTGGGCAACAGTGACTGATGTTCTGAAAGCTTAAGGGGAATTAATCAGGAGTAAAGTTTGGAGTTACACTAGTCAAAGTCTTACAACTAAAACCATTACAGCAAAACTGAGTTTTCTTCAGTTTTTGTGAACAAGACTTCTAACCCTCAACTGACTTTCATCCTCTCACTTCACTTTGATGGCAACTTCTGCTCAGTTGTCAAAACATTAAATACTATCACTAACAACAGACGCTATCAAACCTGCCCAGACTGTATCACATGATCAGACAGCATAATCACATTTTCACATAGAAAAAAACTGTACTTTTTGGTTTACATGGATGTGATAAATTGGACCTTATCTGGCCAAAGACTGCCTAAGAACTCCCTGTGATACTAATGTAAAAAAATAAAGAAAGAAAGAAATAAAATTGAAATACTGAGGGAATTGGAGGAAAGAGAAGATTTAAATGGATTGATAACAAAATGGAAAAGCATAACTTCTCAATCTTTAGAAAGCCACCACTTTTCACTTTCGTAGCATGATTTTTTAAATGGAATTGTATCTGCTTTTCAAGGTGTGTCGAGAATATCAGAGAGGGTCATGTTCAAGAGAAGAGTGCAGATATGCACATCCTCCTCCACATGTGTCTATTGATAGTACAGATGGTATGATTACAGTTTGTATGGACTTCATGAAGGGAAGATGTCAAAGGGAAATGTGCCGATACTTTCACCCACCAGCACATCTTCAGGGAAGAGTCAGAGCTGCACAGCAGCAGTCAATACCGGTGAGTAGTGTGTTCTTCATTTTTAACGAAGAAATGAGTGTCAGGTTGGAAGGTAAGAACCTTGCACCTGGTGACTGGTTCCAAGTACTTGTTTTTGACTTGATTGACACATAGTTTGATTAAGTTGATCATTGGGCCAAAATCCTGGGTGTTCAGTTTTATCAATCTATCTCACCATCCAAAGATTATCCCAGCCTCTGGGAATGGAACATGGTTACTATTACAACATCACTGATCCCCATGTGCTTGTATGAAACACATTCCTTATAATGCAAAACAAGGCCATGCACCCATGCAAATTAATCTCCTACACAATATCATGTAAGCCAATGATTTAACTTTAGTAACTGGCCCTCATCATCAGATGAAGTGAATAATAAGGAACATTTATTGAGTGCATACCATGTTCCTTACAATCTATTTCAGGACCAAGGGAAGTGTTATCATATTATTTAAAAGCACTTATTTGTGCCTTTTGAAAAATAAATCCCAAAATAATTTGGTGCCTTAAATTGCAACTAGACTTTAAATATTCTTGTTAGTTAAATGTACAGTTTAAAGTATAATTTATTATACTGAATAATTTGTCCAAAGTTATTTACACGGCTGTATAGCACCTGGAAAAATAAGCCTAAGCACAAGTGTCAATTCTACAGCAGAAACCTAGCCTTGCTTAATGCTAATAAAAGCTACTTTAATTTAAGATAACAATCAAGCAGCTTGCATGCAATTCACATTAAGAGGATGGTGGAGTATGTAGCACCCTGTTTATCTGGTCACCGATTTAAAACTTCATTATTACAAAGAAGTGGTTCTATAGTATGACAGTCTGTAGAATAGCTACTTGTATACAACGCAGAATGCATTACAAGTGCAGTATTTGACTTGCATGCTCGCTGACATAATCACTGAGATGTAGGTTTAGTTATATACATTATAGATTAGACAAACTATACTCACCAAGTCAGTGATTAACATCTCACAGCCTAAATCAGCAACCGTAAGGCTAGCTAAGGCAAGGGATCAAGTGTTCTTTTTTCTAATTGTTATTATTCTTAAACGCAAATGGTAAAAGAGAGCAAAAACATCTTGGACGAATGGAACCACACAACAATATTTTTGAGTCATGTTTTATTATGTGTTCCACTTGAAGAACACAAAGGAGACATTAGGAAAATGCAAAAGGGGCAATGATAGACCAAGAAAGGACAAGTAATGCTTAGGTTGCACTAGATTCAAATTAACTTGTGATTATTTGAAAAAGTTTGGCAAAAGTTTCCAAGATGTACAAATTGTGACAGCATTTTTAACATGTTAGTTCTAATTGCTAGCCTTGGGTTGCTGTGCAGTAACTGTCACCATGCATGCTTGAGGCTTATGAAGTTTAGCAGCAATTTGCATAAATCATGACTTGCACTTTGCTTGTCTCTTTTCATGTGCCGTTGCTGAAATTGCTTACATCATGCTGCTGGCTGGCTGGCATTCCTTTTGTGCTTGCACACCGCCTTCTGCTGACTTAGCTGGAGGGTAGCCGCAAGAGGCCCCATGATACATTGACTGAACTGGTACTTAATAGCCTTTTGCTTTTGTGGGTCTAAATAGCCGGAAAGCTGTAGCTACTAGATTAAGATTTAAGCAACTTGAGTGACATCAATAGAGTTGCAAATGCTGTTAGTTTCCAACCCCTTTTTGCCTGCACCACACCTCGGGCTTTCCCTACTTGGGGAGTACAGTCTGGGGGACTGAAGCAGGCCTTCACTGTGTGCTGAAATTGGATGCAAAGCTATTTGTCTCAATTTCCATTTATTGTCTAGTATGAATTAGTATCTTCATGACTGGCCCAATCAGATAGACCTCTGCCATAAGTGCTCATAGCTTAAAGGTTGGACCTCTTATTGACTAGAAGGATTTAGGGGTTAATTATAAGTCCTTGGACTGAGCTGTAAATATTCTACTTGGACATTTTGTTACCAATAATGGTCATCATGGTAAGGAAATATGAATACTAAAAGTCTTTGGAGTGTTCCTGGAAGACACAGTGTCTGTTGTGATGGTTAATACCAGATGGATATGTTACTCAGTGACCTAATCACAACCTTTCTTTAGTTGATGTGGAAAAACTGCATTCTTGAGACAGACTATGCCCTTTGAGGTGTCTCCTCCTGTTCATCCAGGAGTTTATAAGCACTGTCTGACATGAGATAGCTTTTATGGTCAACTTCTTAGGAATAATTAAGGGTGACCTTTGAGGGAGTAACAATATGAATACTGCACTGGGACCATAGGTTTACTCTGGTACATCAGGTCATAGAGAAGCAAGGATAAACAATTCTCTCTGCGAGTCACTTACTGTATGTCAATTACAGGCATTGTCATAAGGCTATTATAATAATGTCTCTGTGCAAAAAAAGTATCTGTGTTAACAGCATTAAAAAATCCATAACTTTTGGGCTGGGGCATGTTGAAGATCAAAGAACTAACTTTGCAGTTGTTTGTTCACAGACTTTTGGAGAACCATTCAAGAAACAAACTGCTCTTGAAGTGCCTCTGGTCATGCCAGGAGCGGCGGCTGCTATTCCATCCTTTAATCAACCTGTAGGACTGCAATTTGCATCTCTTATACCAACAAGTAGGTGAAAATTTTTGTTTTAGGTATTAATTTTAGTTAGGAGGTAGTGTGGCCCTGTGGAAAGAGTGTTCAAGCCCCCCACTCTGCCACTCCCTGGATTTGTTCTCAGTTATGCCGAGTTCAACTCCTTGCCTGCTCCTTGTATGTAACCAACTGGTCTGCCTTCAGTCAATTGTGATTTTTAAACACTATGTTTATTCATTCATTTATTCATTTATTTGTGGTGGCCCTGATTAAGCAGTGGTCCATTAAGTTTTCATACATACAACATACTTACATTCACACATTAATACACCTAGGTTACATACATTCACATATACATGTGGAAAGAGGACAGTGGACAAGAGGAGCCACCCCAAGGAATATCCACTGCTAAATCTCATTTATGTTCTTGTTTTTTAATCATGTTTGTGTTTCCACTTCAAAAAGTGGTTGTCTAAAGCTAAATTGACTTGTATTGAAGATGTTATATGACCATCTTTCAGTGCCGTTACTTACACAAGGAATTCCCTTGGTTCAACCACAAGTACCTCAGGTAAATATGCTATGCAATTCTCTAAAAGTTATTCTATAGTGATTATTTATAGAGCTCTATGAGAACAAAATGCTGACAGAAAAAAAACTGATTGAAAAATGTGCAGTTTGTACACCTGTGATTTAAATGAAAGGGGGCATTTGAAATCAGCCAGAGAAGGAATTTCCCCCTAGAATTCCTTTACTAATTTGGTGGCAATATGGTTGTATGTTTGCATGACAATCTCTATATACTCTAATGGTGTAGATGCAGTTTTAAAGTTGCCAAGGTTTGGGCCAGTTGGCTCATGAGACTTGAACAGTTTCTTTAGAAACTACTCGAACTTCCTTGTTTGCCAGGACTCTAGGGCTAGCGAGTCATGCTAACACTGGTGTTTCGTTTCATGTTCCTTGTTCAATAGTGGCAACAACAGGTACAGCCACAGGTCTTAGGCTATATGCCTGTGGAGTCAGCCGCGACACCACCACCTCCTCTAGCTCCTCCTCCTACTCCTCAAACATCCTACCAAATCATAGACCCTCAGCCTGTCCAGTCAATGGACGTCCAGTACTGGAACAACTACACGTTAGCTTCCGCTCCCACCACACCCACCTTTGTTATGTCGCCCCATGCTATGTGATTCAGGGGCGATTCTTTTTATATGTGCTAGGGGTGTGTGTGTGTGTGATTGATTGTTCCGGGAGAGGGCAAGAATGGAGGGATAGAACAGGAATTTAAGGAATGAGAGATTGAGACATAAGAGGTTGTAAGCTGTGGCTTTGTTCAAAGCAAGAAACAAAGCTGGCTGCCATCTCGGAGATTTGCATGTCCAAGATGCAAGGCAATATTGAAAGACCATTCCATTCAGTCTTCAAGAAGACAAACTTTATTCAGAGGAGGAGATCAAGATTACTATTACGTTCTTTTCTAAAAAAAAATGGCCACTGGAGGAAAAAATTGGAATGAAACTTCAGAACTGTCACAGTACTATTATTGATTGATTAATATATGACAATAGTGTGTGTTATCATCAGCTACAATTGTATCTCAAAATTGTTTAGGTCTTGGACCAGAAACAGAGATAAAAAATTGAATATAGCAAGCAATGTTCTACTTAGGTTTTCTTAATTCTAGTTTAAAAACAGTGACAGAAAGTTAGTTATGACCACTTAGTTATCGGTTGCATGTGAAAAACTAGCATGAAAAGAAAGAGGAAATATTTTATAAAATTAAGATCGAGTTGCAGCTTCCCAAAGCTCTGTTAGTGTTTTGTGCCCGGTTTGAGAGAAAAATAGATTGTTGCTTAACACTTACAGCGCTTTTGGTCCCTGCAGAGAGTAAAACTTTTATTCTTTATTTGTTACAAGAGAGAAAATGTTATCTGTTACATTCATTGATTTATTTTGTACATTCTAGAGAAGTCAATCGGGGTTTTACTCATTCACATATTTGTATGTGTAATAATTTTATTTGGGATTGTTATTTACTACCTACTCTTACTATTTAAGTTGAGAAATTGTTTTGTATGTACTTAAGAAAGATAGACTATATAAATGTATTTTGTAAAATATCAGCTCCTGGAAAGCAGCAGATCTAGATGAAGAATGACAATATTTGTACTTTAAACTACCTTAATTCACGTGAGAAGTCACATTTTTTTGACTGACAGAATAAACTTTAAGTACATCAAGATATTATTGAGCAATACAAAGTAAATCCATGTAGCTGATGACTCTAAGAGAGATGAAGATTTACTACCATCTGAAATTTTGTGATGAACGAGAGAATATAAACTTTAACAGGAATTGAGACAGCATTTCTATGAACCATTTTATTAACTTATGTTGCAATGGATGTGAAACAGATATTGATTTGATTTTTGTGAAATGAATGAACTGGTGGCTGAGCCATTGTGATAAAGATGAATTTAGATTATTAGAGTTGTTTTATCAAATAGAATTTTTCACAATGGAAAGTTTATTGCAAGACGAGTGAGAGAAAAGACAACATCAAATGTTTAAATTCAAACATTTTGAACTGTTTTGGTCAGATTCTCACGTGAAAGTCTTGCAGCAAAAGTTTCATTTTCATAGATCAAAATTACTTTTTGTAGGAAAATTGTTATTTATGTGTTTATATGTGATTGTAGAGTTGAACTGAATCATATGTTGAATTAAAGTTTGTCTATGTTGTCTGTTGGTGTTAATTATGTGTAAATATCATGCTTAAATGTCCATTTTACTATGAGATTTGTGTCCCTGGCTAGTGCAACATTCTACTCATGTTTGAAAAAGTTATCTTACATTGTAAGCAAATTGGACTTTGATTCCATTTTTAGGACATTGAATTTGGCAATAAGTGTTTCTGCTGACCTTCCCTTGTTAAAATTTTACAAATGTGCGATGGAAAAAGGAAGAAAATTAAATTTACATTGTAGGCATGATAAGTATGTTGCACTCCTTATGATATTATTTAATGTGTTCAATTAATTCTAGAGATGATGTGTCTCCTAACCTTCCTGTTGCAGGAATTTGGTAACCCCTGTTAAGGCTGCAGCATGCAAGCTTGTTGCAAAATTCCTGCCGCTTCCTTGCCCTGGCTGGTTTTCCCTAATGCTTGCCAAACTTCTCTCTCTAAGCACTTCAGCACCCGTGTTGTGTTTTCCAATTGACTTACCCATCCACTTTTCATCAGTTATGAATTTGTGTTAGTTAAGAAGTATATCTTTTATATAACTTAACACATTTTTTTCTTTTTCACTACTGGCACATTTTTACTCCTGACTAACTGACACCTATCAATCAATCAATCAATCTGAGACCCTTTCTTTTTCCCTTGACAGCACTCCAATGGGTTGCCAGTTTGTCGGGACTATAACTCTGGCCAGTGTCACAGAGAAGCCTGCCGCTATGCCCACGTTAAAGACAGTGAGCTCTCTTTCTTGTGTTAACGCTTAGCTGGTTAGCCCTTTCAGCCCTAGTAATAATATTCAAATTCTCAATGGTAAAAAAAGAGAGAAATTAAGAATGTCTTTTTTTCACTTTGGTATTTATTTAACCTAAGTTTTGATCCTTGTCAAATTCCCTCAACCAAGACGTGAGAATGAAATATTGAGCTGTGTGCAGAAGGGGCTAAACTGTGCTTAAGAATTCTTGCCTGGCAGGCTCCCACACTATGCTAAATGGCTGGCCTGTGCTTTTCAGAAAAAAAAAGAATAGATTTATTGAGTACTTTTGTCACTTTTTCTGGTGAGGCAGCTGCATTGAGGGAATGTTTGGTGAGCTAGCTGGTCTCTAGACTGAAAATTCAAGTCACGACACTGAACTTTTAGTGTGCCTCCCTCCAGTAAGACAGGGTTTTCAATTAAAGCTGGTTACTGGCAGTCTGCTGCTGTCTATAAGACTACATACCACCGTCTGTTTGGTATGCAAGTGGGCTCTCATGTTTGGGGTTTCACCTAGTGTGTTCAGTGGGAAACATGATGGACCAATGAATAGTACCTTTGGTTTTCTATTGACCCCTTACACCCTGACATCAGAAGGCGTATTCTCCATACTGCTCTCCATACATTTCCAAAGGTGATGACAGAGAGAATTTGCTTAACAATCAAGAGCCTTCCTAGTTGGTGATCATTTCCTTTATTCTTGAGACCTTAATATGTGATTCAAGGGTGAGATTGTAAGGAGAAACTAGATGCCAGTCACTCTCAGGTGTCAAAGGGTTGATATTCTTGGGGTTTTAGCTCTGGTTGGGCTTATCATGTTGTGTTGTGACTCTTTTGTCTCTAATGAGGAGTTAAACTCAACTTGTCAAATGTCAGTCCCCCCGAGGTTTAAATTAATTATTTTACAAATTCCTTCCCCCCATCTTGGCAAAAAAATTACATTTTAAAAATACATGCAACTACATCCTTGAACAGATATATATCAGCTCACTTTTTTCCTTTTAAATCAAGATGAAGTAAATTCCCTTTTTCATTGTGGTATATGTCCAAAGTTACTTTCATCCATGAGATCTAATAAGCTTTAACCCTTTAACTCCCCTAAGTGACCAAGACAGAATTTCTCCTGACAATATCAATACAATATCAACCAGATAAGTGACGAGAATAAAGAAAAATATCAATTCAGGGATGATTAGTTGATCCAATACCAAATTCTCTGAACTAACATTATAAGAATCACTCTGTTACCATGCCTTATGATAATAGGCCTGCATTTGAGCTAAGTTGCTGCACCAACATAGTTTATATGCTTTTTATAGCATCACCAATTAGGTGTGCTACTTCCCCCACTCTCCCTCCCTTCTAGAACCTCTCCCTCTCCTTCTAGAGTTTTTTTTTGGTTTCCCCGACTTTAATATACCCGTTGAAGGTCACATGAAGATGATCAATCCTTTGACACCAAAAGTGACTATAGCATCTAATTTCTCCTTACAATATCACCCCTGAATCACACATCAAGGTGGTAAGAATAAGGGAAATGATCACTTACAATAGAAGCTCTTGATTGTTAAACAAATTCTTCATGTCAGCACTTTAGAAAATGTTTGGAGATTAGTTACTGATGTTAGGGTGTGAAGGGTTAAGACTCAGTCTTTAGGGGTCTGGGTCAGCTTTGACCCAGACCCCTAATCCATAACTGTGGGTTAACCATGATCACTAACTAAGGTATTCTATCTGGCTTTTGTAAATTGATAATTTAAGTAGTGTCAGGGTTTAGACATCTGCTAGTATTGTTCTTGGCAAAGGGTCTTTTCCTACACAAAATAACAATAAAAAGCATCAAAATATATTTTTGCCATCATGCCATAATTTATGTTAAATATGTAACCATTTTAAAACAATTGGAAACATGCACTAAAACTGATAATTTATGTCAGTGTTTGGTTTCATGAAGAGACTCCCATATTTAATATGTTGGCATGTGATTGCAAATATAAACAAGGAGTGAAGTAAATTGGGATTATGAAAACATTGGATTTCCAGTTATTTGTACCACAGTTGACATCCTTCCTTCTAACTTCTATTTTTTTGTGTCCTTGACAGAAAATGTAGAAGTTGTGGATGGTAAGGTGACTGTGTGCCGTGATGCAGTGAAAGGAAAATGTTCAAGACCCAACTGCAAATATTACCACCCAGAGGTTGGTTCCTCAGGCACTGCCTCATCAACAAAGTCATTGAGATAGGGCCAGCTTGATAAGCACCTCCAGTCCAAGGATGTTAGGATGGAGGTGAAAGTTGGATGAGAGCTATTTTATTTTTGGTAACAGAAGAATGTCACTATGGTTATTACCAAAAATTCTGAAATTCAGGGGGGGGGGGTCTCCCTATAAGTAAACTTTTGATTCACTTTTACGCGCTATTGCTAAGCATGCATTGCACAAAATTTCATGACTTAGATTCCAGGTTTGCATAGAATGCTGTGCCTGTAAAAATGCTAGAGTAACGACTTAAGTGCTTAACAAAACATGATAATGCTGAAAGCATACACTATAAGGCCAAAAATAGTAGAGGGAGGGGAGCTAGCAGTGTTTGGCACTTTGGGTGTTAGAGATGTTTGTCTCTTGCAAAGCAGTCAGAGTGACCTTGCAGTGTGAGCATGCAGCCTTCAAGCTATTGCAGAGAGTGATCATGGTAAAATGAGACTGAATGGTTTCATGGCTTAGGAGGGAAGGAAAAAAACCTCTGTTTTCTGGGAAACCTGAGTAGTAGGGGTTACCTGTGCCAGTGGGTGAACAGCATGGCTAGGTAACTGTGGTGGAGCTGGGAACCTTAGCAGGTTACCTTAGCAGCCAGAGCCACCTGTGCCACTGGGATCCCAATAATGGAAAGATATCAATGTAATAGTCCATTTTACAGTTGTGTACTTGGTTGCCAAGCCTTGCAACAGTAGTGTGGCTGAGGGTGACCTTGTTATGATACAAACATTACTGCTTTTCAAATCTAAATTACCTTGTTATCAGGCAAACTAGACACTGGTCTCTATCACAGCAAGGTAAACTTCAGCCTCACTCCAAATCAAAGGCTTGGTAACTAAGAACACAACTGTAAAACGACCTACTGTGAATTACTTGACTGAGCAGTTTGTTGTTAACTAATGGGCAAATAGGCCAAATAATGGCTACGTTTATGTTCAGCAACTTGTCACTTTGAATATGACATTGAAACTTGAAGAGAATTAGTTTTGCTTTAAAGCTTACAACAAAACTGGCAATATGGTTAAGGATGACAGGTTGTTAGTAACTTTGTTCCTTGCCCAAATGCTCACGATAATGCACTATAAGCTAGTAAATGCAATTGCCTCTGTGGTTATTTGTGTTTTTGCTTGCATGCAGATATTTCCTATTTCCTTTTCTGTTTGAATTTGTAAAGGAAATAGGAAATATTCGGAAATAGGAAATATTCGGGTGTTGGCTATTAATGTGTGCTTGGTATTCATTTTTGTATTTACTCTTCAAGAAAGACCTTCAGAACTCAAGAAAACTGACAATTCCCACAATTTCACACTGTATCATAAAAAGCTCATTCTGTGAGTATGAAGATCTAGCAAAGTCATAAAATTCACAAGCCCAACTTTTGTAATCATTTTCATGATCAGAAGGCATAGAAATTTATCATTCTTACATTTACCAACTCTGATATTTTTCTGACCTTGATTTTTTATTCCATCAGTGCAAACTTAACGATGACAGTTAGCATTTTTAGTCATGCTATTTGCATGTGATGCAAATTGCACAAATTAGATCGAATCGCACTTTCGTGTATTTTTTTTGAAATGATAAAATTTTCATTGTAGAATTATCATTGTTTTATGATCATACACAATTGTATTTAAGTGCCATAATGGACAAAAAACACTCCAATGAAAGAATATAGAATGAAAGAAACTATCAGACGAGTTTAAAGAGTACTTTTTTACTATGGAAAGAGGAACAGAAACTGGTTTTCTGATTTTTTTAAAAAACAAATGTTATCTTCTGAATGGAAAGGTCTATAAATACAAACAAAAGAGAGTTTTCCAGGAAGCTGCTTTAGAACTGAAAAGTTGGTATCAATATATCATGATTCCACTCACGGCTATTTGATAAAAAGTTGTCCTTGAAAGAACTTGACATTATTACAGAACTGATTGCACTGGACAAGGTTAGATTAAAATTACATTATAGAGAGTTCTTTTGTAAAATAATCAAAGTAGTTGTAAGTTATCTTTCACCAAGTGAAATTGGAAAGTTTATTCACATGTGTCAACCCAGAAAATGCTCTAAATTAAACTTGGAGAATAATTCCTTTTGGCACAATTTAAGCCAAACAAGGTATACTTTTTGCTCCATTTTGAGCCTTGGGATTCATCTTTACCAAACTAGAACCAGGAAGCAATGTTTTCTGTGAATGTGATCAACTCTTTTCAACACCAGGATGTACAATCATTACGTTATTTTCAGTAAGACTCCTTGTTCATTGTTCATATTCTTGGTAAAGTTTGTACCATAGAAGTGACTTCAGCCCAGCTGTTTTTTTTTCTGTTGTTTATTTCTGTCTTCTGCATAATGATTACTTGTAAGCATGCATGAAAGCCACTAAGTGAGAAATAAGCATCAGCTTAATCCATCAACCCCAAAAGTCTGGCAAATATTTCATCCTTCTTGCTGCCACACATTTTGTTGTAAATTTTTATGACAACTTGGTTCTATATATTAGTAAACAGTAGCACCCTTGAGCTGATAAGTTTGTCAATTCTCGCAACCTGTCTGCTGGATATTGTCCAAAGATGGTGTTTGGAGAAGTGTCATGTTAAATGCTTCTTCAGTTGTATGAATGTTACTCAGTGACACAAATCTGATCAAAAAATTGCTTCTCCTGCCAGAATCAAACAGAGAGATAATGGGAATTTAGATTTAAATCAACCAAAGGATATTTGCTTGACATCAGAACTTAATAACAAAGTTCAGAAATGTATGACATTTAAGAGGAAAAATTTGACCAGCATTCAGATCTATTATAGTGAAAAGGTTCATGTTTGAACTCCCAGGAGTGATCTACATGTATCTTCTCCCCAGGATGTTCATATCTCATCTCAGTGATGAGAATACAAACATATTCAAACTTCTCAGGTAGAAGTTGTTATTTTGACCTAAAACCAAATTCTTTCAACTATTTACAAGGAAATGTGTAGCAGCTAGAGGGGAGAATTCAGATCTTGGGAGTTGAAGGGTTCAGTGGCAGAACCTTTTGAATTTGAAAGGGTGATATAATTGCAAATATTATCCTAAAGGCTAGGAAAACATTTAAGAAGAGGGGAAGGTGAAGAGAATTTATTTTTGTATTCATGTGCTAATATAGAGTATAGCAGCAAAGCTTCTAAGCGTGCAGTGTCCGATATTGCTGGCAATAGTTTAATGCTTTAATTAATCCTTTTTAATGTTAAATATTATTAAACTATTACTGTATCATTATAATCATTATTGTAAAGTGTATTCATGATATAAAGAGTCCCAAAGGTGTAAAGTACAGTGCATGCCAAAAATTTAAGAAGATTAAAGTAACATATTAATATTTTATGATATTTATTTAAAGTTCAAATTTTGTTCCACAATTTGATAATTTTATTGGTGTAGAGTTGGTAAGGAAATATGATTTGGGCACTATGAATATATCGAGTAAGGTTAACATGGTCCCACTTTAAAGGTTAAAAGAAAAAAATTTAAGATTAGAAGATGTTAAAATATTTTAGAGAGTTTTAGAAAAGATGATTTCCTTATTATAATCTCATGGTTGAGGAGCAACTGGCTTGCAGGGAATATGACACACATCAAACTCTCTTCTTTATCAGGGGCTGGCTATTTCATTTTCCAATTGTTGTAATCTCTGTAGATTCCCTCTGCCATCAGAAACCTAAATTTCCATTTGTTATTTGTTAGCCTTCATAGAATCTCCTGTCCCATATGTGCTTGATCAATGTAAAAAGAGAAAGCGCAAGGGTATTGCCTTTTTTCTTTGAAAAGTTATCCCACCAATTTGTCTTCTTTGCAAGTGTAGTTTAAATCAACCTGGGAAGATCAGTAATGGTATATTAAAAGATTAAGCACTATTGGGTCTTAATTGATAATTATCAGATCAAGAGCAGGTTGTTTGGCTGTGCAATGACAGTTTATTTACAAGGGGTGCAAATGGTAACTTCTGAGGCTTGTGAGATGCTGTGACCCCTGTTTTAAAAATGTGAATAACAGACAAGACAATTTTGGCTGAAAAACTTTACTTTTACTGAGTAAAAAGTTCAAGAGACCTACATTTTTCTAAGGTACCATTTGCTACCCCTTGTGAATTTGCTGGTTTATACCTAAGAGAACCTGCTTATGAGCAAAGGATTGGGGTGCTCTTTAATCTCAGCCCTTCAAGATAGAAAATTCTATTAAAGTGAATGATTACTGTTGAGCTTTAATCACAAGTTTGTAAAATTATGGTTAATTATTATTTCTTTTAAAAGGCAGCACCGGATTTTACAGGCTTCATTTCATCCTTATTTATATTTTAAGGTAATTATACATGCCCTGGAGGCTGTATACTACTCATGTTGTGTTTCTTGGGACAAATAAAATCTTTTTCATCATCTTGAGATCTTGTCTGTGTCAACAAATGTACTGCATTGTGTAATGAATTATAATACTTATGCTACTGACATCACTTCCTCATGCAATGGAAACTGAGCTCAAGCTAGATAGGCCACTTGGCTTGGTGATTCAGAGTCTTCTTGATTCAGAGTCCTGAATGTAAATGACAGTAGTCTCCCTAGCATCCAACACAGAAGTTCTTTTGTTCTTTTGGGGTTTGTCACACAATCATTCCTGCCCATGTGAAGAGGAATGACTGTGATAATTCTCAACATCTCTAAAGGAGACTAGGTCTCAGAAGCATATAACCCTGCAAAAATTTTCCTATCACTTTCCACACTATTTCCCCAGAAAAATCATATATATTTTTGCATTGCCACTTTAACTGTTAAGCTTTGTAGATTTTATTATGATTTTATGGTATAAAAATTAGGCTAGTATGGAAAAATCAACCAAAAAAAACTATTTTGACAATGATGTGTGGCTTGACTAGAAGTATTTTATTGCTCAACCTTTGAACAGTTTGTATCTGTGTGTGTGAAAAATATTGTATGCATGTACTATGACTACCAGTAGTTATTTTTAAACTTTTCCTTTTCTGCACCATCTACATGAAAAGATAGCCAATGAAAATGCCATTTTTCCTTTACAACCAGTTATTTATTTGACAACTCATACAATACCTGCAAAGTTGCAGTTCTCTGACTTCATATTATGACATCATTTAAGGTAATTTGTTTCAAAAACCTCTAATTAAAGATTAAAACACTTTCTGAACTATCTCCAACATACTTGGTTCAGTGACTTCTACATTTATAAAACATAACAGATAAGTACTTAAAACTTTAAAATATCACTAGCCTTGCTTTGGGCTTGTGATTTCAATGCACTTATAAAAACCTAGTTCACATACACAATAAAAACCAATCTGAGGGCAGCAATGAAAATGTAGATTGCAGCCTTTGCTGATCCAGCTTATCATTGCCTGGTACAAAGGACATGTGAAAATAGTTGAACAGGGATGTTTGTGTGGCGACAATGCCTGTTAACTGAAAAGTTCAAACAGTTGGTTTAACATTTTTTGCGTGGTTAACCCTTATGCTTAACACCATAACATCAGTATGCAGAAGAGTCAACACTGTTCCTTATACATTTCTGATGATGCCAATAAGAATTTGTTTAACAGTCAAGAGATTTATTAAACCTTTCACCCCCAGAAGTGGTTAACATGAAACTTCTACCTATAAGATCCATACATTTTTCAGCAGACAGGTAATGAGAATACTCAAACTTATTAGGTAGAAGCTGCTATCTTGACCTAGCACCAAGTTCTCATAACTGATTTACAAAGAAATGGATAACAGCTAGAGGGGAGAATAAACAATCATTTCTTTTTTCTTAACCTGTCGGTAACCTGTTGGTTAGCTGTCAGTAACCTGTCGGTCAACCGTCGGCTGACAGTTGACCGACAGTCGGCCGACAGGTTTTTTGGGGAGCTCTTCTTCAATTACCCATATCTTAGGAGTTAAAGGATAAACTGGCAATCATTTCCTTAACTCTCATGAACTTAGTGTTTGATTCAGCAAGGATACGGTAAGGCTAAATAAGATAGGTACCAAGCAAATCTATAGGCTGAACTGTTTAGAGCTGCAGGAGTACAAAAGGAAATAATTAACCCTTCAACTCCCACGATCTCATTAATAATTCTCCTTACTGTCTGTCATATAGTTCTTGTGATGTTAGTTTGGAGAATTTGATATTGGATCAATTAATAATCCCCTAATTCATATTTTCCTTTAATCTCATTACTTGTCTGCTTGATATTGTATTGATGTTGTAAGGAGAAATTCTGTCTTGGTCACTCATAGGAGTTAAAGGGTTAACAATTTAGCATGCTGCACTCATTCAATTATTAAATAATGAATAAATTAATTAAAAGTACACCTTTGTAACAGAGTATCACCAGTAAATTTGTATAAACAAAGCACACAGGGTGTGAATCATGGCACATCAAGATTGAAAAAATGCTTGTGACGGTCCTAGTATGTCGGGCAGTGCAGGTTTTTATTGATTCATGGTAAAAATGTCTCCTCATTTGCCTTATGTTTACTACATCAATTAAAAGTCAATCCCATCGCTTAATCACATTTAACTAGCATTAACTACCCTATGAGATACCTAAAGATAAATTTTCTAAACTATTTTTTGCATTTATAGATTCATGGTAAAAAAGGTCTCCTAATTTGCCTTATGTTTACTACATCAATTAAAAGTCAATCCCATCCCTTAATCACATTTAACTGGCATTAACTACCCTATGAGATACCTAAAGATAAATTTTCTAAACTATTTTTTGCATTTATAGATTCATGGTAAAAAAGGTCTCCTAATTTGCCTCATGTTTACAACATCAATTAAAAGTCAATCCCATCCCTTAATCACATTTAACTGGCATTAACTACCCTATGAGATACCTAAAGATAAATTTTCTAAACTATTTTTTGTATTTATCATTTGTAGGTCTAGTAGTTTACAAGCTAGTTTATAAGTCTAAGACTTTAATTCTCGAGTTATTAGTTCATGACCTTCTTGTAAGTGATGTGCAGATGTTTTTGGTGTTTTGTGCTGCTTGTTTCCATGAAACACTCCATTTCCAGCGTATCTGGATCCTTTAGTCTGAAGATCCTCTCCACCTGAAAACATTAAAATAATTAAATATATAGTTCATTTTATTGGACATAACAATGACAATCATTTGGGACCCGGCTGTTCAAAGGCAGATTAGCGCTAACCCAAGGTTAAATTTTATTCTGGGTTTCTTTATTCCTTTGTTCAAAAGCTCTTGTTGGATGATTTTTTTATTCCTTTTAGTGCATCCAAACATCAAATTGTAGACAATAAAAGAAAAAAGAGTTAACTGAATTTTTTTAAAGGTTTCAGATCTGAAATCAGATTTCACACTAACCCTGAGTTATCTTAACCCCACTAAAAACAGCCAGGCCATGAATTCTAAAATCTTTCAGACCATAAAACAAATCATTGAGCAATTACTGTAACTATGATATGGTGCATGTTTGAAGTGGATGGAGGTGTTGATTTTTTTCATGTTTATTCTTTAACAGGTTGATACTTCCATACTTTCTTGTTTTCTCATTGAAAGTGGTTTCAACCAAATGCTTGCTATTGTTAATCAATCAATTGATTGGTTGTCATGATTGCAACAGTTCAGCCTCTAGAAAACAACCTTAATTTTACCTTTAAATGTCTGTACTGACTTAAAAATAAATTCACAGACCCCTTTTTTTCAAACAGCAGATCAAATTTCATTTTTTTGGGCAAATTTCTAGACCAAACTGTTTTGTGAGGATTAACTTAAGCTTGATGCAATGCACTTGTTGAAGCAACAAATGTGAAATTATGGTTCTGTTTTAACTCACTACATGATGTGTTATTGAAAAATAACAAAACAGTTTTTAGCTTCCTGAGAAAAAAAATAGCCCTTAACACCTCCCCATTTAAATATGTACTTCACCATTTTAATGTGTACTTGAAATTTTAGGTATCTTAGTTCCTGAATGAACCTAATTACTACTGTATTTACAAGGAGAATTAATCAAATCTGTTTAAAAAATTACATGGCTTGAGTTAATAAATCACAACTTCCTCGCTAATTTCATATTACACTCAGTTGTCCTCTTTCTCAACGCTTTACGAAGCTTTGTCGATTAAATAATTGGCATTTAGTTCATCAAAATATCACACACGTCACAAACATCTTAAGTATCATCTAAGTCTTCTGTTGGTATACACTTTTCCAACTGAGTTACAGGTCGCTCTTTAGGAGTTCGGTCCATCTTCCTTCATTTTACTGGATTTTTGTTGTCAGAAAGAGACTTTGGACCGAGCTTGCCTGCCCCATTTTTACGGTCCGAAGGGTTTTTGTCTAGTTTTGTGTTCATTTGTTTTTGTGTGTGTGTGGGGATGTGTTTGATTGTTTGCTTTTTCAAATAAAACGAGCAAGTTCTTTAAGAAACTGTGGTGCTGGGGTGGGTTTAATAAGAGAGTTTGATTTTATCAACTGAGTTGATAATGTAACTACTTGGTTACCGTTTCCAAGACTATTTTCTAAAGCTGACGTCTCAAGGTGAAGCTGTTCGTCAGTCTTCATGGTCGTCCTAGGATTTTTTTCCACCCCAGTTATGTCAGCAAAAAAATCTTTTGACGTGGTATCTAAGCAAAATGGGCAAAGGCTTCCCATACGAGCGAATCACCATTTCGCCAAAGCGTATCTTTAGTGTGAGGTACTTGACAAGGGTAATTCATTTTGCTCCCGTTCATTTCGAATGCGTAAGCCGCACAACAAAGAGTCATTTTTGGAGATATGGAAATTCCCCCATACGGATGGGTTGTTTCTCTTTTAAGATAACGACTTAAAGTTTGCGAAACAACTCTTTCTCTAGTTGGTTGCCGTTTTTGGCAAAAGACAGATACCAGTTGTTTGAGGGAGATTTTGCCGTTCCTCATGATTTATGGGCATCCCTTTATGGTCGATGACGTGTATTCTCATTATTAAAGTACTGAAGCCTCCCACTGACGCTTATGGTACAGGCTGTAAAGTCAGTTAATTCACCAACAGGTGATCATTTGAGTTTTTCGAAGGTGCGGAAGCCTATTTGAATGTCCATTTAATTTAGTTGCACCGATTTACCTTTCTGTAAGATCACGTCTAATTAAGAAATTTTACGTTCCATTTTTGGCATCTACGGGTACTGCAACACCATCTAAAAGTCTGCCACCCCATCAAGTTCCACAGTTCTGGCCTTTGGTAGATGTTGTCGGGGTGTAATGTACATTCGGCCCTAACATCTTCAATTGTAACTTCTGCAATAAGGGTCTAAAAGTGAAGAGTCCTTGATTTGATTAATTCTCCTTGTAAATATAGTAGTAATTAGTTGGGTTAAATTTCAGTAGCATGATTTGCTTCAACTTAGCATACATTCAGTACAAAAATCAAAATTGTAACGCAATCGTTGCCTGTAGCAAAACAGGGCGGAAAAGTAAGATGATAAGTTTCGTGTGTCTACAGGTCAAGTCCTTGCTTGCTTTCCAATAAGTGTTACAGTGTCACGATTACTGTAATGTCATTATCATGTTCTTGACAGGAAAGCTTGTCAAATCTTCTTCCTTTTAAGAACGTTTACCAGCATAAAAGGGTTGCAATATTTTTTTATTTTTTATCATGCGGACACAATTATTTGCACATTCACCGGAAATGAATTCACAGTCTTTACAAAGGATAATGGTCATTTGATCGCTTTCTTAGTAATCGGGCGCTGATAAAGAGCGCGGCAAAACTGTGGTGGCAATTTCTGTCAACGATTTCTGTCAACGATTTCTGTCAACGATTTCTGTCAACGATTTCTGTCAACGATTTCTGTCAACGATTTCTGTCAACGATTTCTGTCAACGATTTCTGTCAACGATTTCTGTCAACGATTTCTGTCAACGATTTCTGTCAACGATTTCTGTCAATGATTTCTGTCAACAATTTCTGTCAACGATTTCTGTGGAATTGTAAGCAATCGGGTGTGTTTCCATTGCTGTGTTAACCACAGAGTATTTGATATATTTCTAAGGTGAAATACACTAAATGTAACTGATTTTTTTAACTGCAAAATTACAACAGTGACAAAACTTTACAAAAAGCTTCTACGCATCTAGTGCTAATAAAAATAATACAACCTCGTAGAAGAATAATTTAGTACAGATAGCATCCAATTTATGGTGAAACATTACTGCTCTTAAAGCAGAAATGCCCCATCTATTGTTGTCTGTTTTATTTGTTGTTGACAGAAATAAAACAGGCAAACCTTAATTTAGAAATGACCTGACCTATATTCTTCCATGTCATTGGTTTGTTGAGGAACTTAGTTACTGAAGAGTAAGTTTCACATTACAAACCAAATCTGATTGGTTGACACAATAACTTATATCCCAAAGAACTAATTAAAAATGTATTTGAGATCTGATTGGTTCATTCAGGAACTAAGATACCAAAAATTTCAAGTACACATTAAAATGGTGAAGTACATATTTAAATGGGGAGGCGTTCCTTAAGTTATCACCAACAATAAGTTTTAGACCTTTTAACTTGATTTACCTTTTGGACTTTTGGGTCAGCACCAAAACTCGCTCTTCCAACTGAGTGAGAGACAAGATGAATCTCATGTCCCTTAACTTCACCCTCCTCAACTTCAGCAAGACCTGTGAATTAAAAATTAGTTGCAGCATAGACAAATGAATAAAGGGGATAAGATTCTAAAGAAACTGTGGTGCTACATAGGTGGGAGAGTATAACAAGGTAATTTAGTATTATCAACTGAATTGATAATGTAAATTGGCCACCATTACAAGTTTTGAAGCTAACATTTTGATCGTTAGCCCTTTGTCAGAGCGAATGGCACAGGGCTAATGGCCAATTTATGTTACCAACTCAGTTGATAATACTAAATTGCCCTGCAGCATACACGGTCTTACTCACAGTATCTTTAACCACATCTTGTCTTTGTGGTTTAAACCCTTTATGCCTTACATTACATATCCTTATATACTCAGCAGCCCACTACATTTCCAGTGGTACTGACATGGATTACTTTTTAACACTCAAGAGGTTTCTTATACTGGTGATCATTTTCTTCATTCTCGTGACCTAAATGTTTGAAAGGAGACAGTGGATGCTGGTCACTCTTAGAGGTTAAATTGAGTGTTGGCAAAAATCTACTTTGATGTTAGTTATGAAAATTGGGTTTTGTATCAATGATAAGGCAGTTAGAACAGTGGATGGCAATGGGTTGGGTTAACTTTCATCTCCTACCTAATTTTCTCCCTTCACCCTCACAGGTTTGTTCATTGTGGTTGTAATCAGTTTTACAAATCAAACATGGCCCTTTTACTACTTGATGGGATTGTTGAGCACTATACAAGCTTAATATGACATGTCTACCTGTATTCTGTGCTATAATGAAGGCAAGTGATGATGTTTCTGGTTTGACTTTGAGAAATCCAACTTCATGGTGCATTGGAGCTCCTTTTTCCAGATGCCACGTTCTGGAGCTTAAAGAGTGTATGGAAAAAGGCACAGAGTGAATCTTGATCTACTATTAAATTTGCTTAATTTTTTTGCAAAATAAAGAAATACTCCAGATGATTTGTAAGTACAATGTAATTGTTCATCAGGAGTCTGAGGCATTCTTCTCCAGCACTTACTTGGTTTTATTATTGTGGACATTGTATTGAAAGATCATAGCATGATTTGTATGATCAATCGCCACGAGAACAAGTGATTCTCTAGATTTAGAGGTTATTAAATGGGTCTGTAGGAAAAGTCCCTATCTCTATAGGGTATGACCTGCAAACATTCCTGTGTTTCTGTCAAAGGTAAACGGTAAACAATAGTGTCCATAAATGCATGACATTGGTTAACATGCCACAAATGAAATATGACATTAGAGCCAAGAAAAACTGGAAAAAAAATTTAAAAATAATAATAGGGCTAGACAATTAATTTCAGTTTAATTCTGTCAGTAACATGAGTTATTTATAAAAAAAAAAAAGGTAAAACTGGAATTTTTAAACTGGAAATAAAGGCAATTAACATGAGATGGTGATTTATTCCACCTTGTCTCCCTTGCTCTTCTTCATTGAGAATGTGGGCAGCCAGTGCACAAACAGTGGTGGAGAGAAAATAGGGAAGGATGGGTGGATGAAACCTGTCATGAGAGGCTGCAGGTAAATAGAGAGGGAATGAGACCAGATGAATAATGCACAAATGGTGTCACTACTACCACAACACTTATCCACCATATGCAATTGAAAATAATAGAGAATGCAAATTGGATTCTCTATACATCCGCTCTTGTTAGACTCCAGAGAACTTAAGCCTCCTCTCACAATGGGTGATGCATTCGAAAAGCAGAAACTCGTTTTTCCAAAATTAAAGCATGCGCATCATATGAAATGTACAGTACACTCTGTACATATGCTAGATCTGTTGTTCTAAAGCAGTTTCGCTGCAAAATGCGTATTTTAAAAATTGTTGGCCATAATTTTCTTACCTGTAAGAGAGCATCGGCTGTCCCACATGATCAAAGATGATCTCTTCACCATACATGAAAGGAGAAATTGTTGGATAAACACCACAGCCTTCACCTTCCCACTTTCCAATAAGCCAGGAAACCTTGCTCAATGCACCGTGCAGGGCTGGCTACAAAAATTTCGCCACATAAGTCAAACTAATGAATGTCGCCCATTACAGGTACTGGCCTCTAAACCAAACATGCATATTTCGTCTGACCAACGTTTTGTTTTCATCTTTTTACCGAGTTTATTGATAAAAATTGCAAGAAAACAATGATAAAAAAAAAATAAGTATGGGTTATCCACATTATGAAAATAAATAATTGATCGCTAAGAAACGGTTTAGAAATTTCTTTTATGGAAAGACATACAAACGATCTCAACTACCTGTCTTTCAGCCAAAAAATTGAGTTTCCACGATTTCCTAATTTGCAGCAACTCAGTTTAACACGTAAATACGAAGCAAACGGCATCTGCAAATGTGAAACTCACCTTTTCTATATTATCTGAACTCATCGTTCTTCCGGACAATAATTTGAAGACAGGGAAAGTACGACCGACACAAGTGCGTAGGAAGCTTTTGCAAACCTTATGTAGCATCCCTCATCACCTTTCGTCAGCGCGCGAATGCCTTTATTTCCCCACTGGTGCGAGTAAGCTGTTTTAGAAATTCTTCTAAGTTGTTGCCTCTATCTCTTCTTGGATTCAATCGAAATATGATAAATACATATGTTTCTCTTTTTAGTCCAGACACAAAGACAAAGCCAATCGCATCGTCAAATACCGTCCATTTCAGTTCTTCAAAAAAAAAAACAACAACAATAACTCTAAGAAGAGCAAAAACTGACTGACCCTACCCCTCTGAGAAATGATTTCTCTTTGAAAACCGCATAGACACTTGGGAATGACGCGCCGTTGGAGGTAAATTCAAACGAATGTTTGTGTTCGAATTTGTGCACATTTCAAGCACGATTATTTATTTTGCGTATGAACTGCTCTTCTAATCGCCGAAACTGGTACTTCGTCTCAAATGTGGACGAATTATGCCTGTGGTAACGAGATCATGTAGAAAACAAAAGGGAAGACCGAGGATCGAAGACGCAACGCCAGCGACCTCTTGTATCGATCGTCGAAGGTATCCGACACGTTCTTCTGTGAAACGAAAGATACCTGTAACTCAACAAGACAAGGATAAAAATGATTTAGAACCACCCTCTAAGGTAAGAGATAGTGACTTTTATGTTATTCTCCATATCTGAATGAAAAGATCATCTGTAAGATGTGTAGTCTAGACCTGTTCAATAGTTTTAACGGCCTACAGTTGAGAACTTAAAATACTTTTTTATAGCAAAAGGAAATTGATTAAATCAATTACTGTCAAAAACAAATTCTTGAAAAACATGTCATGTACTTACTAGGAATGCATATTTTTGAGATGCATTTTGTCGGCAGTATAATTTAACATAACCGCTGCGATCTTTGACAACCTGCGACTGATGTATGTTGGCGAAAGTAAATTTTCAGCGCATAATTATATTATATCAATTACTGAAAAAAATTTTCAAGGAAAAAATTTACCATGATAATAAGATCAGAAGTTGTCTTTGGAATATGAATTCGCCATAGCTATTATACGAAGCTAAATTAACTATATTTGAGATAATGGCAGCATGCGAGTCAAAATTTCTCTTCGTTTGAAATTTAATTGTTACAGAAGGCCCCAAGCAACAGATCTTCCAGAAATGTTTCTAAAACTTCCAAGAAGTTACCATTTCAAGATATCAGTAACACCTTAGACCAAGATCAAGGTGGCGGTAGTAAGTCACATGCACGCAAAGTTTCAAGATGTGTGAGTCGCAATAATAACAAAAAAACAGCCAAGTCACAACCTAACAGAGAAGTTGTCAACAGCGAAAACCATGCAGGAAAAGGAAGTCCCTCTTTAGAGAAAAACGATGGTGTTCCTGATGACAATATTGTGGACCCCAAAACACCTGCTGGTTGCATTGCTGCAAGGATCAAGAGTTACAGTGCCTTTCGTCGCAGTCAGAAGAAGAACAAAGTCAGAAGTGATGTGGATAAAGAGAATGCAAGTTGCTCTCCAGTTGACCCAGCAGCAGTTACATCTCTCCCAGAAGAAGTCAGTCCTAGTTCTATAACAATGGGTGAGGAAAAGGAATCGGAATTGAATTCTGATCCTGAGAGTGATGAAGATATTCTCTGGAGAATAAGCAGGAGTTGTAATGTTCAGAAAGAGGATTCCACGCCAGATAGTAAGGTCAGCAAAAAATATTTAACGATAATCAAATAAGGATGATAATAAGGATACTTAAATGATTTAACAGTGGACAATCCAGGAGGTGGCTCTTCCTGTCCACTGTTTCCCGGTTGAATTGGAATTTGGAATGTTGCTTTTTGTGGAGGGGGAAAAACTGGAGGACTCAGAGAAAAACCCTTGGAGCAGAGATGAGAACCAACAACAAACTCAGCCCATATGTGATGCCAGGTCTGGGAATCAAACAAGTATTAGGGCCTCTCAACAAATCATGCACTTGGTAGTGGTTATGATGAATTATACAAAATACATGTTATACTTCTATCAGGTTTTTTTGGAATGTGAAATTGTTTCTAAGGCTAAATATTGTTGTGGGATGGGGAAAAGGCAGAGGGTTGATTTTTATACTTGTTTCCTGTTTATTGCACTGCAAAAATATTTTCTGTTTATTTCAGGTTATACATACTTCGGTATGTTTTTTTTTCTGAATCGAGCTTCAAAACACCAGCTATCAGTAGCTTCATTCCTTGTTTCTTTATTTATAAATTTTTAGTCTGCTGATCAGAGCTCTTACAAGGAAAAGTACTTCACTCTGCTATCTGCAATGAAGCAAATACAGAACACATTTCTCAGGGCTCAAAAAAATGCAGAGAAGAATGTAAAAGGTATCTCCCAGATAATCAGCTCATTATTTTATATTTGTGTTTGGCACTTATTTCTGTCTGTGTTAAATTTTATTTTGGAATACATATACCATACTGTTTTGAAATCCATTTTGGATGGATGCCCACCTTGAATACAAAGTTTGTCTCATCAAGAGTAAGCCTTGATGTGTAAATTGTGTGATTATTTATTTTTGTTTGAGAAAACTTAAGTCTTGTAGAAGAAAAATATTTAGTGTGGTCAGGCTTTGGAGACAAGGAGGAATGGTGTCATCACAACTGTTGGTACTTTTATATCTAATAGAAACACTTACAACAAGTTCCTTGCACTGGATGGTTTATACAACAGGATTAAACTACAGCTTAAGGTTGAAGATGTCCATATGACTTGTCTCTTCTGGTCATATAATTATATTTTCAATCCATGAAAGAAGTCTCTTATATGTAAGAATTTATATCCTCTCCTTTGTTTCAATCCTTATCATACTACTAGCTGAAGTCCCCCAAAAAAGTTTAAATTGTTTTAATTTCCTTATCTTTTTCTTAACCAGCATATGACAATTTTGTGAGCAATCTGAAATCAACCCTCAGCACAGAACAACAGAAAAACTCTCTCCTGAGTGAAGAGCTAAGGATGAAGAAGGGATCTGTTGAGAGATTACGCAGTGAGCTTGAAAATACAAAAGAGCAGTTGAAATTTATGAGAGAAGATAAAGGTAACTAAACAGAAAAAAAGTGATGTTGTTTAGACTGTTTTTAGTGTATTCTCAAGCACTTCTAGTTCTGCTAGGACCTTGCATTGGCTTCTCACTTTTATTAAGAGCTTTGTGTTGTTTTAAAGTTAGTAGCAATTGCAGCTATTTCTTGACAAAGGGTCGTGGCCGTACACAACAGAGGACATCCCTTAAGTTAACCATGCCCTTCAGATTTCTTAATTAAAGATTTTCTGCCATGATTTGGTTTTTAAATTTGTAATTTTTGTTTTTATGAAACGGACAAACAAACAAACATAAAACAAAAAAGGCAAGTTGGCTTACTAATGAAGGAAAAAGTTTTTCAATCAACTTTTATTTAAACATTCTCCTTGAGTTATTGCCTCAGGCAAACAAACTTGCATGTGCAGCTGATGCAAGCTTTTTTACTTAGTTGGCACATTTGACATTAATAAGTGTGAATTAATTTCTTTACTTTTCATGAAAAGCACTCTTAATAATGTACATGTAACATCAAAAAATTCATTTAGTTTTAACTGGCTTTGATTAGGTAATACACTAAAATTTTGCAACAAAAACTCACATTACAATGTGTGCCTTACTTCGGTTGTTAATTACTTTACTTAATATACAGCTGTATACAAGAGTACATAATCACTACATTCAGTAACAAAACAAAAGGTCTTTGCAAGCTTTCCTCGCTTGCCCCTCTATTAACTGACTTGGTTTGGGTAGGAAGGGGGGAAAGTTACCCTGGAGCAGAATCTGTGTTATTAGTTAAAATAAAAAGTTAGGAGTCGCGCATATCTACACAATATTATACCAGTACTAAATTGCATGTTCCAGTCAGGCAGGTTTGGTTTGATATAATATCTTGACTAGTGCATAGGCCGGAATTAAAGATCTCCATTGTGGATTGTTAATAGCTATAGATCAAATTTTAGTTATCTTCCACTATTTCGTTAAAGGCTTGCTCAGCTTGCTCAAACAGGTCTTGAAGCATGTTTTGTAAACGGACCGCCTCGTTGAGATCCCTCCTCAACTTTTTCAAAGTTTGTTGTGACAAAACATATGTTCCTGCGTTGGCCGCAGCAAGGCCAGTAAACACAGCAATGCTTGTTAGTGCCAAGCCTCTAGTAAAGGAAGTAAGGTTGTTCCAGGTGTGGAAAAGTTGGAAACCTTGCGTCCCGGCTGTTACGAGATTGACAACTCCATCCACTGCGGCGTAATCAGCCATGAGGTCAACACGCTGTATCTGGCCATCAATCTTAATTCGTAGGTCGCTGATTTTGGAAAGAGTTGAGTTGAAATGTGTGTTGATTCTTCCCATTTTCAGGGGAATACCGCGATTTCTCGGATCTCTTTCGCAAGTATCCACGAGGTCTGTGACCAGCTGTTCCATTCTTTGGAGCTTGCTGTTTATCGTGCTAAACTCATTAGGGCTGCTGTCGATGAGATTTGACGCGGTGGAGATGGTCTTCCACGCCATGTAGAGCTTCACGCATTGAAATACTGCGACGAAGGCTGATCCATAAACCATATCTGTGATAACCTTGTTGCTCTCTTTCTTCTGGAAATCTTTTATTGCGTTTAGAATCGCCTCTTTCGTTTTTTGATGGTCAGTGATTTTGTCTTCTGCAATGCGCTCATGCAGTTCTAGGAGAGAGATACCGAGTTCATTCCAGTAATGCTCTAACATTGCCTCTGTGGCGTTTTTCTTTTGATAGTCGACAGCTCTAAGTATGGCATCTTTACCATCTTCTGTTATTCTTCCGAGCATAGCTTCAATGGTTTCAATGTGCTCTCCCAAAGTGCATATCTCTCCGACATTCGAAAGGGCTTGGCGAAAGGACCATCCGCTCTGACAGAGATCAAGAACGTACCCGAGGATTTTACCCATGTTTCCTTTGCGTTCTTCCTCTGGAAGTTCATCCCGCATCCTCTGTATTGCAGCAGCATCGTCCATGTTCAGCGACTACGAGTAATGTTGGAAATGAACAAATTTGGAAAATCGCCTTCTTTGATTTATACGTTTCACATGGGGATTCCCCAAGAAAACGTGACGCAACACTCAATAGTTAGTCACGAGAAGTAATCAACTGCAGCCAACGATACCTGTTCCTCTTTGCAAATTCTACTGGTTCTTTTAAAGTATAGAAGTGTTATTTAAACAATATTTTCACTGATCACCTCATACTGTCACATATATGACCATACTTAAGGGATCTTTGGCGTTTATTTTTGTATGGGAATTTTCCCGGCTCTAAGTCGGTGGCTATTTCGGTTTCGGATTTCGGCTCTCAAAGATTTTATCAAGCAAAACAAAAACTAATCATCAAAATAGCACTATTTATACAGATAATTCTATATTAAAATCCTAAATGAGTCACACTATGAGGTAGAAGTCGGAAATCAGGGTAGAGAAAAATCACTAACCCAAGAACGAAGATCAAAAGTAGTGTTACTTGCTTTCTCCATCTGCACCTAGGGAAATTTCCCAATGTAACACGTCACAAAGACAGGGGTCTTTTGCACTGACCCACATAGACTGAAATTATTTTCTTTAACGATGGTAATTTTCCCAGAAAAAAACATTGCAAAAACATGCTTTCAGTTGAGTTTTTCTGCACACGTAGGCAGAAAAATTTGCTGTACAAAACTTCGCTCACATGTAAACTTTTTGTTGTCGGGCAATGAAAAACCACTCAAAGAAACATTCCTTGTTTAATTCACAAAAAAGAGAGAAAAATTCCGTACCTCTTAAGATAAAATATTTAGCCACTTCCCCAACTTTTAAGTCCGAGTTTTTATCCCAAATTTCTGATACTAGTTCGTCGAAAAAATGTTGCACACAAAAATTTTAGGGCCCAGTCCGCCTTAAAGGTGAATCGCTTCGTCCATCAATAAAGCGTTTAAGGGAGAGTTGTGATATTTGCGAAATATTTGAGTTACAACAGTTATCCCGACTCAAAGGTAGTGGCTAAGTCATTGTAATACTGGCTATCTTATGGTTGGAAATAATGTGATACATACTGAAAAAACATTGTGACTTCATGAAATTAAATGCCCCTATGAATGGACCAACAGAATCACGAATTAAACTTTCATCTAGATACCGCGCTTGGAGGAAAGTGTAATCATAAAGAACTTGCGTAACTATCTTATAAGTCTGTACTGAAGAAACAAATGTTTTCATAACAAAAAAGTTTTAAACATGTTAACTTCACCAAAACCTCACAGGACAAATATATGGCTAGATGACCAAAGTGGTTTTTAACGTTACGTCACGCAAAGTGCCACGCACCCAATAACACATTCATTCAAAATGCATCCGTTTACGGAAAAATCGTTAACTGATTCAAATTATGAGCTTCTTTCAAAGACTTCTGCTGTTTTCCTTTATTTTTGGATCTAGAACGTGATGAGTTTAGGTGAAAAGATGCTTTGAGTTCGAAAAAAAAAACAGATTATTTTTGAGAGGAGAACAATGTTACCGATAACATATAATTATTTTCTTCCGTTAACAAACATATTTGAAATTTAGACATTTATCGCATTTTCAGATTCGATATGGTAACCAAAAATTTTATTCGTCTGGGCTAAAAATTCGCCTAAAGGCCGCTGTTATTTTTACTGTTGCGGCTCAACAATGGTGCAAAAGCCTTCGCTCATACCATGGATGCACTTTAAGCAGTCCAAGAGCTAGATGAAAGCAAAGAGGCCAATAACCTCGGTATCAGCTGTTTATTAATCGCGTTTTTTGATTCTCTTCATCTGAATTGACTTCTGGGACCACATGCGCGTCCGACTAGGTTGCCAAGTTGTTTTGAAAATGGCGGCGTTCTTGGTCGAATTCTCAGCACAAGGGTCAAGTTTCCCTTTGGAGGCCTAAAAACTAATTCATTGTACGTATACTTTCAAGTACTAAGGTTAAAAATTTCTATGTACACTGTTGCATACTTCTTGTTTAGACCGGCATTCAAACGGCGACAGCTTCGTCTGATAGGCCTCTGTGAAAAACCGAATCTATTTGGGTGTGCTGCTTCCGAAATAAGTCACTGCCACTTCATTTTATCGCACAAAGTCACACTAGTCTGAATTTGTGCGGTTTTTCGCGACTATATGTTCTGTCGTTCGCATTAAGATTCTCACAAAACTCTGCCATGTCACACACATACCAGGGGCGTAGTCAGGATTTTTCAAAGACGGGGTCACATTGTGTGTCAAACAGAGGGTACTCACCAGATTGTCATGTCGACCTCCACGCCGTGTTTTACTTACTGCAACGGAAAAAAGAGGCTTACCCGGGCTACGCCCTTGCACGCAAAGCAAAAGGTGGTTAGGTTTCCCAGCTTTCCCGCGTAAGTTGCGAAGCTCAACTTATTCCCTCGCACCACCCCACCCCTCCCTCCTTCCCCCCAACCCTTACCAACCTGTCATCAAATTTACATCAAAGGTGACAACTTTCAGAAGGTTTTTGCCAGCGTATATTAAATTTTCTTTTTCCAGTCTTAAACTTTGCGATTATCAAATAAAAGAGAAAAAGTATGAAGAAATACATAAATTGACTCAGGCCAGTTGCTCAGCAATTGTGACAATGATAACTGCAGAGTTGGTTTTGAAATGTTTCTACTTTTTTCTGTTACTTGCAGCAAATATGAAGAGGCATGAGCAGGAGGAAGATGAAAAGAAAAAGGATTCACCCAGAGAAACATCAGAAACAAATAACAAAGAGCTACTGGTGAGGGAGTAATTAGATTGATCAATCTCAAAAATTGACACAATAGAGTTTAATTAAGGAACAGAAAATATGGGACAAATACATCAGGATTTCTAGTTGTTTATGAGCTTTGTCGATGGGATATGCGGTGAATCCATGGTTAGTACGTTAGCCTACCTGTAGCTATACCCCCCCCTCCCTCCTAGGTGAAACGGTTCCCTCGCCTCCGTTTCACCTTGCAGGGGTAGGGTGCGGCTACACGTAGGCTATTAGTGCGTTGGACTCCAGGTAGAGATGTTCGGGCTCATGCCCTGACCGAGAGCAGGCGGTTGTGTTGTTTTGTTGGGTAGGACACTATTCTCACAGGTCCGCTCTCCGCCGCTAAGGAGTATGAATGGTTGTAAGAGAATTCAGGAAAGCCTGACAATTGTTTTTGTTGTTGTTGTTGTTGTTGTTGTTGTTGTTGTTGTTGTTGTTACTGTTGCTTTATTCTTTGGGGGGGGGAGGGATGGAGTAACACGCGATGGACTGCCATACCTTTCAGGGGGGAGGGGGTCAACAACAGAATACTCATGGTCGCTTCATGCTTTTGGTACTGGGATTAGCTTAGCCCAGATCAGTCACATGTATTGACCCGGTCTCTGACTTTACCTTTCCCTGGGCTTTCCCCAGTTGTCTTGAGTCATTGCTGGTGTTGAAAACTCTTTCCACTCTCAAGAGCCTACCGGCCGCTTAGAGAAATTTTCCACAGTGTCGAATATAATTTGGTGTTTCCTTAGTCGTGCTGTACTTTGCTCCTCAATTGTACTTTCTCAACCAATCAGATTTAAAACTACAATCAACCGCGACTTGGTCACCCGCGTTTTCCTGCGCACGAGACGGGCTGCTTGAGATCTGACTGGCTTCCTGTGATTTATTCCTTTGATTTGATCGGCTGTTGTTGTTGATTTGGTTTTCATTGTACGGCACATAGTCCAAATACCCTAGTTTATCCTGGTTTCTTTTCTGTGAAGCGACAGGAAGTCTCATCCTGACCACCCCTAATAAGCAAAAAATTCGACTTCCAATCCGATTGAGGCAAAAAAAATCTTTAACTTTGTAATAGCAATTTAATGGTGCGCTTTTCGACTGAGTGTCGTATAATCAGAAGAAAGAAAAATAGCCTGAGGGGCCAATGAGAACTCAAAATAAGCAAACTGCATAAAGCGCGGGAAAACGATGGCGACCAAGTCGTGATTGGTGTTAGTTTTGTACCTGATTGGATGAGAGAGTGGTGCGAGTTTTCTGGACCAATCACGAAGCAAAGCAAAACCAAAGCAATACCAGAGTATTTTGGACTCTCAGTAAAAGTTTCTCAAAATACATATTATGCTTTTTATTCAGTCATTAACTTACTTTTTCCAACTCTTTGTCTTTTCAGCAAGTGATTGAAGACCAAAAGAGTTTGATTAGTTTTTACTCTCTTCTAACGGGAATTTCAATGTCACGAGAGAACACTTGTGAAGATACCAGCTCCTTTCACAGCTTCAATTGCACTTTCTTTCCAGCTGAGAAAACAGCTCATCGTAAGTGTAATGTGTTATGAACTTTGCTTTAAATGGCCCCAGTAAAAGGTTTAGCCTCAGGGTGAAACACATTTGCTGGTTTGCCTTTTTTGAAACACATTTCTTCATTCGAAAACACAAAACCATGTTTTACCAACAATTAAAGAAACTGTCTGTAGTGCTGCGTCTGTGGGAGAGTATAACAGGGTAATTTAGTATTATCAACGTTACTGAGTTGATAACGTAATTTTGCCACCGTAAAGAGTTTAAAAGCTGACGTTTCCAGCGTCAGCCCTTCGTGATAGCGATAGACGGAGGGCTAACGCTCGAAACGTCAGCCTTTTAACTCTACTGTGGCCAATTTACGTTATCAACTCGGTTGATAATACCAAATTACCCTGTTTTACTAACAATACATGACTTGACGTAAGATACGAAATTTACTATTATATAATAAGCTGAATTCAGGATGTTTTTTTTGTTGATCGAGGAAGTGTAGATCGAAAATGGCACTGACTTTTCGCTACTGTTACCTCACCGCCAGTCAATCTTTTTTCAACACACGTTTAGAACAAGCGAGGTGTTTCTGAACAGAAAGTGACGTCACATCTCACGTTCTTTTTCCTCTCGCTCCCAGTGTCCTCTATCTTGTTCTCTCTAATAAGCACGACATTGGACCCGAGGTTGCTATTAGCTCCCAAGCCCCTCCTTCTTTGAAAACTTATAACTAGCGTCCGGAAGGATAAGTCTTACCCTCTAAGTAATTCATTAATTGCCTTAAAATGTTCTTCCTGATAAAATTGTCCTTATACTAATCTCGTACGTAGATCCTGCCGTGTACGTTAATTGTATTTGGCCGTGGAAGGTCTGGGTACGAGGCTATTGTTATATACCAAATGTGTTAGTATGTTATACACATTCCAACCTTTTTCTTGTTTCCCACTGACAGGTTTGCAGTTTAGGCTGACTCACGACACAGAATTTGATGAGATTGAATACAGTCCTAACCCAAAGAGCCCTGGTTCCGAAGATATTCTGTTGAACTTGCCCAATTATCTCCAGGATAATATGTTTTTCGGTTCTGATCAGGCTACGAATTTTCTGGAAAAATTGTTTAAGACAGTTAAGGGGTAGCAGTATAATAGAACTTTAGTTATTTACCAGTTTAGTAACCTGCAAGCAGGCCCTTCGTTTTAAGTGCTTCGGTTCGAGCGTTTCTTCGACCGCGGGAAATTTTGGTGTACTCTCCCCAACTCAATCGTCTCAAATCTTTCCGCGGGCGCAAAATTGCGCGTCCTGCAGCGCTTATGATTAGGGCTCTGGTCGCAGGCTACCAGTTTAGTAAGTTTAGAGTAGTTATTAGGGTTTTTAAACTTTCTTTTGATTTATAAAATTAATCCAAGAAACTGTTCATGTGAAGGATCTGAGAGCAAATCTTCCAATCACTTTGGAACACTTTGGAACACTTTGGGGGGGGGTCGGTCAATTGGAGGATTTTATTGTGTCACAGTAAAATTTACCTGATCCCCACCAGTGGCTCTGTAATATTCTAATGATACCCCCTCATTGGTAGTCAATTTTTTTCTTTAGTCTCGCCTCTATACTCTGTTGTCGAGGACTGATCTCCCCCCCCCCTTCGCACCCTCTGAAACCACGTTATCCCTCCCCAGAAAAAAAATCCTTCCTTCCCTTCCTTTGCCGCAACTGATGACAGGCTTTTTGTTATTTACCAGTTTAGGGTAGCTATTAAGTTTTTAAACTGTCTTTTGTCCGATGCGAGTGATCCAGGAAACTGTTCTCAGTGCCGCAAATTAAGATTCTGACAGTATGTAGAATTTTCTTTCGTTTAGAGTAACACCTTCTTCCCTTTATAGAGATAGTACTTAGTAAGTATACTTTGAGGGAGAAGTTAGCAAAATTTTAGGATTTTCATTTTCTTCAAAACTTGAATTATTTTCTTTACAAAACGATCTCAGTAACTTGATATCGATTTCATTTTTGCAATGCTGGAAACTTAGTTAGCCTCTTACGGGCACACGTGGCATTCTTCTGACTTTTTCGATACTTAAAATATTCGATTCTTTACCTCTCAGTTGCATATGTTTTATTTTTAAGCGATCGTTTTTTTGGTAGTTGTTATAGCTTTTTTTAACTTTACAAATATTTTAATGAAATTGTAGAGTTGATATCTCCATAGTCAGTCAAATCTGGTCAGTTAATAATCCGAGTAATCATAATCCAGCCCGCTCTCCTCCTTTTCTTTTGCTCTTTGCATGTCTCACTGGTGGAAGAGTGAGACTCCTGTAGCCACCAGGTCCGTTTTGTTTGTATTTGTTTCTTTATTTTTTGTTGTATTTAACGTTCAATTGGAACCAAGTATGCTCTGTATGAAAATATGTGCTATTTAAAATGGGTACTATAATCACTTTACCTGGCAGTATGGCCATTTAGCTGGCCAAAATGGTGACTTTGAGGATTGCTTAATTGTTCAGACTGTTTTGTGATTTTATTCATTTTTTTTTCGTTCTCAATGCTTTTCAAATTGAGGATAATAGTAGTACAGTTGATGTTCTTAGGCTTAAATTTGTTTTGGGGTCTTTTCTTCTGGGTTGGGCCTCATACACTCTAATACCCGCGAACATAAAACTCAAATGTTTTATTACCACGAATGAAACAAACTTCTACAACAATACTATTTTGAAAATCACTGCAGCATCACTGCATTGGAGATTTTTTAACTCATTTACCTTAACCACGGTATATAATTAAATAAACTGGTATATTTTGATTATAGTGGGAGTGCCTGTTCCACACGCCTTGTTTCGCATCTCTTTCATAATCCGCTTACCCTTGCCCTGTAGGCCTACAACTGCTTACAAATGGGCTTAGGATGTTTCAAAAGGAATCATAGACAATTGGTGCAATTTTTTTCTGAGATATGTAAAATGACGTTCGAAAATGAAAATTGAGTTTTGTCTTCCCCTCGTGACTAAAGTTTCCTCGAATATTTTTTCCTATCAAGCTGTAAGTAGCGAAAAATTATACAAAATAGTAAACGTTTGTGCCTATCGATGCATGTTCTGTATCAACCAAGAAAATTTTTCTACTCTCATGTTACTTTTCCCAAAAATTTTAATACTTTTTTGCCCTCCGGGTCAGTTTTTTTCATCCGTCAATTAAGGCAGCTTGAAGCGAATTATTTTTATTTTCAATATTGGCCAGAGTTTCTTTTAATTTTTGAATTATGCTTTGATCGATTAAAATTTTAGGTTGATATTGGGTTTTTATCTCAGCTTCCTCAAGTCATAGAAAATTGAACATATATAAAAGCCAAGGAAAATTGATGAAATCATGACTCTCATGCTGTACATCGTTTTTAATTTTTCCACACCAGCGGTGCGTCAGACAGTTTTAATTAATATTGGAAGGATTGTTTGAATATTCCTGTTTCTATAAAGCCTTCCCTAACCTTGCAATTCCCTTTGGCAACTCGAAAACATTAATCAAAGTCTAAAGCGTTGTTTCTTACAAATCATCGACGATCGATCGACGGATAATCGCGCACAACTATTAATAATTTATTAATCTTATATTTTGAGCATAAACACCAAGATGGCGGCTGGTGTTTTGGCGACGTCAGTGAATTATTCTTCTTCACAGTCGTCGGCTGCTCCTTTAAACCGATCCCAAATTGGAGGTTATGATGCAGATTTTGTAAGCCCCATATCTGCTGATTACTTATGTCCTATCTGTCAGCTTGCTTTTCGTGATCCTGTTCAAACCAGAGACTGCGGCCATCGATTCTGCGAGTCTTGTTTGGAACCAATTTTACGGTAAGTAATGAGGGAATGTCTTTCTGTTCTGAAACAAGAGAGTTGTTCCTCAAAATCCATTTAATTTCTGTTACAGAAAACCTCCAGCGTTTTGCCCGATCGATCGAAGAACTTTAACAAGGGAAAAGGTAAGAGATGTTAGCTCATCTCGTAGAAAATATTTTATTTTATAATTCAAATCTGGCAAGGCAAGGACGAGTCGTTCCTCTGTTAAACATATGTTTGTAATCGAAGCTATGGTATGTAATCTATAAAATATCCACAGTTTTTCTCCTTTCTCTACACTTTGGCCTCATAGTAAGGAAAAAGTAAAGGACTCAAAAGGTTTGTTTTACGGAAGAAAAATCTTAAAATCACGGCTCTTTTATTCAATGTGTCTAAGATCAGGGCGATCTTGAATCCACAGCGTCGAATTTCCGACGCTCAATAACGCTCATATTTTGTTAAGGATGATATATGTTTAGGGGCACTGAAAGGCAGTAAACGAGGTTCCTATTTCCCATTATTATTGGACTTTTTGACGCTTAAGGATCGAATTTTAAATCCCAAATTGCTTCTTGTGATCGTTTTAATAAATTTCCACCTTCTAGTATCAGTGTAATAGATATGATAACCCTACAGGCCTATGTTTAAGGTCTGCGATCTTTCATTAGTGGAACGTACTTGCACTGATAAACAAGAACAAAAGTATTTCCGAGGTCACATAAGTGATTACAAATGATTACAGTAAAGGCTGTAGGAGATAGATCATTGAAGCACAAAATTTTAACCGCATAGTTTTAATTTGAATTTTCCTTTTCGCGTGACTGAATTAACATAATTTCTGAGTGAAAAATTAGCCTTTGTGGTCTACCTCGCCGTCGTCTCATCTCATAATTGCTTTAACAATACAATTTCCTTTTTAATTTTTCTTTTGCCTCATTATTCTGTGGCATTGAGAGCCAAATCAAACAATGTAATCTTTTATTTGCTCAAAAGCGTTGCGAAAGAAAGTAAGAGGTCATAGATATGACGTGAAACTTCTTAATCTTAACGAATTTTAACCCGACAAAGACTGTTCTATCTTTCATTCACTGTATTGTTTCGGGTTAAGCAAAGTCAGGATGATTTATTTCTATACATTTTTGATTTTTCTCAATGCAAGTAGATCTTTAATTTTTCGTGTTTCATGTTTCTCGTTAGGGGTAATATTGATTTCAGAGATGTCCAAGTGTGTTAATTAGTTAATCGAAGCACAACTTACAGTTAGGCTGCAGGAATTCTGGCAAAATGACAGTTTTAAATGTAAAGATTGCCCTTTTTAAATTTTTCAGAAATAAAATGATTTTCAATCATATAGCCAAAAAACAGGGAAATTTATGAAACTCATAATTGTAATTATTATCTTTTTTTTAAATTTGCTTTGAACTTTTGGTCAATTTGTCAGCCTATAGGATAGATTCTGCTATCATCAGAACGTTCTGATTTTTTAACAAACTGCTTTCGGTCTCTCAATACCTCATTCAATATGGACCCTTATCATCTTTATCTAGCAGTGTCTCCAAGCAGTTGGTGTCTCCTGGGTCATTCCCTTGGGGATTTTCACAAAATTATTGTCCATCTGTCTCTGCTGTGGCACCAACTCCTCACACTGCCAAAGACATTACTGACCACACCCATCCTAGGTCCAAGGATCTCTCTTCTTTCCCTGCTGGGGATGAGAGAGTAACTAGACCACACTTTGATGGAATCTTTTTTCTTTACATGGTCTTTGTTCACCTTTTCTCCCTTCTACTCACTCCCATTTAACCCTTTATCTCCCATGAATTTTTAATTGATCTAATACCAAATTCTTGTAACCAACATCAAAAGGATTGTATAACAGATGGTAAAGAGCATTACTACTGAGATCTTGTTAAAAATCTTAACCTTGGTTAATTATTTCTTCATTATTATTTTTTATAAACCTTATCAGTTTTGTAGTAAGCACGCAGAAAGAATTGTGTTGAAGACTTCGGTGGTAACTTCATCATGAAAGCCTAAGTAAGGCAAAGTCTAAGGTTTAGGCCCAAAGAAAAATATTTTCGAACTCTCAAGGAAGTGCATTGTTGGACAGTGCCTTCAGTTCTGAAGAATGATTTTGATTGTAAGAAAGACATTGTACTCATTCTAACAGCATTTTTTCATCTGCTTGTAATTAGAATAGAAAAAGCCAGAATATCTCTTTATACCATGGAGCTATGTTTTTTATAATAATATTGTAACTATGTGAAACCCATCTCTTTAGTTTTAAATCATTTCTCTGATAAATGTATATAAACATTATAGATATAGTTAGAGCATTCTTGGCTCCTGTTGATTGCAAGGATGCTCTGTAATTTCTCCAAATAGACCACCCTTAAAGATACAGATGTACACGTGGAGCTTGTCTGATATGCATTTTTTTGATAGCAGTGTCTACCTACCCATTGGCATGGCACTCAAAGATTCTTCAACCATTTTTACCGATCAGTTCCACCATGTGTTAGTAAATCTCATGCCTGGGTGAATAGTTTGAGGATTGCCTTTATGGAACAGACAGAGCCCAGTCAGTGACTTAGCTTGACCTTTTCACATGTCTAATATTTCCCATTTGTCACACAAATGTTGCAGAACTAATGAGTTGATAGGTAAATTTTGTGGGGAAACTAGCTTTTATCAATATTAAGCAAAGGGTTAAAGGATACATTTGGTTAAGATCTAAAGGGAGAGTCTATCCTCTGTATTCCTAGTGTAAGAGATGGGGAAAAAAAAAAGTCACTGGCCACCTTTAGATTATTTCTCGAAGATTTGTAGCACCTTTCATATGCCATTTTCAGAACAATGACTTGGCACTTATGCTTGACTTTGGGCATGGAATAACACATTCATTTGTGTTTAGTCTGCTACCTCTCATTTACACATACTTATCATGATGTTAGCTTTTCAAAACATCCCTTGATTAGGTAACGCATTTTTTCTACCCTGTTATTTCACTCTCTACCTGAAGTTTCCAGTCTTTATTCATTCAGGTAGTAGTGTATAAATAGATGAGCTGTATGTGGTGTGTTTATGACTTTGGCAACATGCCTTAAATTTCCAGTTGTTGTTTTGTTTGATAACAGCTCCAATTCTGCAAAGCAAATAGATAAGATTGCTTCTCATCAGTTGTTACCCCATGCACTGAAAATAATCTGTGATATTAGAATAATATCTATAACATATGGTTTATACTGGTGACATGTATTATTAAGCTTTTAATTACTTTTTCTTGTGAACACTGAAATCTGACAGTATTACTTAACTCAGAGTTTTCTTCTTGTATCAAAAGCTGCTCTTTGAAACCTTTGGCATGGCAATGATATCAACTCTAAACTGTTTTCCTTGAATTTCTTTGGTCAAGGTCAAGATTTTTTTATCTTACATTTGATCAAACAGTTGGTAAACCAATCTCTAAGAATTTTGGTGTCTAGTAATTGAGATAACACCAGTGGTCGTCAATTAATTCTCAGTCAGTCTCTCATTTATTTCCTTTAACAACAGTTTTTTGTGTCACAGCATGACTGTGATAAACTGTGATTAACTGTGATGAACTGTGATTAGTCTAATCCTCAACTATATTTTTAATTCCCTTGAAAGATGTGCATATGGTACTCTGTTTTTAAAGTCCTTGAAAGTCGCAGCAAGGTTGATGTTTGTTCTGTGTCTCTCTTTTAAAAAAATTCACTCTCAGACGTAATTAGAGGACAGATTGTGTCTGGTTTATATTGAAAGGTATAAAATAACATTTTAGAGACATGTTTGTTTTGCCTGAAGCGTGACCTAAAAAGTTCTTGATTCTAAATTGTGAAGAGTGATTTTTTTAGCTCTGGCAGGTGTCTCAAGGAGCTTGATGAACGACAGGTAAACCTTTCATCAGTTATTGGCAGAAGTGACCTGTATGTTTGAGAAGTATGGCCTTCTTTTTGCTTGGACTCTCAAGCCTAAGAGGAAGCTCTTTTGAATCAATCTTTGAAGCTAATGATGTATAAATGATATTTGAACCTGCCCTTTCTAAATTCGCACAGATCAGACATCTGTTTGTAGACAACACTTGTAGAAATAAGTTTTGCTTGCACTCATGATGAATTTTGACTTGGATAACATTTTTGTTAATCTTAAATATAAAACATATGTGGCAGTCATTTGATTTTCATTTCAACTCATACTCATTCTACTCAGCTCAGCCTATTTCAAAGTTTATGGATATATCTTCAGCTCATCATTCTTAGCAGTTCTTTCCTTTGTCAATAATTGATATACACTCTATTTGACTTACTGGCAATTCCTTCTCATGTCTGTGCAAGTTAGGATGTTAAATTAGACATACTCCATGTACAAGGTCTTATTTCTTCATGTAGAAACACAATCTCTTAGGAGCTAAGCTAGGTTTTGCAGAGAATTATTCTCGATGTCTGTAGTTAAAAAAGAAATGATATTGTTTTCAATTTGATGCACAGTGATTGGAATAGTGTGTTTTGACTAAAACTAAGCAATGTAATTGAGACCAAACAAAAACAACAATTTTTTTTAATCTTGGTTGCACCTGAATGATAATTCAGAACCTTTCAAATCCATTATAAGCTGTTGGTAGATTATGCATAACTGTTTCTATAACAAATACTATCCAATATATTCTGTTATAGATACACAGAAGGCTTTACGTTTGTGAAAGCAAAACTTGAAATATTTGAATCTATCATTTGATGTTTATATATTGGGAATATTGGATGGGATTTTTCCATATACAGCAACATACAGCATTCTGTTATTAGCAAGCTGTTAATTGAAAAGCCCCCTTTTACAACAATTTGAATATGTTGTATATACATATGTGTATATATATATATATATATATATATATATATATATACACATTTATATATATATATATTGTATATACCTTGATTTCATATTTTAGGTTTACCCTGATAGAGCATGTAAAAGAACAGTGTTGTCATTAACAGTAAAATTTTAAAACATATGTGGCAGTCATTTGATTTTCATTTCAACTCATACTCATTCTACTCAGCTCAGCCTATTTCAAAGTTTATGGATATATCTTCAGCTCATCATTCTTAACAGTTCTTTCCTTTGTCAATAATTGATATACACTCTATTTGACTTACTGGCAATTCCTTCTCATGCCTGTGCAAGTTAGGATGTTAAATTAGACATACTCCATGTACAAGGTCTTATTTCTTCATGTAGAAACACAATCTCTTAGGAGCTAAGCTAGGTTTTGCAGAGAATTATTCTCGAAGTCTGTAGTTAAAAAAGAAATGATATTGTTTTCAATTTGATGCACAGTGATTGGAATAGTGTGTTTTGACTAAAACTAAGCAATGTAATTGAGACCAAACAAAAACAACATTTTTTTTTAATCTTGGTAGCACCTGAATGATAATTCAGAACCTTTCAAATCCATTATAAGATGTTGGTAGATTATGCATAACTGTCTCTATAACAAATACTATCCAATATATTCTGTTATAGATACACAGAAGGCTTTACGCTTGTGAAAGCAAAACTTGAAATATTTGAATCTATCATTTGATGTTTATATATTGGGAATATTGGATGGGATTTTTCCATATACAGCAACATACAGCATTCTGTTATTAGCAAGCTGTTAATTGAAAAGCCCCCTTTTACAACAATTTGAATATGTTGTATATACTCACTTTGATTTCATATTTCAGGTTTACCCTGATAGAGCATGTAAAAGAACAGTGTTGTCATTAACAGTAAAATGTTACAACAGCGGCAACGAATGTGACTGGACAGGAGAACTTATAAACCTTTCTGTAAGTATAAGACACTTAATAATCTCCTCAGTTTTCTGAAATGCTCAAAGAATCTCAAAATGTATTTGCAGTTCAGTACCTTGACTCTAAAGCACCCTTAATCGCAATTCTGTTCTTGATCAAAGCAGCAGTTTCGTGAACCCTTTACATTGACATCAGTATGCATATTCTCCATACGGTTCTTTGTATATTTCCAAAGGTGCCTACAATGAGGATTTTTTTAACAATCAAGATCCTCTTTTGTAAGTGATCATTTCCTTTATTCTCCTGAGCTTAATGTGTGATACAGGAGTGACGCTGTAAAGAGAAATTATAAGTGAGTCACTTGTAGAGGTCAAAGGGTAGTTTTAAAAAGTTGGTGAGTAGTTTTGAAGGCCTGGAGTGTTTATCTGCTAAATCATGATTTTTTTTTTTCCTGTTCAGAATCACTTGGAAAACTGCAAACGAGTTCCAATAAAGTGTATAAACAACTGTGGAAGAACAGATATACCAAGAGACCAGGTGTTTTTTAAATTTTGATTGAATCATATGTAGTAGTATTAGACTAAGTACAAAATGTAATCCAACACATATTTTTTCAAAAAATCACCATTGTTATGTTTATTAATGACTGGAAATAGATTTGCAACACTTGAATCTCTTTAACATCATTTGAATTAAGTTTTAAGAATGAGGTACTGTGTATTGATTGGATTAAAAGCCTGACCTTGAATGAGTGCCTATCCCATGGGCAAAGGTGAAAAAGGTAAAGCCTGAACTCAAGCTAAGAAGTTCATCCAGCTGGAGCTTATTCTGGTTTCCCTATCATGAAGCAATTATGAATATGGCTATTTCCCCCCTTGGATGGGACGTTAGTTCAAAGCAACCCTGTAGGTATGAAAATTTTTTTCAGGGCTTAGCCTTAAGCCTTGTTCTGCTTGCTTCTTCTTTCAACAGATGTCAGCCCATGTAGATGCAGATGGGGACTGCCCATTGGCTGTTGTACCATGTCAGTATACTGACATTGGATGCAAATTTAAGGTGGGATTGCATTGGGGTGTTAAAACCATATCAGCATCTGTCTTGGAGTCTTATTTACATAATTTGCTTTTGCTTTAACAGTATGACAGAGTTCTTAAGTTTATTTTCTGGGAAAGTGTGTGATTTTGAACCACAAAGCCATTGATTGTGATGCTGTGGACATTAACTTTCCAGGGGGAGGGGGTGTGGAGGGTATGGGGGCATACTCCCCGGCAGATTTTGAAAAAAAAGAAATAGCTTAAATGTGTAGTACTCTATCCTGAGCATTTGTGGATATTCCATGTTACCACTGTGTGTTCAGCATGTGGAACAGGTCTTTAGTGCACTGACTGGTGCATCTTTGTTGTGACTTTGCACAGAATTCCTGTTGGAAAGAGTTTGAAGGCAGTACATGGACATTAAGTAATGAATTGTATTTAGAAAAATAATTATTTAATTTATTGATATTTAACTTAAGGAGCAGCTTGCTATCTCAAAATCATTATAGTCTTGTAATGTAATGGTATGTGCACACCATAAGGAAACGTGGGTAGTTCAGAGGGTTGACTCCTCGTCTCCAGGTTTGCTTTGAATCACTAGTCTGCTCAACAATTTTTGTTAAACTGAGATATTCTCATTGATATGCTGGTAAACATGTTCTCAGGGTCGACGTAATGAGATGGACAAACATGTGCAAGACAATATGCAAGTTCACTTAGATCTGGCACATCTAAGAATAAGAGAACTTGAACAAAGACAGGAGTTTGTGTGCACAAACGGAAAGTTCCTGTGGAAAATTTCTAGCTACTCGCAATTATTTCAGCAGTCAGCCACCAAGAAAGAAAAGGAGAAACTGTGTAGTCCGCCATTTTACACTGGACAGTATGGTTACAAGCTGCGTGCAGAGGCTTTTTTAAATGGCTTGGGACAAGGAAAAGGAACGCATCTTTCTCTATATGTTGTTATTATGAAAGGAGAGTATGATGCAATACTACCATGGCCTTTTCAGCAGCGGGTGGATTTTGTCCTCATTGATCAAGATGACGATGTTGGTGCACGGCAAAATAAAGTATGGAGGCTTACTTGCGACAGAGACAGTGATTACTTTAAGAGGCCAAACAAGGTTAAGAGTCTTGGATTTGGTTGCCCTAAGTTCGTTTCTCTGGATACTCTCAGAACTAGAAACTACATTCGAGATAACACAATTTTTATACGAATCGATGTGGAGCCTTTGGATGCATCTTGAAATTATTACAATAATTAAATTCTCTCTCATTGCATAGACTGGATTCTGTGCAATCTGTAATCATTTGAAAAGCCATGTTTTATCAGTTAGAAGATGACGCCCAATAGTTATGCATATAAAGCTAAGTAATTACAAATTCTATGACGAGTTCCAAGGCATCTTATCGCTTTAAGACACACCTCTTATTTGTCTTTGAGAATTTTATGAAACGATCATCTAAACCCACGAGTGGTAAGGGATGGCAGTAACTCTCAAATAGATAAGAGAGGGGACTTTGGCCCGTCAAAAACTCTTAAAGGTACCTCCCCCCTTTCTCTGGACATTTGTTTCGAGAAATCTTAGCAGTTTAATTCTTTGTCTCATGAATAGTGGCCCCAGTAGATACTTAGTCATCAAACTTTTGTCAACTGCTAGTAGTAAGTATGGTCTTTGAAGAATCAGCGGAAAAGATATAATTTACAAAAAATATAATCATAACAGTACGGTTTGCAGTTTGCATCTTAAAATAGCAAAGCTAATTAGAAAAAGTTGGAGATTTCTTCCTGGAGACCTGCAAAAATAATTTGAATATGTCTTCGAAATAGTGAAGAAGAAACTTGCTTTTCGATGATGTTACAGGTGATTTATCATTTTCTCATGAGTAAACGAAATTTTTCAAATCATAGGTAGATTATCCTACTCGGCGAAGAGATATTTCTTGAGAGGTATGGTATTTTTTATCGAAGCAGAGACAACGTTACTTTTTCATGTTAGGGGTGACCTTGGTGAGGGATCCTTGATCAACACTGTAAAAAGACTTCTGCAAGAAGAATAGAATAATAAGCCTTACCGCCTACTTTACTGAATGTCAACGGTAGACTTCTAGTTTCTCAATAGTTCATATGAAGAAATATATGCATGCAGGTCAGGAGAATGAAACACCTGAGCACGAAAAGATATTCTTCTGGTACTAAATTACATTCTCTTAACTAACATATTGTAAGCAATACATGCATGTATGTAGATTAGAGGAATTAGATTCAATTGTTGGAAATATTAGCTAGTAATGTAGATGAAATAGCACATTCTCTTTTTGTTTAGATTTTTCATGCAACACGAAGGAGAAAGAGTGAGTGATGTAATTTGGGGAGATCGCAAAAATTCTTGCCTAAAGGAACACCTGAAGGCATATATATATATATATAAATGAAGTGAAATTATTTTAAGCCGTCTTGAAATTATGAATTTTATTGTTTACAGTTTATTTTTCCTTATTCAGAGAGATGTTTATTACGGCATAATTATATTAAACTCATTTTAACGTCGTTGCATTCCATAAGTATCCTTGCATGAGAAGGCGAGAGTCGGGATTGCGAGTTTGCAGGGAGGTCTGGGGCAAACCTTCCCGACCTCGAGGGATAATCTGTGGTGAACCGAATTTTTGTCATTTCCTTTTTTTATCCGTCTTACGTAGAATACTTTCCTCGCGAAAGGCTCCGCGGTCCCTACAGGACCACTTTTAGGGACTTATCATTATACCAGGGCTCGCGGGATGTTGGGAGAACGCGAGATGTCAAACCGGAGGTCTAAACGCGTCTCGCGACCGGTGCAATAACTCCCGCGGGGGGGGGGGAGAGACACGAGAAACGTTTACTGGTCACAAGCCGGAGGCGAGTGATTTACGAACCTTTCTCGTGTTTTCTGGACATCCCAAATAGGTTATTACGACGGTAAACCGATAGAAGGTGCAGTTTATTGCTTTTACAAAATAAGTTGAAACAAAACTGACAGTCAAGATTCCTCCTAACACAGAATGTTTCCTATTTTTCCTATGGGTTTACCGGTTCAATAAACGAAAGTTTTTGACCAATCAGAGCGCTCTTGATATGGATGTTGTTATATAAAAAGGGTATGTGTCGTCCTAAAGGTTATCATTTTACGAACCGTTTCGGACGGAGCCGAGCCTACCAGGTGTAAAATCAGGCACGCTTTCCAAGGGAAACGGTATAGCGTATAAATGCCTTTTCAACTCAAAATTAATGTTAGAGAAAGAGAGGTTACCAAAGGTATCATTCAAGCTAAATTTTCGGTGAATTTGGCCAATCCTGACAATCCTTGCCTTCGACTATTTACCTATCAACGCCGACGCATATGTTTCTCTATATGATGAACAGAAAATCGTTATTTTCGAATAAGGAAAGAGTTACTTTCATCTAACTGTCATAGGTATTGGAGAAAGAAAATTGTGAGTTTCCCTTCAGAGACTTCAGAAGGTTTATGCACCATGTCGGAAGACTTAATGTGGCTAAATTAGTTTGCTTTCGGTTAGATAGTAGTGTTTACATAAGAAAGATGAAGAATAAAATTCATATATCTGAGCTCTTAGATATCTGAGTTCTTAATAATAATAAAATGCAAGTCTTCAAGAGGGTTCCTATAAGTTTTGGGGTATTAATTCGAGTCACATTTACAACTGTAAGTAAAATGAAAGCGCAAATGAGATTGTCTCGAAACCTTGACCCCAATTACCTCAAAGGCTCACGGGAAATATGTCCTAGTCATGCGCCGTGCAATCACGAGGCCGAGAGATTTCCAAGATGTCGCCGACTCGGTGGAAGAGGTGTCGACTTAAAGTTCAAGCATCTTCCCTTTAACATGTAAACCCGACCATGTCGGGAAATATACCACTAGAGAGATGCTTCAAAGAGGCAGAGGAGACGGGAAGGCTCAATTTGAGCCAGAAAAATCTTCGCGATTTCCCAGATCCGACAGACGATTGCGAGTTGATCGATGTAATCGAAATAGGTGAGCTTTCTCTAAGCTTTATAAGCTGCAAATATTGTCATTGCGTTACCGAAAAAAGTACACGATTTCTCGTTCACAACTGGACCCTATTTTTGACTGCTTGCATTTTAATTACTGTTCTTTTATCTTGCAGACTTGTCAAGAAATAAACTGTCCGAATTCCCTGCAGAGCTGTGCGATTTTCTTATGATTGAAAGAGTGGATTTATATCACAATACGATACGGGGAGTTCCAGAATCGCAAATGAGTGAACTGAAATTTCTCCGTGTCCTAAACTTGAGGTAATGCTGATAGTGCGGTTTCAACATGTCTCTCAATTTGTTATCAGATGATATGATCCGAACCAAACTTGAAATCACAACTGCAGATGCTCGTAATGATCAGCAAATAATTTATCAAGCTGTTATTTGCTAATGCTTGCAGGAGGTTTTGATCCCTTTATTAACAATGCTCGGCTTCTTAATTATAATTTTCGTCCATTCTTTGATATGTATTTATGGTGATATAAAGTACGTTGACATTTACAACATTTTTGTACGATTTGGAGAACAATGCGATGTGTGTTTGTTTACCTTTAATGTTGATTAATCGGTGCGAATGGAGATGTCGAAGGACGGCGAGTGTGAACGATCTGTAATTGGATTGCAGCTGATACGTTTATGTGAAAATGAAAAGCAAATTTTCCTTCGGCCAGTGGCTCGCTAACAATTGTTTCTTGAAGCGCGTTCCTCGCGCTAGGATTTTGAAAAAAAGCTTTTAATTCAGAAATGTGGTTAAGGGTAGAAATAGAATATTCTCCACATCTGAGTAAAAAATGTCTCCGAAATTTAGCGGAAGTATTGTGTAAAGTAACTGGAGAATCTCTTATCGCTAACACCTTATCTTTGAAGATCCTACTTCATGTTAATTAAACCAAATGTTAAGTCACTATAAGAGTTTTTTGCACGAAGAGACTAATAAAAGAAAGCAAGCTTTGAGTTTTAATCATTTAGTATTTATCTATGGAGAGGTTTGTGATTGTGATTATGATACATTGTTTGTTCACAGACGGAATCAGATCACCACTTTCCCCTCAGAGCTCTGCTCCTTGCCTCTGCAAGTCTTGAACTTAAGCAACAACAAGCTTACTTCTTTGCCCGTTGAAATTGGACACTTGACTTTATTGCAAGATTTGGTAAGTAATTTTATAATCTAGTAACCTTGGTGAACAAAATACTCTAGATGACTCAGAGGCCTAATCCAATAAGCTTACATATTTAATTGCAGCATGCATCAACAAGCTGTATTGTTACTTTCCATCAGTGCTTTCATCAACCCTTTAACTCCCATGAGCGACCAAGACAGAATTTCTCCTTACAATATCAATACAATATCAACCAGATAAAAATATCAATTTGGGGATAATAAGTTGATCCAATATTAAATTCTCTGAACTAACATAATAAGAATTATAAAGTTTACAGGCAGGAGAATGACAAATTTGATCTGGGAGTGAAAGGGTTAACCCCAAGATGTAGGATGATATTAACTTGAGAATTCAAGTCTTTGGTATTGCAAAGCTATCTAAATTACAGTTCATGTAAATCTATATGATGTCTTGCACCCTGTTTTAGTAATTGTCCAAAAATCTGGGATTGCCATGATTTTGATTCACAATACTCTGGGATGTGCTCTAGAAATCACTGCTAACCAATCAAATGTAGCTATTAGGGGTGAACTCCCAGTTCTTATTGACTCCTACTTATAAGACAATTTGAGTTGAGTGTTGAAAGTAACCTAGTGACGCATTCTGTGGTTTTTGTTCTTAATGCTCTGTGATGGATCTGGAAATCAAACACCACCTTCCCAATTAATCAGATGCAATATTAAGTGCTGCTCTTGTTAAGAGTGGTTCTCTCAACTTCCCGTCAGAAAAGTTTTCTTTTATTTTTTGGCCTTGAAAAGGATTTAGGAAATAGTTAAGTTGTTCTCCAATTCTCTTTTTATGCGTCACAACAAACTAAAAATGATTTTTGGCTAAACCACCCTTGTGGACAGCGATCAAAAGTGTAAATTCACAGATTTTGTTCGGAGCACAGTGACTGCAATAATGTGGTTACATAATTCTATCTTGCTACAAGTTATAAGATGTATTCAGTTAGTTCAAAGACAAAATATGGAAACTTCAACTTGTTTGCATGTTGTTTTAAGCAATGTGATATGTCTGTAAGGACCAAAGTGCCAAATTTTATTCTTTAATTTTAATTCCATACATTATGGCATGAAGTTCAAAGGACACAAAGACTGGGCTCAATTTTGTGTTCTCCCAGAAAATGCTTTGTCAAAATTGAGCAAAATTTCTTGCAAGAAGTTAACCACATGCTTTGGTCTTTTCTTTCATTTCAGGATTTAAGTTCAAATGAATTAGTGCACCTGCCAAGTAGTATGGGAGAGATGTTATCTTTAAAGGATTTAAACATTCGAAGGAATCGTTTAGAAGTTTTACCAGATGGTAAGTTGAACAGTCAAATCTTGCTCTCTTAATTCAACAGGGGTACAAGGTCCATTTTTCTTTTTTCTTTTTTCTTTTTTTTTTTTCAAGTTTGGCTCAACTTTCATTTTCCATCAGAAATTTTCAGTGGATAAAGAGTTTGATAATTTTCCCATAACATAGCCTTGCGATATCTTTCATCTTTGTTGTTTGATTAATTTGTTGTGTGTTCCTTCCTTTTGCAGAACTTAGTAAATTAAAATTGGTTCGATTAGATTTTTCTTATAACAAAGTGTCCGTGATTCCTCCTGCTTACCGGCTTATCACCAGTTTATCGGTGCTGGAACTTGCGCACAATCCATTGACTTCTCCCCCTGCTCAGGTGTGTGAACTATCCCCCACCTTGCTGTGTATATGTAACTTACTGGATGTGTCACTCTATTGAATCCAGTAGTAATGCATTCAAATGTTATCAGAATCAGTACTTGGTTCCTTTCCATTATTTTCATTGCAATGTAATCCTCAACACTTTGCACCTTAACATCCTCTCAATGGTTCTTTATATTTTCCATAAGAGCTTTTTTAGTTGGTGATCATTTCCTTCATTCTCATGACCTTAATGTTTGATTCAAGAGTGATATTGTTAGGAGAAATTAGATGTTAGTCATTCTTAAGGGTCAAATGGTAAATGAGTTAGTGTTCTCTTTACTCTAGGTCTGCACAAAAGGGAAGTTACATATTTTCAAGTACCTCAGCGCAACTGCTCATGAACAAGAGAAGGTGATTTGAGAGTGTGCTAATATTGCTCAGTGCAAGTGCATGTACAGTATGGGGTTTGTAAGCATCTTGGAAACTAGTGAAAGACATTGATATTTGAGGGTCCATTTACAAGGCTTTGAAAGTCCTTAAAATTCTCTCATATGATTTCGTCTTTCAGAGTCTCTTCAATTCTGATTGAGTAATCTTTCCAAACCTCAAATAACAGTCTGAAGCTCTTATAATACAATCAGCATAAGTAAAACATGACTCAGATTTGGCTTTTTTATGATCCCAGGAAAGTGGCTTTGATTATGAAAATGATTACCCCTAGGAAGCCTGTTTAAGTCAGAAAGGATTTTTGTAAAAAAATTGGTACTTGAAATTTTAAAATACTGTCTTGAAAAGTTAGGTTGGTGTCAGTTTTTAAGTTTGTAAGGTAAAGGAACCTCTTGTAAGTACAATAAACATCTGTGTAATTTGAAAACATTTCTTACAATGTTAGTATATTTTTATAGTCATCTTCTTTATTTAGTCAACAAAAAATGAAAAACTAAAGCTAGAAATTTTGTGCAATGGTAAAAGTAAAGATTTAAAAAAATCATTGTGATTATATCACAGAGTTGTGCTTTCAGAAGAGTCTCAGTGTTTTAAGCAGTGTTTATTCCAGAAATCCACTCATGGCTCAAATTAACCTGACAATTTTGTAAAATTTGGCAACTATTGATTCTTAGTATCTTTCCACAGAGAAGAACATTTGACAGAGATGTTGTTAGAAAATACTCTTTTCCGCGATCATCAAGGTTTGACTTTTAACTATCTTAGGACATTCACATGCTTTTTTTTTCTAACAGAAACAAACCAAGTTTCAGTTGAGCTGACCTTGATTTTGCCTTTGAAAGGTTTTCATCACATATGACAAAAACTTTAAATAGTGAATGAACTTAGGATTTCAAAATGAATGTTTACTGTTTTCTTTGTGGATTCTTCATGCAGTGAGGATGCTCCTGAAAACCATCTAATGATTGACAGAGTAAGAAGAACGCATTCCTTAGATTTAGCAAGAAATGCAGCTGCAAGAGAAGTAAGTAATGCATTTAACATTTTATGCCCCAACATCACTCTGCATATTCCTCATACTTTTCCCTATATATTTTCTAAGGTGTTGATAAGGCAAACTTGTTTAACAGTCAAGAGCTTCTTTAGTTGGTGATCATTTCCTTTATTCTTGTGACCTAAAAAACTGATTTAGGGGTGATATTGTAATGAGAAATTAGATGCTAGTCCCTTGTAGGGGTCAAAAGATTTACCTCTACATGTAGTTACACACAGCCCATGTTGGCTTTGTTTTGCATGTTTTGTCTCTTGAATAACTGCTTTCAATCAATTTAATCTCTTCCATCTTTGTCATTTCTTTGTTGAGTGTTATCCCTTCTGAGTTTTTCTATCTTGCAAAACTTGTATTTTGTATTCTCCTGAGAATAAAAGTCATTTTCCTCCTGACAAAAACATTTCCTAAATAATTGTTACGTGGCTTTTCCATTCATTTGTTTTGTTTTGTTGTTGTAGACTTATGAGAAAGAGGTTTATCGACCAAGCTCATTACGAGAAAGAGAGAGAACAAGGCCCCCATTGTCTAATGTGTTTGAAACAGAGGAGAAGAGACGGGAGATTCAGAAAGAGATAGAAAGAGCACAACAGCTACTTGCAGATGCCCACGAAGTGGAAGATGATGAAGTGCAGTCAAAACCAGATGAGGAGTATAATGAAGGAGAGGAGCTTCTGAAGGTTTGCTTTTTACAACTACTTTTATGTTGATTTGTGACCAATATTTTGTACTTATTGACTGAATCAAGTTGGGCCAAATATTTTCTGAACCTGGGACCACAAGGTTCCAAGTCCAGCACCCTTGCTGCCTCTTCATTTTATTATTTTACTGCCACTCTTTGGCCTCCTTCCTTTCTGCCGGCATTGTGGATCTTGCTGGGTGTATACAGGGCCAAGCAGAGTTTTGTGGTCCCACTCATACAGGGGCTTAGTAACTTTTGATGTAAGTGGCTGCTGATGGTGCCAAAGTAGCTGTGTTGTTAGCCCAAACTCAAACACAAGAGCCTGTGTGCAGGCAATGGAAGGTCTTATAGGTGGCTGTAAACCACCAGTAACTGGCTTTTATCAAAATCCTTGCTCATGCCTCTACCTTTAGTCCTCCTGCTGGAAATGTGTGTGGGTCATATTGATCAGTTGAAAAATTAGGTATATGTTGTCACTTAAAATGAATTTCACATGGCAATTATTGAAAAATGGTTTTTTCCCTTGTTCAAGCTACATTGCCATTATACTTTTAAAAACAAAGAATAGCGCTGATCATTCTGGCGTGAAGTTATATTCACCTGAAACAATTTTAAACTACAACTTTTATGTTGCAGTCAAATTAAAATTCAGGTGAATATGATGTTGAACTGGGTAGATTTGTATTTTACTTTGTATAAGAACTATGATGAGTTATAAGGAACATAGGAAAGAACATTAAAAATCTTTTTAAACTCAATTTGACCTGAATTCATTTACACTGCAATATTTACATTTATGTGTGAAATTTTGCAGCTAATTTATTTCAAAAGGAAAAATTTGGGCTCTAGTGATCAAGTATGCCATAATTGTGCTTTGTGAAATGATTACAAATGAATAAATGAACCCCTTACTTGAATAAGTCAAATCAACATGCTTGCCTCGGAAATAAACAGATAAAAGAACTTGCATAGTGTTAGTGTACCCCTGTAAACATCAAGGATGGTGTAAAGGCCGATGAAAAGATGTCTAATTTCTCTCTTGAAAACTGTGTTGTCTGTATTTAGTTTTTCAACTTGGAATTTTCCATCAGGAAATATGTACCAAGGACCTTTAAATTAGTACTTTGAGTTTTTTTACCAGGAGAGTTATACATGTAGGAAACTTGTGTTAGCTAGTTCATTGAACTGGATTTGATTATTTCTGAGTATGTATTTGCGGGGGTGTCTCCTTTTAACCAGAAGAATAAATGTTAAAAAGTAACTTTTCATGTTTTTCGACCCATGCAAGTCATGCTAACTGGGGTTTATGATGATTAACCTTTTTATTTTCTGTGGCTACTAAGAGTAACTTGAGCTTCCATAAAGTTTTTACAACAAAGATGTAAACTTCATTTCTTATGACGTTGAGTAATGGCTAAGCAGTGAAATAATATGAAATGTATTAATTGATACAATGAATGATAAATGGAGTCTGTATAAAAAATCATTAAACATGTGCTGCAGAATTTCACCTCTACAGGATATTTTTTTCTTATGTTCAAGTTTTGCAGCAGAGGCAATCTATTTTGTTAGGGTTTTTTTTTTAAGATCCAGTTAACTATTTTGGTCTGCTTTATTACTTGGTAAGGAAGTGTATGCTTCTCAAATGCTTATTATACAGTTTGATTACTTTAAATTGCACTAATAGTTCATTTTTAATTGATCTATAATTAATAGTTAATTGTCACACATACTCACCTTTTCGGCTTTTAACAAATTAATAACTGCTATAAAATAAAATTCTTCTAATACATGTCAAAATAAATTTTTAAAAAAGACTATTTTCAATTGGCAAAGCGGAAATGAAAATCAAAGACAACAGTTTCTGTGTGGCCATTAACAATGCATTTATTTACTTTCTGGAACTAAGGTGAATCATGTGACCACTTATTTCCATGAAGTAAAATCCTGTATTGTTGGCTCATGCAGTAACTTTTGCCTTTCTTTTTCTTTCAGATTAAAGCATGGCCACCTCTGCAAGCTTCTCTCCAGAGAATCTTCCGCAGCGAAACCTTGTGGCCTTTGCTTGCTGTTTTACTGTATGCTTTTCTCAATCCTGGGACGGTTTTTTTGTCTGTTTTTGTGGCCTTGCTTTGCCTGGCTATTTTATGGGTTTTCAAATAATTATGGTAAAAGGCAGTGGTGTTTTTCTCTGTAGCATAAAACTTTGTCTATTGCAATCTTTTGAGATGTGATAAAATAAATTAGAGTTAGTTGTTGATATTTAGAATACAGCATTTGAAATGCAAAACTTAACACCTTGGAAAAAGTTGACAGCACAGCTGAAATTAGCAATGAAAACCAGTATTTATGTAGACCGTATTTATAGTGAGCAATACTAGATGTACCTGCATGTAAACTTAGAAGCTCTATCAGGAATTTGGATTAATGCTGTTCTCATGTAATTAATCTCTTCATCTGCCATTCCTTAACAAGTTTGAAAAGAATACTTGGAACATTTTAACTCAACTAACAGCAATAAGGGTGACAAGAATCATCAACATTTTGTGTGCCACAGTGTTTTGAAGATAATCAATGTGATAACTGATATCTTGTTTAAAAATTACTTCAAGTTTAAAGTGAACTTTGTTCCCCTAATTGACTTCATTGTAGTTTGGTATTCCACATTCAGTGACCTTTAAATGTGGAACAGACATTCTTGAGTTCAGTGAAAGTTACATTTTTTGATTTATTGGATTTGGTAAAACTGAATTAGGAGGTTAAACTAATTTATTCAAGATTACATGTCACACTGTAGCATAGCTTAAATATCGATTTCATCTTTTGAAGTGTTTTCTGCAAAAGAATGTAAATAAGTGTCAATGTTGTTAGCCACTCCCCAATTTTATTTTCACACTTGTCTGAGACAGTTAAAAAGATATTCTAACTAACCATAAAACCACCAAAAAATTGGATTTGGCTGGACCCAAACCAATTGGCAATTGACAGGGAAAGACTTGAATGAGGGTCAACAGAGAACTAATGCAGTGAGTAGTGAAGTTGATGGATTGAACCGGCAAATATGAGATGACAAATCTAGTACTGCATCCTCTATGATATTAATTGACAGAGAATTTTGTGGATATTGTATTTACCATTGGGACACCTTGACATTAAGGTACAATTTTTCGATGAAGGACTTATCTTTTTGTGAGTAAGTTTTGTATATCTTTTTACAATGCTAGATTTCAATTTGAGGATTACTCAACTATCATCTGACATAACTTAAAAGAGAAAATATCATATGATTAATAAATAAATTATTGATATATAATTTAATTTAATTTAATTATAGTGCATGCTAAGCAATCGATGAAATAAAAAGTTATGATCAAACCTAGCAACAGTGAACACTTGATATGTTTTTTGGAATATTTTGTTATTAACAAGCACATTGAATATCGGGACACATGCAAAAGACAAATATGAAAAATGAAAAACTAATTACCCAGCTTGTTACTTACACTTTTGATGTGGAAGACACCTTGGCATTGTGGTTAGTGAGGTGGACCCCAGGTTGAGGGTACACATTTGAGACCTGTCCTGGTCAATTCATGGGCAGAACACTTAACTCTCACAGTGCCTCTCCACCCAGGTGTAACAATTGCTTAAGGGGGGGGGGATAACCTTGTGATGGACTGACACCCCATCCAGAGGGGAATGGTGATGCATCTAGTCACTTTATATGAAGGAAAACAGGATAGTCTTGGGCTGGGAGAGCTACTATGCTCCAGTACAGGCTTAACCTTTCACCTTTTCTCACTTTGGTTGTTCTTATTCTTGAAAAAATATTTTGCCAGAGATATGTTTTTAGTGTTCACTGTTGTTTTAGTTTGATACAATGGAGGCTCCTCAAGTACTTACCATCAAGGAATTTCTACCCTGTTTTATCTCTTTTTTTTCTGTTTCTTTATTCAACATAGGGTATGTTTTCTTTCAAGGATAATCAGAAAAAAAATGTATTTTAAGAGTTTAACACTCTGGATCTCTAAAATCTAACATTTAATTCTTATAGTAACTATTTTTAGTAACTTAAAAACTTTCCTTGAAATTTGTAGTCAATATTTTTCTTTCTGCCTTTCCTCTGGAAATTTTCGTATTAAAACAATAGTAGATAATCGCCAATGTATAGAATTTAAAGGTTGTGTTTTCATTAATGTATTCATTATTGTTATTTAAGAACTTGTATGGTAAATATTATAAACTAATTAATTTATTACATTTAGCTGTACTGTAATTTATTTGAAGGTAAGGAAAAAATATTTTTCTTTTGATTATAATACAGAATAGAGCTATTAAGTTATAAGTAAGAAATTAATCAAGGGCAAAAAAATTATGTGTCATGTTAAGTTGTATATTTTGCAAAGTTACTATATTTGATGAAAATTATTTTGCAAGATTTAGATGTTTGTGCATGACATTGGTTGATGTCACAACAAGACAGGAGTTTTTTCTTCACTCTGTATTCATGAAAAAATGAGTAACAACAATTTTTTTCAGAAAGAAACTTTAAGTTTGTATTTGGAGTGAAAGAAAGATTTAAATTACATGCTGAAACTTCAGGTTTCTGTAGCTGCCATTTGTAGAGATGTTTGTAGAGATAACAAGAGAGGTCACCGCAAGGCTGTTTTAGAGTGAGGTTAATAGAAGGGGGTGTAATCAGTAAATGCTGTAGTAGAATTCAAAAGTAAAAGATAAATTGATAATCAAATGTTTTATTGACTGATGTTTTGTATTTTATCTCTGCTAATGAAGAATATGAATAAGTCTTTCCAGTAATTGTTAGGATTTGAGTTATAGTGTGATTACTATAACACTTTCTTGATTTAACTTCAAGGAACATTAAATAGGAACATCATTTAAACACCTGGATTTTTTTTCTACTTAAAATTGCTGATAGCTTCTGTAGACTAGCAGGGTAATGTTACATAAGATCTTACCACAGGAGGTTTTTTAAAATCCTATTTGAGATGATTGTAGAATCTTACCTTAGATGAACCCTTAACTCTTAGAACTGATTAAGATGTAACTTCTCCCTATAAAATCTATACATTATCCAGCAAACAGGTAACATGAATACTCAAACTCATCAGGGAGAAGTTGTTATCTTGATTTATCACCAAATTCTTGTAACTAATAAACAAGTAAATGTGTAGCAACTGGATGGGAGAATTAAATATCAGATCTTGGGGTCAAAGTACACACCCTGTGATTTTTTTTAAAAAAATCATTAACCCTTTAACTCCCATAAGTGACCAAGACAGAATTTTTCCTTACAACATCAGTATAATATCAACCAGATAAGAAATGAGAATTAAAAAAATATCAATTTGAGGATAATAAGTTGATCCAAAACTAAATTCTCTGAACTAATATCATAAGAAATGTATGGTGGAAAGTAAAGAGAATTCCAAATTGATCAGTGAGCTAAAGGGTTAATTAACTTCATACATTTGTTTGAAGTCAACATTGAAATTAAAATTAGCATTTATCCCCTGAATAACTTTACCCTGAAATATTCTCTAATTTTGGGTGGTTTGTTTTTGAGTTAGTTTCAGTGGCCAAATTATGTCAGATTGTGGGTCGGGTTGTTCAAAATAGGAATGATCTAATTTGGAACTGAGAGACCCAGCCTAGTTCTGCAGCTTTGCCAATCATTTAACGATTTATTCGTTTCCTTCAATTAGTGTTAAACAAATATATCAGCCCAGTTTGTTCACAAACCTACTGCAATGATTTGATTTAGCGCCCAGGGTGCTAATTTACATTTGGTACCCCATTGGAGGGCACTTATTTGATACAGGGCACTTATTCGGGACAGGGCACATATTTTTCTTTGAAAAACAGCAGAATGTGAAACAAAGTGTTGATTTTTATTTGAATGAGGATAAAAAAGGCTGGAAAATGGAATTGTTGTCCTTGCATCCTTCCTTGCTAGGATGACTAGTTAAGCAATCATCATAAAATTTTATGATGAGATCTTTGGTTTGAAGGAACTGTGCACTCAGGGCGATATGATACTTAAGAGACTGAGAGGAAGACGACTTTTTCATTGTCAAGCTTTAAGTGAGCAATTAAAGGAAGATGGACCATGATTGATCTCAGTGTACATGTACTCCAACTGTGCTATTACTGAAAAAGAATAGGGGCATTTATTGGAATAGGGATGCTTTTTGGTATTGGGATGCTTTTGGATTGAGAGTGTATACTCTGTAGGGGAGCTTATTAGAATAGGGGCACTTATCAACAGAAACAAATATGAGGGGGGCACCTATTAGAGAGAGGGCACTTATGTTTGATGATGATGATGATGTTTGTTATAGCCCTTTACAACACAAAAATCAAAATTAAGTATAACTTCCAATTCTGAATTATCATCAACCACTTTTTGAGGAAAATTACAACTAGGTTTTAATTTTTCTTCCCCAGTGTCATAAATTTTGAAACATTTATTTCTGTTTGTATAAGTGCACCACCACATGAACTGCTGGGTCACCCATCACAATTAATATTTATTTGATTTTAATCAGGAATTCTTACAAATTGAAGCTGAGCAAAGGAGAAAAAAGGAAGAAGAGGAAAGACAGGTTGAGGAACGAAGAAGTGCTGCAAGGAAGCTGCAGACACAACATGAAGAAATACAACAACAACGACAAGCAGAGGTCAGGAGGAAAATGGAATCCAAGAATGCAACTCCAGAACAGAAGTGAGAATAATGACTGATGATTTTTTTCAGTGAAGACTACTTTGGTTATGTTGTAGAACCTTTGTGCTCTTTTGATGGTTACAAGCTGGAGTTAAGGATTCTTTTGATTCAGTTGACACTGAATTTTGAGATTACTTCAGGAAGCAATTACAGTAAGAATGATCAGCTAGTGCATTCATGTACAAAGGATGATCCTTAACCCCTAAACTCTCGTAAGTGACCAAGACAATACAACATCAAGCAAACAAGTGATGGAAATTTAAAAAATATAAACTAAAGGATTATTAGTTGATCTAATACCAAGTTCTCCATACTCATATCTTAATAATTGTATGACAATCATTAAGGAGAAATAATAAGGGTATCTTGGGAGTGATATGCCACTTCATACGTTTGTTTATCTTTTTTTTTTCCTTTTTCTTAACCCTTTAACTCCCAGAAGTGATTAACCTCTAACTTCTCCCTGCAATATCCATACATTATCCAGCAAACAGGTGATGAGAATACCCAAACATATCAAATAGAAGTTGTTGTTTTGATCTAACACCAAATTCTTGTAACTAATTTAAAAGAAAATATGTCGTAGCTGGAGGGGAGAATTGACTATCAGATCTGGGAGTTAAAGCATTAAGAAAGTAGACAACACTTCTAACTATTTAGTAACAATTAATGGAATTCAGTTCGAGACATTTATACTTGAACAAAGTTATTGGAAAAGTTTTAATGAAAGACTAACAACAATGCAAATTACAACGTGTATTGTAATTTGTTTGTTTACAAATTTGTGAATCTTTCATTGAGTTACAGTTTAATGAATGGAAAGGATTTATTTGTGTATTCTTGTTTTCTCTCAAGAAAACTCTCCTCATCTTCATTTGGTGGTAGAGATAGTGTAAAGCCTGCTGTTGCGAATCATCCAACTTACAAGGTGTTGAGTCGTTCAGGTTCAGCAAAAGAAGCAAGGTAAATAGAGTGGTAAACTAAGAGAAAATGAAGGAGAGAGAGGGGAGGTGTAGGATTTAAATACAGCAATTTCACCTAACCCTTAAACCACTTGACCCGTTCAGGTTCAGCAAAAGAAGCAAGTTAAATAAAAAGTTAAATAAAGAGGTAGACCAAGAGAAAAATGAAAGAGAGAGAGAGAGAAAGGGAGAGAGGGGGGAAGGCGTAGGATTCAAACACAGCAAACTCACCTAACCCTTTAACCACTTAGAGTAACCAGCATCTAATTTCTCCTCAGAGTCATACTGCCGAATCGTTCATCTATATTCACTCATTCTTCCTTTGATGGTTTTTTTTTTTTAACCTCATGCGTTGTATTCATGAACTTTTAGCTCGGATGTGAGGGTAATCTCATCCCACGTCATGACACTGATTAATAGACTGGTTGATCAATTGAGTTAATTAATGTACTTTTCGTCGACTTTTTAGTACCCCTGCAATGGAATCGCCTGATGTTGCATGGAACAGACAGGTAAAGAATCATTCCTGGGATAAGTCATTCTGCTTTCCTTGCTCTACTCAGGCCACATGATTTAAGTAACAACCATTTGTCTGGGAAAGGAAAACAATGCCTTTGAAAGGTCAGGAATCACGCGCTGATTTCGCACACAGTAGCTGGAACGTAAAACCTGACGAAACACATTTATTAATTTGAGCTGAGTTAGTGGTCATGAATTTTTAAAAAGATTGATTCTCTATTCAGGAGGAAGAGCTCCGAGCACGCAAAAGAGAGCAGCTTATGCAACAGAGCAGAAGAGAGGCTCAACTTTCCAGGTTGAGATTTGAAGAAGAACGTATGAAGGTAAGAGATTCAATTTTCTAGGTTTAGTTATTTCATCGCAAAAGTTATTAACTTAGGATCGCTGTTTGATTAGGCTCAATGTCGAGTGGGGAGGGGAAGGGGGGCGGCAACAGGCGCGCGGGCTTATGTCCTGAACAGCGGCTTTTAATTGAACCCACTGTTGAATTAAACACTAAGGGCCGGTTGTTTGAACAAAGTTTAGCCGTTGTATAACTAAACTGCGTCCTAAAACAATCCTCAAGTGTTGTTAGTTCAAGAATGAACAAAACCTTAAACTGTAGTGACGTCTTACCGTTAATTGCAGTAATGCGAGGTAGGTGTAGATTATCATGATCTGCGCATGTTCCAGATATTTCCAAGGAGATTTACACAGCTCTTTCAATTAAGTTTGAATTGCATTGCAGCGTTCTTCCAACCTTTCAAGAGACGGCTCAAGCAAATCGGTAAGACGCTAGTTTTCTCTAAATAATTTGAAATAAACAAATTGTTCTTCTTGACATAGCTGTATCATTTGAATACTAGCACGTATTACTTATTATAAACAAGAGCAAAGCTTTCAATGCAGCATATATAAACAAATTTAAACCTGTGAGTGCTATCAAAATTCTTGGTTGGTAAGCCATAAACAAGGTTATCGGGGTAGATGTGTAAGAGTTTGCTCTAAAGGTCCTTTATCGAAGCAAAGACCTCAAGATACTTTCGCTTGCATTTGCCACAGCATAGCTAATGGGTCTCATCCTCGGGGCCTGGAAGACCTGCGGCTCTGTGGCCACTCAGTGAATGGGGTGCGTGGGCAATGTACAGATAGTTAGGGTTGGAGGAAGCTTATGTACGATGTTGCTTCAAAAACGGGGTCACGATAGGGGAATAAAGGGCAATCACGCCCGTAAAAAGTTATCCCAGCACTTTTGGCTTGATCTCAGGGATGCGGGCGGCCTACTACTAGCACTCATGCACACAACTTTCTGTAAGATGATAGAAGCTTAAGGAAGTTTTGAGGTGTTAAAAAGTGATTGGGGAACTCAGATGGTGAACACCCACTCCAAGTTTTGTGGAGGAGGTAGTTGTCTAATAGACGTGTCCATTAGGAGAGATTACACAATAATTTACCATCAAAAAATTTGTTGTTTGATTCATTTTATAGAGATTTAGTGGCAAAAGCAGTGCTGCAACTGTTTCTTTTAACGGCAGTGAAACACCTTCCCAAAATGATGGCGGTGTGCAAGATAGGGAGGCATGGGAGGTAAGATACTATACAGAAAGGGATGTGATACCGTCTCGTCTCCCTTGATTCCTCTCCGCCCCTTTCCCTTCCCCTCTTTCTCCCTCCTCCCCCCCCTCCACCTGTCAAAGAGCTATCGGTATTGATCTTTAAACGTACACAATCATCAGATGTGCACGAAAGTGATGTTTGCACGGAGTCAGTAGCTTTGGGTTGTTTTCTATATTGGAGCCTCGTTATTAGTGTCTGGGTACAAGCCTTTCTTCACCCGCTTGTTCTACTCTAAGGATGTTTCCATCACCTTGTGATTTCTCGGTATTTGTTTATTTTCTGCGGCCTTTGACTTGGATGAAAAAAGTTTATTTGACACGGGATAGAAACAACGTTTAGGTCTGAGTCTCCCAGTGGAATTAGCACTTCAGGCTTTACTGCTAAGCTACGAAGGAAGTCGTTCGCAAGTGACATGCTTGGTCTACGACAAAGCTCAATATTTTTCCTCTTTCTTTATGTATTTACAAAAGTCCTTTTTTTTCAGGAACTGGTTTATACAAATATTCATACAAGACAGAAAGCACCTCAGGTCCGATCGTGTGAGTATGGGGGAAATCCAACTCCACCACTGGTCACAGGGGTTGTTGACGAAAAATTCCGTGATTCTAGAGCTCACGTAAAAATCAGGCCGTACTGTCCTGTGAGAATTCCCGTAATCCATTTTTGATATTTCTCTATTTTCAGTACCAGCGACCTTCAGAGACCAAAACAATCCGAATTTTACCATAAAGCGAATGTACGACAGTGCACGAGAGGAATTTGAACAACTGGAAAGACTTAGAGAGGTGTGTTGTGTTCTAATTCCTCATATTTTCTTCTGTCCTCTTGTAATATGGCGCTACATGAAAAATTCTAACTAAACTCTACGGAACCCCTAGTGCAGAAGGTTCTCGCATGTAAGGTTTTTAAGCAGTTTTCAACTGTTGTCGGAAAAACCAAAACCAAAGTAATCCTTGCGACCAATCGGAAGGAATGGTTATATTAACATTGGCCAGTGAAAACTCAAGTGAAAACAAGCAAAGTGCTTGAAGTGCGGGAAAACGCAGGTGTCTAAGTCGTGATCGTGTTTAGTTTAGTTTAGTTTAGTTTAGTTTAGAGTTCCTGATTGGTTGAGAGCATGGTGTGAGTTTTCTGGACCAATCACAGAGCAAAGTTGATTAAAACCCTAAGCAAGGTAATCCCGTTTACTTTTGACACTCAGTTGAAAATTACTCGATGGTAGCAAAGCTATTTCAGTGAACGGCTGAGAAGGCGACCACATACAACATGGCTGTCAGTTAACAATACTTCCTCTTTCAATTATTCCAGGGTATCGAGAGCCGCCTCAAGGTGGCATTACCAGATGATCTGCCTGCATCATTGGCCGATGGAGTTGTTCTGTGCCACCTCATAAATCACATAAGAAAAGGGCTGATTCCCAGCATCCATATTCCTTCGGCAGGAGTGGTAAGACTAGATCTGAGTCACGTTAAACCATCAGTATGCGTATTCTCCATACTGTTCTCTACACATTGTATAAGGTGCTGATAAGGAGAATTTGTGTAATAATTAAGAGCCTCTTTATTTTGTGATCATTTCCTTTATTCTCGTGATCTTAATGTGTGATTCAGGGGTGATATTGTGAGGAGAATTTAGATGTAGTCACTCTAAAGGGTTTAAAAAGCACATTTCGAATGAGTTTTGTGACACCAAAATCAAAGTTGTCACAACGGCAAATCGAAGGACACGAAAATGCCATCAGTAACCGTAGAGAACACCCTATTTTTGTCTTTTCTGTTGGAGGGGCCCATGATTTATGAAATTGTGTGGAGGAGTTACGAAATAATCACTTAATTGATTATTACACTCTTTTTTTTTTTGCCTCGTAGCCCAAACTTACAATGCCAAAATGTCAGAAAAATGTGGATTATTTCCTCGAAGCGTGTAGAAAGCTTGGAGTAGACAAGGTAATGCACATTAACGGGGGTTTTTACACGTATTAGCGGAATGCTTTTGTTGTGTTTGTGAGTTACTCATTGGCAAATTAGACAAACGCAACCACCAAGTACGCTTGTTTTCCGTTGTATTACTTATAATTCAAACTGAATGCTCATTGTAAAATGGAAACTACATTTTGTCCAGGGAAAGCAATGACAATAACAATAACAATAACATGAGCATCAAAATAGCAATGCAGCCAATTATCTTTTGCAGTTTGTTTGTGTAAGAAGGTTAACGAAAAAGTTTAAGGATCAAACATTCAAAAGTGTTACCAGATTGCGCGATGCGCAAAACTAGCTTGAATTCTAAAGAATTTCCACTACTGACTTGAGCAGGCTGTGGTAAGCTCTGTGACAAACACGGCGAATCCTGTAATTTTCGAGTCGGCGAGCAGAGCGAGCGAGCGCGCGAGAGGTCTGGCACAAAAATTTTCAGACCACTCAAAGGTGTATCGTGGGCTTTGCTGCCGTACTTGCTGCACTAGTTAGTAGGAGTCGAAGATTTGTGACCAACGTGTCTAAGACCAAACTTACTTCTGTTCACACAAAATCATACCAAGCAATCTGAAGCCATTCAAGTCGACAACAACGATACATTTTATTCTTCCTTTTCGTTTTGTAGGAAAAACTATGTACGCCATCGGATATTCTCGAGGAGAAGAGTCCGTTACGTGTTTGCCAGACGGTAGAATCTCTATTAGAACACGCTGACGGAGGGGTATAACATCACCCAGTGAAACAAGAATTTTGGTGATTCAAAATCTTGAGAATTGACTTGCAGAGCTGCTCCAGTCGTTTCTTAATTCATTTCCCCAACATATTTAAAGGAAAAACCGTCCAATTTGTTGCTGTATTGAAAGCAACGTTGGAAAGACGTTCATTACTGATAATTGTACAGGAAATTTTCCGATCGTAGTCGGTAGGCTGTGAACAAAACGAAACGATCGGACTGAATCACTTTTGTACCGTAGAGTTAATTGAAAAATGAACCATAGAGTTCCCAATTGTTGTTGTAGGTGCCTTTCTAATATACTGCCTTAAATTGCATTCCTGATTTGTCTGCAAAACGTCTAACAGTTGTGTTAAGATTGTTGGATTAGAGACACATTTGTCCTTATTCTCAAAGACTCTTAAGAAGCTTTAAGGTAGCCTTTGTTTATGAATAACGCTACACGTGTATGAAATTGTGGAAAAACCAGTCGATTAGAATCAAACGCCCTCTCTCTTTCTTGTAAAGGCATTTTGTGTATCGCGCATCCTCGCTGCGTGTAGTTTACCTTTCTCTCTTTTTTAAGAACTTATCAGGTGTACTGTTATTGTTAGTCTTATATCGAATCTAACAATGACATTCCTCTTGTAAAATAAGTAGAAATCAAATCTAATAATCATGGAGACAGAATCTTGCACTACCTTTGGGAATGTTTAACTCACCCCACTCCCGTTTAAAAATTCCCCACCCCGTCCCCCTTTTACAACTTCCTCTTTTATAATACAAAATCTTGTGGAGAAAAATTACCGTGCATAGCTTGAGAAAGTCTCACCATGATTCTACATTCAAGATGACGGCCAAAAATTATCCTTTCGTTGTCTTTTTTGTTTTCTAAACCTCTCTTCATTAAAACTTCCCTAGAAGGCAATGCGTCAAAATCGAAGTGGTAAAGAAAGCAAACGGTTAGATTTTTATAGCGTTTAAAACGCTATTAACTGGTGGTGTGGCGATGTTTGGATGCAAGTTAAAAAAATATTTGACCGTGTACTAAATTAATTGTAAAATAAATTGAGAAATAATTTTGTGGAAAACAGGTAACACAGCACCAATGTATTAGAATAGTTTGAAGTACCATGTCTTCCCGAATTCCAAAAGGGTTATAACACTGTAAGAATTTTGAGGCCCCAGGTCACATACTGTACAATTTGAAGTTGAGGCACTCTTTTGCCCAATCTGCATTGAGGAAGACGCGGTAAAGGGAAAAGTAAATATTGAAGCCAAATATTGATATACTACTCAAAATTTAACTACAACATAGATCAAAGAATCATCACCCAATAATTAAAAATTGTTTTCTTAAATGTAACCTACTGTAAACTTCTGTAGTCCGGTCAATATTTTTTAAAATTTTGGGAAATAATTGTTGATATTAAATCCAAAGAAAAATAAAGTTGTGATTCTGTCTTTCTTGCACTTAGTTAGGAATCTTGCCAATCTTTGGGAGGTTGTTTTGCTTTGTTTAGTTTTATGGGCAGAAACTTTGCTTATCATGGAAGAAAGAGCAAATCGAAATATGTAATGCACTGTTACCTGGTGACACATGTGGGCAGTGCATCTACTCAACCTATTCCACCTATTCTGGCAAGCATTGATAGTGTTAGCTTACATGAAAAGCACTCGAAGAAGTAACAAGAGGGGAGGGGAAGAATGTCCACATTTGAAAAATCTTTACAGACAGTAGTGCAAGGCCTTAGAGGCAAGGGTAGACCACAGGTTATTAGCTTATATTAAAATCCCCAGTGCCTGTACTATTCCACTGCCTGACAAAACTGGGATGTTTCACCATCACACCACTGAAAATGCTTTGTTGTGACTGATGCATAAAAATGTAAGAAACAAGAATCAATAGGAAACTGAATTTATTTACTCCAAATTATCCACATCAATGAGCAGGTTCTTCACTGCCCTTTGTTGCTCTGGTGTAAATCAGCTGCGAGTGATGTTTAGACACCTCTTTGATCAGGCCCTTAGAGAGCAGTTCCTGCAATCCACGGCGAGCAAGTGAGCCTCGGATCTTCAGCCTTTCAGACACAACAGAAGGAGTGATCAGCCTGTAGCTGGGGACTTCTTTGTACAGCTTGTCATATGTGGCTTTGTCAAAGAGGACCAAGTTGTTCAGTTTGTCCCTGACTTTTCCCTTGGACCACTTCTGCAGGTTTCAAAGAAAACAAACTGTTAAGTTTATTCATCCTTTATCTCCCAGAAGTGATTAACATGTCACTTCTCTCAAAAAAATATTCATACATTATCCTGAAAACAGGTAATGAAAACACTAAAACTTATCAGATAGAAGTTCTCTTCATCTAAGACCAATTCTCATAACTAATTTACGGTGAAATGTGTACCAGCTAAAGGGCAGAATTGACAATCAGATCTTGGAAGTTTAAGTGTTTGTCTATCATGGAGAACTGGACCAACTAACTTGAAGCATGACCATTCTGTGGATTGTAACAACTGAAGTGTAAACCCCAAACGGGCAATTGCATCCATGAATACTATCCTTGACAGTGCAGTGTGCATGAAACCGGTAATGATTTTCATGGCAACAAAACACAGTCTACACAACATAAATGCACTTCTGAACCATCCAGTCTGTCAACCCTTTACACTTTACTGTCAGTATGCAAGTTCTTCCTAATATTCCCTGTACAATGTGGGGGGGGTAGTGTTGGCAATGTTGCAGTACACAATTTACTTTATCTAAGAGCCTAAATTAATTTCCTCTGTAAATATCACAGCCAAAAATGAAGCAAAGAAAACACAACTAGACCTTCTTCTTAGCTTTTCCACCACCACCTGATGGCTTATCTTTAGGTTTTGAGGACGACTGCTTAGTATCCTTCTTGGGTGGCTGTAGAGGAAAAAAAAGACCAGACATTCTGTTGACCGCAGTCATTGATCATCGTGATAGTAATAGTAATGTGGCAATGTCATGCCGACATTTCTCAACCTGAGGCACCACAAACACATACAGCTGTAAAAGCATTGTTAGTGCTCACCACTTTGCATAATCAGTAAAAGATCAGTGACAAATCTATCAGAAGTCCACATAATATAAAAATTATGCAGTTTGTTGGGATTTTTGTCAGGATAAAAAGCAAAACTACTGCTCTGTAAACAAGATGCATATGTTGGGCTTCTGAATGTCATGATGCACATCCAAATCAAATTTTAAATGACTGGCAATTATTTGGAAACCACTCTGATCCAGACAATACTTCTTTACGTTTCTGATCAGAAAAGGCAACTAACAAACGAAGAGCCACAGAAATAAATCTCGATAGCATGATATGACGAGCACAGAATAACAAAGGAGGTAACAATTTGATTCAATGAGAGGTAAAAGAACCGGCCCTGTACGCCTTGGTTTCCGCTGATGCTTCTTTGCAACATATCATTCGTCTGTCTACTTTATCCTCCTTACTTGTACGGGAAGTTTTAATTCCATATTAAAAGGGCATAGACAAGAACTAAGTTAATTTATCACTGGAAAACCTTAAAATGCTACTTTAAGAGAAATTACAGTAAACATCTTTCTCGATTAAACCAAGTATTCGTATCTTTTAAACATTTCATATTTGTTTTTGCTATCATTTAAACCCAATATTCACTAATATGTCATTTCTGAGCCTTTCAGTGACTTAAAAAACTAATTTTACTTCAATTAAATTCCTATAACCATTATAATTGCCTACAGATCGCCTAAAAAACTTAAATAAAACGGGACCATTCTACACACCATGATCGCAGTTCACAGCAAAAATGGAAGAGAATGAAGCACACATGCGAGACACAGAAAACACTGGAGGGGGGTCTTGGTATTGTACGTACGGCCAATAATATAACCCCTTTGTAGTGGAAACTGCTGACAATGTTAACTGTGGATTCGAATATGGCGGACGAAGGGTTTCCGCGAAATCGCTAAACGTGATTTCGAAAGGCGATTTATTTTGACAATGTCCCGAAAAAAGGTAAAATTTTATTTTAGATAATAAAATAAGAATTAGAGTTATCGTTTTGAATACTTGTAATGAAAATTTGAAAGCAGGAAATAAAACTACAATAATGCGTGAAAATTTCACCAAAATGCCACCGTCCCTTTAATTTCAGCTGTTTCAGCAATATTCGTCCCGTGTATGTGCAGTACGAGTTCTTCCGATCTTTTCTTCTTCAAAATAGATAGTATAACTGTTAAATTTCAACCAAGCTAAGCCACAACATAAATAGAAGTACACGTTATGAATTTTCACTGTAGAACTAGTATATTACACAGTTCCTTTACCTTACTACGAGTGGGTTTAAATTTTTTTTCCAAAAATATTTTCCAACTAAATTTATTATTTTAAGTATTAGTATAACTGTCATTATCAGTATCACCATTGTTTATTTTTCATCATTTATATCTTATGTAGAGAGACAAGGAACCTGAGGGACTACCTCTGGATTTGCGTGTCAGGAAGACTGTTAATCCTGTGACAAAGATTTTTGAAGAAATTCCAGAGTTGGTATGTAACTTGAGAGAGAGGCAAAGTGGGTTTAACCATGGAACTGCATAGATGTTTCTGCTTTTTTTGACAGTATGAGGTGCCACACAAACTACTGTTCTATTGTAAGGAATGAGATGCAAATTCGATTTTCATATAGTTAGTGTTTGCAATCTGCACCTCAATAGGGAGAGACAGTACAAACTAAGAATGAATGTGAAAGGGAGGGTCAAAGAGGGAGGGGAAGGAGAGAAAGTGAAAAATAACATTTGAGACTTATCAGAGGAAGAGTTAAAGCCTGAAGAAGAGAGATAATAAAAAATAATTTAAGTTTCATATTTATTGTTTTTCTTCCAGCTGTTAATTAGCTTAACCCTTTAACTCCCAAAGATCTCATTAGTAACTCTCCTTACTGTCTGCCATATAGTTCTTGTGATATTAGTTTGGAGAATTTGGTATTGGATCTACTAATAATCCTGTAATTAATATTTTTCTTTATTCTCATCACTTGTCTGCTTGACAATGTATTGATATTGTAGGGAGAAATTCTGTCTTGGTCACTCATGGCAGCTGAAGGGTTAAAGTTAATTGGTTCTTATTCACAGACTGTTTTTTTTTTGTTTACTAGAGTCCAGTGTGGATTGAGGATGTGCAATTTGTTCCTTACTCCCCTCCCCCTGTGCAGCCCTCATCTGCTTCTCCCTTGGATCATGGTGGAATAGAACAGTGGATTGAGAGGATGTCATTTATCAGTGAAGACTTAAAATGGCTTCTGAGCCTTCCACATAACAAATTTTGGTGTCAGGTTAAATTTCATTACTGTTGATTATGCTTGAAATTGATATTATGTGTCTGCAACTTAATGTATGGTAAAAACTGATGCTTCTTTATTCTCTTTTAGGTAATATTTGATGAATCATTACAACAATGCTTGGATTCATACCTCAAATGTGCACCAAGGTGAAGATTTCAAAATAAATTATTATCTGTGGTGATTTCTGTTACCATCCAGTTGCAGACAGAAGACCACAGAGCAACACTTTTATTTGTTTTAATTTGCACTGTGTACATATACAACAAAACTCTTTCCACTATTTTTGTAACAAATATTCCTAAGCTGATATAATAACAGCATTGATTGAGAATGATATGATGAGGCATCTTCATTTGTCTCTTGGTAACAAGCTGAAATATGACCTTAAATGATACCAATATTTGTCGAAGTTGGTTTTTTTCTGGGATTGTACTTGTTAGACTAAAGAATTATCATCCCAAAGTGAAGGGCTGGAGTTTGGTTGTTTGACATTTCAGCAGTTCGAAGAAACAGGGATTAAATATTAATTAGGTGTGATCTTAGGTCCTGCTCTAAGGTTGTAGCAAGAGGGAGCATTGTTGTGGCTTTATTATTATTATTTAGCAATAATGAATTTGTTTTTGTTTCTTTCTGCTGCCAGAAATTTTGATGCACTATCAGTCTTGCCATCAGAGGCAGCCTCTCTTCATGAAGGTATTCACAAAAGGGTGTTCATGACATACCTGAGGATGTCAACTCACAAAGAATCCAAGGTATATTTAAATAGGATATTAATCATTAATTTAGATTATGTTGCAACACTTTATACTGAGGGTTTTAGGCCTTACCTGGGTTTAACGATGAAACAGACAAAAAAAACCTTTTGTTTATGCTTAATCAGCAATGCTTGTCACCATATGTCGTCAATAACAACAGTTTCCTTGGTATGCATAAATATTAACTTCTTTCTGATGGAGCACAAGGGCTGTACTGGGGAATATTGGCCAAAGGTCTGGGCAGTATGGACCAAGTGCAGTAAGGTCTGTACAAAAAGCACTAAGGGCTGATATTATTCTATAAGGCTTGAACAAGGGAGGGCAGTAAGTAGTTAACTGTATGGCACTCGAATCAAACTTGTTTATTTTGAATTTGCTGGCTATCACAAATAAAAATACATGGCTAATGACTGTTTCCATGGAAACAGTCTGTAAGGAAAAATCCCAGCCAAGTAAGAACCAATCAGAGTGCCTGGATTTACCTTAGGAATACCTTGCTATTGAATAATGCATGTTAGAAACTCTGCAAGGGCATAAAAGGGGGAGTCTTTGATATGTCCTTTACCCAATCCAGATGTAAATATTTGTCTATATCTGCTTAAATCAAAAGAGTTTGAACTGCCTCACTATATGCTGATTTTTCACCTGTTTTGTTTCCTGGCAGGAGAACTTCTTCACCCAGAGCACATTTGGAGATATTCTATATGAAAATTTTTTATTTGATATTCCCAAAATGATGGACATATGTGTTCTTTATGGAGGAGAGAGCAGTGCTAACACTCCACTTCTCAGAAAAATGCTGGAAAATATTTTCTCTAAACAACCAAAGTAAGATGCATTTGAAGTTTTGCATAAGTTTGAATTGCTATGAATTATTAGTATTACTCTTTCTGATATTAGCGTATTGGAATGATGCACTTAAGGGCCCGTTCTCATAGGTCTTTGGAAAATCAGTGGTTCCTTAAGCATATTTTAAAATAATAATTTATAGAATAAAGGAGCAGGTTCTGGTTCCATTCTTTGGATGATAGTTTTATAATATTATGTTTGAAACTTTGGAAACCCCCATCTTGAAGGAAAACAGTACAGTTTTCTGGGCCCATTAAGTTGCTGGGACCATAGAGAAATGCACACTAGGGCTGTATGATTTTCTTTTTGACTTGTTCCCCAATTGATACAAGTTGCACACATAGGCACAAATCAATTCATTAGCAGTGCACTTTCCTTTTACTTTCCAATATTACATTATTTTATAACAGCATACTTCCTATTCTTTTAAAGGTATTATGGTGATCTCAATGGAACAATCCCAACCATTTTTGAGACATTAGATGATATCTTGTCAAGGTGTGGAATCAAGCCAAAAACAGAGGACCCTTCAAATCTTCCTCAAAAACTAATGGACTCAAAGACTGAACAAACTTCCTCCATGACTGTTCTGCAACTGGAGGATATTATTCTTTACTTAAATGATACTCTAAAGACTCTGATGGCATTTGTGGAGACTTGTCCTTTAGTCTGTGAATCATTTCAAAGACAAGAATTTGTACAAAGAATAGCCATCTTCTATGAACTGTTCACCCCATATTTTAGACAACAACTCTCTGGTGCTGAATTACAGATGTTAAAGGATAAATGGAAATGTTTTAAAGTGGCACTCATCAGACTTTGCCGTGTGGTTCTTCACGCCTGTTGCATTGAGCCTTTACTAGAAAGGTAAGGGTTGTTTTAGAATGTAGCTAATGTATACAGGGGTTGTTCTTTGTAGAATATAGTGTGTGGAAAAGGTATCAATTTTTTGGCAATTTTCAGGATAACTGAGGCAAGGATAAGGTCAGAGCAAAGAGAATACAAAGGGCAATTCACATATAGGAGGAGGGCAAAAAGAAAATTCTTTGCCATCTCCTCATGCTTGCTTTTTACTCACTTGAATTGGCCAAAACAAATGATGCCTCTTCTCTCAACTGTGATCTACATTGCAAGCTCTGAATTTTTTTTTTTTTTTTCATACAGGGAATCTAGCAGAAATGATGATCAAGTTCAAACTTGTGTTGAAGATTATTTGCAAGTGTTGACGTCTATTCTTTCTGAGAAAAGGTATTTATCTGTAATCAATTACTACATTGTATACTAACAAGATAATTTGTTTTATCAACTAAGTTGATCATGTAAATTGGCTCCGTAAAGAGCTTCTAAAGCTGACGTTTGGAGCGTTAGCCTTACGTCTCACCTCTCAGACCCTTCATGTTTCTACTTGTTTATTTATGGAAATTTAAAAACGCGTTTCTCTGTTTATAATCAGATTTCTGAGCAGTTATGATTCAAGATTCAGTATAAGAGAAGACTTGAACAGAATCCAGCAGTTGACAGCCGGTGTCGATGAAACACGGATAGATTACATTTTAGATGCTGTGGAAAGTGCACGAAAGGCGTTCCCTCGTCATTTCTCGAAGAGAAAGAACACTGATGAAAATGGTTCAACTATCGGTCCAAGCACAAGCGTTGTTGATACCCCTGTGAATGGTCGCGCAAACGAATGGACAGAAGAACATGTTGCAAATGTCAATGGATTCGTCGAGGACAAGGTATTTCCGAAAACACAGTGTGAAGAAAATGATATAGCTTTAGCTTAAACTTTTCTTCTTGTGGTAGAAAAAAAACTAAGGCACCTTTTTTTAAATTTACTAATGAATGGGGAGCGAGAGGATGTTATGGGGGTAAGAAGCTGTAAGTTCTTAAAGGGGGTGTCTTACTGATTCCAGGGGCTTGTAGACAGGATAAAGGAGTGACATATTAAAAGTCTTGGAGAGCCTTTATTTAATTTACAGTTTATAATTATCTCCTAAGCTGTCACCCAACTTTAGTTAATTGAGCGTTTTTCGACTGGGTGTTGTGAAACCAAAACCAAAGTAATCACAACGGCCAATCAGAAGAAAGGAAAATATCTTAAGAGCCAATGAGAACTCAAAGTTAAAACAACCAAACTGCCTAAAGCGCGGGAAAACGCGGGCGACCAAGCTGGATTTGTTTTAGTTTTGCATCTGATTGGTTGAGGAAGTGTGGCCAGTTTTCTGGACCAATCATATAACGAAGTAAAGCAATCCCACATTTCTTTCGACATTCGGTTGAAAATTGCTCTATTGTACATAATATGCCTTTCTTTTATTGTATAGCCTGTAGAAAACGTAAAACTAAGGGACTTTTTTTTTTTTTAGAATGAAGGAGCAACATCTAAGACAGTTAGTGATGTGGAGTTGTTCTCCATGGTAACTCACGTTCAAGATCTTCTTCCAGGACTTGGTGACGGGTTTGTAATCATGTGTTTAGAAGAATTGAACTTTGATGTGGAACAAGTTATTAACGTATTACTTGAGGATAACTTGCCTCCTTCCCTTCAAGACGCCGATAGGAGTTTGTCAAAAGAAGCGCTGATGAGAAATAAGAAAAAACCCTCGACAACGATCTTGAGGGAGAGACACTCTGTTTATGACAAGGATGAATTTGACGTTTTCTCAGGCAGCAAGGTCGATGTTACAAAAGTTCACAAAGGGAAAAGGCGAGATAGAACGAACCTACAGACATTGTTATCGGATAAAAGTGATATAACAGAGTCAGTGAAAGAGAGATACTCATCTTATGACGTGTTTAATGAACACAGAAGGATGGTTAACTTGTACGATGATGAGTATGACGATACGTATGATTCACAAAATGTGGGCGCCCAAGATGCCGACTCGGCAGATGAGCTTACAGTACGAAGGTTTGTTAAAAAAAATTAGCACTGGCAGTTAGGTTGAAGATGAGGTAACAAGGAAGGCTAGAAGAAAAAGAGCGGGGAGGGTGCCCAATCCGCCGGCAGCTTAATTCGAAGCCAAGATAATTTGGTTTTATTAACTAAGTTGTTAATGTAAATTGGCCATCGTAAAGAGTTTCTTAAGTTGACGTTTCTAGCGTTAGCTCCTCGTGAGGGCCAGTTCCTCCTCGACCCTTCCAAATGAAGCCAGTTCACAGGCTAGTCAGAAGTATTTCCCTTCCTAACCATCGCAAAGAAGATGCGCGTATGCCCGAAACTCGTTTCTTTTCGTTCATACTTATATTGTGGATCACTGTTTTTTTGATGTTAGTGTAATTTCAATCTTCTAGATGATACATCATTCTTAGATTTCCCACACTGTCGTGGAAGGTTTTAAACAAAATCATGGGGGCAGAAGTAACCCCATGCAGCCCTGTGGAAAAGGCGTATTTAAAAAAATATGTATCGTAAGCTCTTCATCATCAGGTCAAATACTTAAAAAGCGCGGCGGTGCTCTTTATAACCAATATGAACAGTATTCAGTTAACTCTTCTCGCTCTAACATTAATATGTATATTCTCCACACTTATCCCTCTACATTTCCTGTTGTAATGACAAGGATAAGTCTTTTGACAGTTAGGAGCTTCTTAAATCGGTGATCATTTCCATTATTCTTGGGAGCTTTACATTGATTCAAGGATGATTCTGTTAAGAGAATAAGAAGCCAGTCGCTCTTATCCTCACTGTGGGTAAACAGGTTGGTCAGAATAAAATGGCGACTTGATTCTTTCTCCGACTAAATAATTGGAAGTACTCTGGTGCGAGCAACATACCACTTGACATACTCATCTCTCATTTCTTGCCAGGCCGTTCACTATTCCGCGTGTTCTTGGCGGATCTCCTGTACCGTCTGATGAAGAAGAAGACAGCGAAGAAGAGGGCCCATCCGAGGAAGGAAAAGCGAAAGAAGGTGAACAAGAAATAGACAAAGCGCTCGTGAATCGACGCAACCGCGGCCCACGTGGACCAAAGAAAGGTGAAAAGGATGGAGACGGAGCGAAAGAGGGACAAAAGGGTGGGCCCAAAGGGCGTGGCAGGGGTGTAAGTGATGCAGAGAAGAGGAACAGAGCGCACAGTGAACGGAATAAAGGATTGAGAGCCAATCACAACCGCAGGGTTGGCGCGGAAAGAAAGAGAGCGAAAGGAATGGGAATGCTGTCACATCAGTGAAGAATCCAGGCTTGTAGAATCAAGGTTACCGTGCAGTCAATAAATGTCAAACAAATTCTATTTTCTTAGAGAATGTGTAAAACTGAAACTAGCTGCTGCTGAATGGGCTGAGGTTATTCTGAGGAGTGTCAAAAGCTTAAGAGAAAACTTAAAGCGATGATGATGCGAGGTGTGGTGTCCTTAACTCTCACTTGCTTTTTCGCCGTATCTCGCTCAATCGTCGCCAAGGTTCATCAATGACATGCTTTGAATAGCCCTCCATTAAATATCTCCAATTATCCGCGAAAATTGCAAAATTTATATTGTTATATTTCAAATTATGCGCGCACGTTTCTGTGTTTTAAATTTCCTTTATTTCACACAGAAAAGAATAATGCGCCAAAGGAAGGGGAAGTCTACTGCAGGTTCAACCAAAGTTATTTTATGTAAATTTTAAAGTACTTCTCTGAGAAAGATTGTTCAACTTTAAAATTTATAAGACAACTTTGTAGTGGATTAACTTCATAGTCTTGAGGCTTTAGTTCACGCACCGCAAGAGTCAACAAAAAACCTTCAATATTGTTGTTTTAATGTTTCAAACGTGATTATGAGTTCAGTTGTTACAAAAGTAACTGAATTTGTCCTATACTCAAATCTGATGGATAAATAAATTGTTGTTTCCAAAAGAAAGTCGTGGCAGAAGAAAAACAAACATACTCTCATGCCATTGTAACAATTGTCCCTTTCACTCTGGGGTGACTAAAATGTCACTTCTCCCTAAACTGTCAATACAACTTCCAGCAAACAGGTGTTGAGAATTGCCCAAGTTATCGGTCAGATGGTCATGTTAGATGTAACACCAAATTCTCCTGCCTAACTTACAAGGAATTCTATGGCATCTAGAGGGGAGAACATCTACTCTGATCTTAGGAGGAAGGGTTTAAATACTTCAGGTGATGAATAGAGCAAATCTCGAGTGAGCGTCATTAAACCAAAACCAAAATAATCAGAAGGAAGGAAGGAGGAAGAAGGGAAAACGTGACAAAGATTCAATGAGAGCTCATAATAAACAACCAATCTGCATAACGTAGTAGGGGTAGGGGGGCAAGAATGACTAAGTCCTGTTTGGTTTTAGATTTCAATGTGATTAGTTGAGAGGATGGAGCAAGCTTTGTAGACCACAAAGCAAAGTAAATTAAAACCAAAGCAATTCCAGATGACTTTTGACACTCAATCACAAAATTGCTCTAAAACTGACAATCCTTGGAGCTACATAACAGAGGTTAACATATTAAACCCAACCCTTTCTCAACATTGATAATATGGTAATAATACTGACAATATATGCCACATACACGCCAAAACATACTTCAACATGAAAAAAAAATACTTCATTCACTTAACCCCTTTGTGGCTAAATCTCATGGACACAATTAGTAATTTCATCGAAAATAAATTTTGTAATAAATTAATACTAAATCATTCATTCAATTAGATATCTTCTCTCTTTAACTGCTATCTTAGTTTAGAGGCAATCAAGCCTATTGCTAAACTACCAAATATAAAAAGTATGGGTCCCACAACTGCAGAGGATGACTGGGGTAAATCTGAAAGAAAAAGGAAAAAAAAGCAGGTTTAAAAAAATGTAGGATAACCCCTTTAACTCTCAGGTGATTGATGGGTAGATTCTCTCTACAATGTTCATACATTATCCAGCAAACTGATAATGAGAATACTCAAACTCATCAGTAAAGTAGTTATCTTGATCTAACACTGAATTCTTGTAACTAATTTATAAGGAAATGTGTAGCAGCAAGAGGGGAGAATTAACAATCAGATCTTGGGAAATGCACATTCTTGACATTGAGCCAAATATATCTCATGTTAAGTGCAATAATGAAACATTTTAATTACAGAATCATGTGTTATCAAGTTCATGAGAAACAGTCCCAACTATGGTTGTTTAAAGCATGGACAATGCTATCCACTGGATAAATCTCTATCCGGTGTCTTGTGCAGTACGTTTTGTTAACACTTATCCACTTGATAGCAATTTGTCTGTTGAACAGCATTATCCACCTTTTGATTTACCAGTCCCAGGATGTTAGAAAAAATCTGAAAAGGCCAGTTGAATTTAGCTCAACTCGGCCATTCTTTGTGCAGAGTTTAGTAAGGAATAACAGCAGTGGACCACCATTGAATCACATGCTGAACTTCTCATATGACGAACCTGATGCAATAATACTTTCAATCTTTATGTATCTTAAATGAATGTGACTGATGAATGGAGCAGTGACTGAAGTTAGCCTATGATCACCGCATGACTAACATTTGAGCCACACTAAATTAATATGGGTTGGATTGAATTCAACTTTGATGCTGCTCTTGAAAAGATAGGTATCCAATCTTAGATAGGCCTAGTTGTTTGAGTCTTGACATTGAAGCAGTGAACACTCCAGAGTTTGAACTGGTCTGCTCACTGTGACATACAAGCACAAACAACAAAAACTGCAACATTTGATCTTGTGCCTGTGATTCTTTGTTTTGTATTAAACCGGCAATCAAACCTCAACTTGTGACCAAAAAAAAATCACTACAAATGTACTGTACTAAGTTAAAATCCAGTTTCTGATATTTCATGCAAAGTGTTTTTCACATAAACAAACTAAAAATGCAATGATGTGACAAAGTAGAAATGAAAATATTCACCTTTCACAAAAAAAAACCCAACAAAAAAACAAGCTGATACTATGGAAAACAACTGAACACAAATAAAAGAACAAATTGTGCCAATCTGACCTCCACAATAACTTCTCTGTTAACACACCTTTTGTGCTTTCAACCTAAAACAACATGAACTGTGCAGTGAAAAATTTGAAATGACATACTAAAAATAAAGTGAAAGTCCTGAGTAAAATTGCAGGAAAACCAAATCAAACAAAATGCCTGAAGGTGTTAACATGGAATGTATTGGTCGTTATCTACAGTCACTCGGGTTCTATGTGGAAAATAATAAATTTGATGCCGACTTTTCAGAGTACAGGAATAAAATTGAAAAATAAAGACTAGAAAAAAGATCAACAACATGGGATAATGTGTGGTGACCCATCTAAGTAGTAATCCCAACCAGCAGGGCATAACTTCAGTTAGAAGCACAAGCACATGGCTAACTTCCATATCTAACTATGACGACACCCAAGCAAATTCTTAATGTGGTCTGCAACAGGCATCCCATGTAATGACCTAAATTTGTGGTTGATGTTGTTTTGTTTTCATACTTTCTGGATGTTACATGGGTCTCTGCTGCAAACACTATAATAATAACATCTACATTTGAATAAATAGGACAAATATTTGTTATGAGGTCATCAAAAACCCTTGAGTTTTGTACATCTAGTTATAACATACTGGCAGTGTTCGCAGTTGAATCTGAAGGCAATATTCCAAAAGCTGACAAGAGGGCAGGTGATAGTTTTGAAGGTGACACCTCTTATGAGAATTGAATTTTTCACCCATATTCTTGTTGAGGAGATGCAAGTGACAGAACATGAATTTGGAATGTGGTAGATTACTCAAAAACACACAATTAATGCTGCTTTTTAAGCTGGTTACTCTGCAAGTTATGGTATCAGCTAATTGTAGATTAGCAAAATCAAAGCCATGTTAATTCTGTTGTATCTGTTACTGAACCAGAGATCTCAATTTTGTAGATTGCATTTTCTTAATCAAATGTTTGGAAAAGTCACATTTTTGATAAGTGTTGATGAAAGACTGTTCAGAAATGCCTGACATGTGGATATTTTCTCCCCAACTCATAAATAATAGTATCATGGAGGTTAATTCATATCACACCTCAAGTAATACGTAAAATATAACACTTAAACCTAATGTTAAATTTCTCATTACAGCTTCTCATGGTTACATAATTATTGAATGAAGTGACAATGAATATCATAATTCAAAGATCACTGCAGGTTAACAGTCAGCACTAAGTTCTTATCTTGTCATATCACAGTTAACAGTCTCAAAAAGGCTCCAAAGATAGCCATCACAGATCATGAGAGGCATTTGCTGGTTATAAGTCAACTGTCATCGGTTCACTATTTTCCTTAGCAAAGTTACAGTCATCATGTGAAGGATTTGAACAACTTCTCGCTAGAAAGATTATGACCAGTTAGATGGTTATTAATGCAAAAAGTGCATTAAAAAGATAAAATGGGTGCATCTCGTAAGCAAAGAAGTTTTCATTTCCCTTTCAATTATTTGATTGCAAACCTACAGCCATGGCCATGCAAAAAGCTATTATTAATTATTAGCTGTATTTCCATTGTTACTGGCACAACAAATTCCTCTGTTAGTGGGCATGAGATCTTCTATGATCTGCGACAGTGTTATATAGACCTCATCAGACCACATCCAGGATAGTGATCAAAGACAACATCAACAAAAACAATGTTCTTCCACATGCATTTAAAACCATCTTGCATTGATTTAATGTTAAAATTACAGAATACAACTTGCTTTTGTTACCTTGGTTCTCAACATCATCCACTTCCCATTTCATGGTTCTCTGAACAGCCTTCTTCCATCGAGCATAATGGTGATCTCGAGCTTTGAACAAAAAAGAAATTCAATTGAATGACTAAAAATTAAAACAGATTATTACCTATCTCTACACAGCTTAATTAGCTTGTTAGCCATAATGAGTTATATTACCCATATCTAATATTAAATTTTGCTCTCCAGCCAAACCCTTTACACCCTAAGATCAGTATGCATCATTTCCATACTGTTCTCCACACATTTCCCAAGATGCTGACAAGGAGAATTTGTCAAACAATCAAGAGCCTCCTTGGTGGGTGATAATTTCCTTTATTTTTGTAACCTTAAAGTTTGATTCAGGGTGATATTGTAAGGAGAAATAAGATGCAAGTCACTCTTAGGGGTTAACCCTTTAACTCCCATGAGTGACCAAGACAGAATTTCTCCTGACAATATCAATGCAAAATCAAGCAGACAAGTGACGAGAATAACGAAAAATATCAATTGAGGGATTGTAAGTTGATCCAATACCAAATTCTCCAAACTAACATCACAAGAACTGTATGGTTGACAGTAAGGAGAATTACTAATCAGATCTTAGGAGTTAAGGGATCAACAGAGTTTTAAGTTTACAACCATTGTACATGGTCCAGTGGACAGAGATAAACTGAACAGTCTACATCTAAGAAACAGGTAAACGAAAGGTAATCTCACCATGAGTATCAACAGCTGGCTCAAAGATATCAGTGTTTATTTGAGACTTGTCCTCTGCGTGAACAGTCCACACTTCTACTCCTTTGGCCATACCAGCAGCCATTGCTGCCCCCAGGGCTGTGGTTTCTGGCATTGTTGGACGTACTGCCAAACAAACAAACAAAAGCAAACTAGCCCCTTTAATCAATTATAACCAATTAAAACTCTCTCACATATGTTTTGAACCTCCTGTAAAAGACCACTTCAAATGTGCTGTCCTAAACCTTCAGTGTGTACTTTCATACTGTTTCTTACACATTTCCTACAGCTTTTGCAAGAAGAGGGTTTTCAATATTCAAACAAATCTCAAGTTGATCATTTCCTTTATTCTCATGAGCCTCGTGTTTGATTCAGTGGTGATAATACAAGAAGAAATTAAAGGCTAATCACTTGTAAGGGGTCAAAGGATTAAAATGAGCAAGTTGATGACCTACTTACCTACAGAAATTCCCAGGATATCAGCTTGAAGCTGCATCAACAAGTTGTTCACCGTCATACCACCATCAACTTGAAGAGATGCAAGCGGTATCCCACAATCCATGTTCATGGCATCCAAGAGCTAACAGTGTAAAAAAAAAATTATTGAATACATCTATATGGTAATGTGCTTATTAAATGAGTAATATAAGAGGTTTGCTGTCATTAAATGGATGCAAAGTTAAAGAAAAAAAGGAGAGGGACTTTCTCGACCCTTCAACTCCCAAGATCTAATTCTTAATTCTCCCCTCTAGCTGCTACACATTTCCTTGTAAATTAGTTACATTTGAATTTGGTGTTAGATCAAGATAACTTTTACTTGATAAGTTTGTGTATTTTTATTACCTATTTGCTGGATAATGGAGAAAATTGAAATTCATTTCTTAGGGGTGTCTGTCTTTAACTTCGTAAATATGTGGTTAACATGGTCAACCCATAGTTATAACTTAAGGGAGAAACCATGGTTGCAGTTACAATAAACTAACTATTTTATAGATAGAATGGTTGACTGTGGTTACAATAGAGAACCATGGCTAAGATGGGAGGACTGTGACTAAACAAAGTGGACTGAGGGTAATCCATGATTGTGATATATAGGCAGTAAGTCAGATCAGATGACTGAGGTTGTGATGGGGTGGCTGTAATTACAATTATAGGAGGTATATGGCTAAGATAGGTGACCTGTTACTGCAGTTGGTAGGTTACAATCAAGATGGCAGAAATTACAAGAAAAGACTCCCTCCATCAACTCCAACCCTTACCTCGCGTGTCTGGAAGCACACTGCTTCTAGAGTGGCCCTTGCTATGTGTGCCTTGTTGGTAAACTGGGTCAATCCTATGATTACTCTAAGAAAACACAGAGCAGTATTAGGAGACGATTAAATGTTTGGGTATTTGAGCTTCATGTACTATCACTGTTAAACAAGAGGAAAAGACAAAAGAGTTGGGTAAGATACACAAGGCTGCATTAACCCTCTACGCCCTAACATCAGTAAGCATATTCTCCATACTGTTTCCTATTCATTTCTTAAGGTGTTAACAAGGAGAATTTGTCAAACAATCAAGAGCTTCTTTAGTTGGTGATCATTTTCTTTATTCTCATGACCTGGCTGTGTGATTCAGGGGTGATATTGTAAGGAGAAATTAGATGCTAGTCACTCTTAGGGGTTTAAAGGAGTAAGAAATACTTTGTCAAAATGAATTTGGGTCTTTCTAGCCAGTCTTCTTTTTCCTCCATCACATTTTATATAGAAAAGATAGAGATAGGAGTCCATTTGTGCTAAATATATAATATAGAAATACAACATTGTATACCTAAAACATTTATTTTGTACAAAAGCTATTGAAGTCTACAACAGTAGAAAAAATAGTGCTTATTTTTATTGACCCACCCTCTTGCGTCTGTCTGCCAATAAGGAGCATACAAACCAGAGAATGCTGGAACAAAGTACACACCAGCTGAACTCTCTACTTTGGCTGCTAAGGTTTCTAAAATAAAATAAGATTCACTACGTCATGCATCAAGCTGTAAGTTCACAACCATTAGCAGTGGCCACTTCCATTTTGTAGTTGGTTTGGACAACTTTTGTATAAACGTCTTAAATCAATGTCAGTATCTTGGCAACTGCACACCTGCCCCTTCCCTAACCCAACAACAGTAAACTGATAACAAGTTAGGGTTAATGTTGGTTTAGGGAAGGGGGTATAGATTTGTTTCGGAGAAAGGTGTTGAACAAAGCTGAATTTTTCATAGTCCTGGAAAATCAGGCATGGATTCTAGCCCACCACCAAGGTGGTGATAGTTCCAAAGGATGCTCAGGTACGTAAGGAATAGGAACCAGGTGTGACTGAGCCAGAACTGGGCCTGGAAATTCAGCGATGAGGACATCCTACAGATTGCCAAAACCACCTGAATTGGTGTGTTTGCTAAGAAGCAACACATGAAATTCATGCCACACATAACCAGGATGCCAAATGATGCACCCCAGATTATGATGTGCTTCGCCCAAGGATATGGCCAATTAAGCCACTGGTCAAGACCAGCAAAAACTGCAGGCATTGAGGCTATGTAGCTTCACAAAACAATGCATAACAAAGCTGACTTCAACAAGAGTATCCATGATCACTACAAAAGTGACCCATGCTCTTAAAGCATGAAAAAAATCATGCACATGAAACCCCCATGATGATGATGAACACCAAGGTGGTGATATTTCCAAAGGATGTTCAGGTACATAAGAAACAAGGACCTGGTGTAAGTGAGGGCACTGCAGCACACAGCTTGTGCAACAGTAGGAATAAGCTATGTTAGATTTGTAGTTTACCAATCTCTGATGCTGAGCTGATAAGATTGAGGTTATCTCTCAGCCACTTCACAGCAGCACCAGTGATGGCAACTGAGCCCTGAAATAGAAAGAAAATTGCATTCCTGTGATATGGGGAAAAGTGGTGGGTACTCTTAACGAGCCAAGTTGGCTTTAATTAACTGTAATCTTCCAACAAAACACTACTTAAATTGATTGCTATTGCTACATGACTAGGTACTAGTCTGACTCAGGTAACCCCCAAACTATTTCTATCACATGTCTCAATTTTGGCTCTCTATTTCTATTTTTGCAATCACCTCTAAAGCGTACACTGTGGGTTGGTCAGGACCCAGCTTGTATGCAACAGTCGTCAGCAAACCATTTTGAGAGAGGACCACCTTTCAAGATAAAAAAATTACAATAAATCAGCAAACAATGTCAGAAATAGTAATCATAAATAAGCTGATAACATAGAGAATGGTCACCACCACATTCATGTTTTGTCCATAGATAGTGCTTCAGTTTCACTCTGTATATCATACATTCTGTAATTTTTGTTAAAAATCCCCATATTCATGGTTATGTGGAGGCGGCTGGCACTGATTATTAGAGCTGGATCATTTTATAAAATAATTCGAAAAAGTTTTAATCAGTTTATTCATCATGGTGTATGAGCTATGATACCCCTTCCTCAATTTCACTCCCTTTAAAAATAAAAATAGAACATAAAGATGGGTTTACAGGGCATGAAATTAATTTTTTTTTTCTGATAGCCACTTGGCTCCCAAATTTTTCAAAGTGGTAGCCAATTCAAAAAAAGTTCATCGCCATTTTTAAAGACAAACAAAACCCTTTTTTTTACGCTGTCAGCGTTCTAGATAGACCCTCCAAAATTAAGTTAGGAAAAAGATCTTTAACGTGCTACAAAGTGGACACCAGGGTGGATGATATACAACGTTCAAGCTCACCTAAACCAAAGATTGCATCTAGTTATTGATCGAGATGCATGTGCTGCATTTGGGACATAAACCTAACAAGGAAGTTTGTTGTGGATTTATCTTTGCAAATCTTTTTAATTCACTATATCTCTAGGTAAGGTTATGATGAAGCATTCTAGTTGCCAATTTGGAAACTAATTTTCAGGATTTGGTCGCCAAAGTAAAAAATTTAGTCGCATTGGCATCTGTATTAGGTGCAATTTCACGCCCTGGTTTAAATTAATTATTTTCTCTGAAATTGTGACAAAGCAGATTTTGTTACCTCTTGTCCTGTGTTGTAGAGAAGAAAACATCCAGTGCCATAGCTGTGTAGAAAAAAAAGACAGACAGTAATGTAATGACTGAGCGCGTGATTGTGGAAAACACTATCAACTAGTTAAATCATATAGTGACTCAATCACAGTGACCCAACAACATTTGTTCCCACAAGATTATGTAGATTTTTCAATTAGTGATGAGTGATTTTATTTGAGAGCTTTCTTAAAGGTAGGGACAAGGAAAAGGAAGCAAAATCTCTTGATTTCTGTTCTCTTATCTCTTGCACCCTGCCTTCTAATGGGAAATAATGCACACTAATGATGAGTCCATATTTGTATTTATGCATTTCCCTACTACTTTGGACTGCCATAAAGTTTCTGCTTTCCAACTTCTTCTCTGCTGTTCCCCTATTCTCTTATGCTCCCAGCCACTGGTCCTCTTCCTCATTAAGGTGTTCTGGGAGAGATCCCCTCAACCATGCCAAGGATGTCGCAGTTACCTTCTGGTTGGCATGCTGCACAAGGCATGTTCATTGTGTTCTTAAGCAAGGCACTTTACTCTCACTGTGGCTTGCCCTCTCTTATTGCTTCATGCTACAGAAACCTAGATAAGTTCTGGCACCTTGTGAGCCACCTGACTCAAATGCAGAATTTAGTTATACCCCATTCACCCCTCTCTACCGAGGGCACCTTGACAGGACAAAGAAGAAACTTTCCAGAACTTACGTGTTTTTGGCATCTCCCTGATTAAAGCACAGTTGTCCAACTAATGCTGCTTGCTGGTCACCAAGGCACTATTGTGAAAAAAATAATATCAAATCAAAATTATTCTCTTTATTTGTTTTTTATAAATTATGTTTGAAGATGCTGTCTTCCTACATGCCATACAATTCTCATTTTTCTTTACTACTGGTAGAAAACTATCTAGAATAAACTCATTTTTTTCTTGTTGTCAGCTGTTGTTGTGACAAATCTTGTCTGTCTTTCAGAGGCCATCTGCTGCAGTAATCTTACATGTTAACAAAATAATGTCTTGTGGATGAATGATTGCCTTTTTTTCATGAGAAAATTGTGGTAGTGCTGATTAATCAAACAATTTGTGATTATAACAAGGGACCCTTTAACTCCCTAGATCTCAATACTAATTCTCCTTTCTGTCTGGCATACATTTCTTTTCTATTTAAGTGCTGAGAATTTGGTGTTGAATCATATGATACCTCCTTCTTGATAATTTTCTTTGATTCTCATCACCTGTCTCCTTGATATTGAACTGATATCATAAGGAGAAATTACTTCTTGGTCACTCTTGGGAGTGAGAGGGTATAAAAAAAATAAAAAAACAAACCCTGATATTGGGACTCCACTGAGAGGACCATCAACCTGAAAATAGAAAAATTACAACTTCATAACAATCACTTATGCTTAGAAAGAAGTTTACTCCAGAAAGAAAAAAATTATGATCACTTCAACTCTGGTCACAGTTTGCTCCAAAGAAAAAAAAAGAAAACTTTGACTCTACCTTTAAAAAGTATATGTCAAAATGAAACAAATATTAAGCTATTAGATTGTCAAGAATTTCATATTATCAGCCTCTCCAAAACTAGATGAAAATTATTTTAAAATATGTTTGTTAAATTTGGGTTTTAATAATCAATGTTACTTTAATTGTCTTACAAGTTTCCCATATATTTCTGAGGAACTTTTCACAGTTGGTAAAACTGACATTGGAATGCTGAAGAATCTGAAAACAACAATCAATAAAATGTAACAAGTTAGAAAGAAAAAAAGTTGGTTGATGCTAATACGTAAGTGAATGCTACTCGACAGTCATAAGTGCTTCAGCAAGTATTCCTGGAATATGCAACCATTACTGTGTGTCACTCAAATGGGACTCAATACTGTTTTAACATGATGAATTTTCTTCAAATTCTTCTACCAGAAAAACTCAGCAGATTCTTGCAGTTTCATGAATAACGACCCTGTAGGTGAAAAATACCAAACATACTTGCACAAGTATGGATCCCAACTTTGCGTCTTCAGGTTGAGAAGCATGGTTCGTGAGGCATTTGTAATGTCAGTGATATGCAAGCCCCCTTTTTTACCACCAGTCATGTTCTGAAGGAAAAAAATAGTCAATAATTATTATTTGAGAACAATGGCCCTATTAAATCACATCTACTGAATGCAGGACCCCCAGATAATGGAAACCTAGACTTACCCAAATCAGCCATGAGTCCACAGTCCCAAACAGACACCTGTCTTCTTCCACAGCCTTTTTCACTGCCTCAACATTGTCAATCAACCACTTTAACTTCACTGCACTGAAATAAGTGTTGATAGGAAGGCCACACAATGCCTACAACAAAATAAAATTAACCACAGCAAAATCATTTCTGCAACAAAATTTAAATTTACACACAAGCTTGAGGTAAAGTAGGCAAAGTTATACATCAGTGTGCTTGTCTCTAGGTAATGTCACCTGGGTTTAACTGCCAGACCTGGCATCATGTTAAGTTTGTAGTTCTTTCTTGTTCTTACTCAAAAGGTTTTCCTCCAGAATCTCTGGTTTTTCTTTCTGAACAAAAACTAACTCTTCAAATGGTGGATTTGGCACATAAAAACCTGTAGTTACTGTAAGTGGTGGATATCAAATGCTTTCTTAAATTTATTAACTTTTTCTTGATAACAGCTAGTTGTTGGAAGAGTTTAGCACTCATTGAAAATTTCATTTACAGCGCCAAATTCTGGAAAGAATAATACTCATCTTTCTCATCTCAAAAATCTGGAAATCTTTAGAAACTCTTTATGGTGGCCAATTAACATCATCAACTTAGTTGATGAAACCAAATTATCCCCCCCCATCCCCCACCTCCAAAATATACTTACTCTGACATGTTCTCTAGTCTTTTCTGGGGTGTTTGCTTCAAACTGATCCACAGTTGATTTTGTCCTTGTGTCAAGCCAAACTGCAAATTTAGATAAATTCATATAAATTTGTACTTTGTTGACAAAAGTAAACACTATTTACACCATCAATTGTCTTCAAGAATTTTATTCCCAAGATCTGATCATTAATTCTCCCCTCTAGCTACTGCACATTTCATTGTAAATTAGTTAGAAGAATTTGGTGTAAGATCAGGATGACGGCTTATACCTGACAACTTTGAATATTCTCATAACCTGTATACTACAAGGAGAAGTTACATGTTAATCACTTCTGGGAGTCAAAGGGTTAACCCTTTAACTCCCAGATCAAATTTGTCATTCTCCTTACTGTCAACCACACAATTCTTACAGTGTTAGTTCAGAGAATTTATTATTGGATCACCGTATTATCCCCAAATTGATATTTTTCTCTATTCTCGTCACTTATCTGGTTGATATTGTATTGATATTGTAAGGAGAAATTCTGTCTTGGTCACTCATGGGAGTTAAAGGGTTAATAGACTTAAAGAAGATAATGTAATTGCCACTAGCTGAAGACAACAGATGCACATCAAAGAGCTGTTCCCCTCCACTTCCAACCTAATGAAAGACCAAAATGGAATTTTAAGGGAAGGTGCTTTTCCATAGCTTAAAACATCTCAGAAAATTGGAAGTCCAAAGGTAATTTCCTGACGTGGTGGAAATACAGAAAATGTTTTGTGAAATGTCACATGGAATTCTGGAACAACAGATTAATTTATAAAGCATTCATACTAACTTATAGCATTGTGAAGTGGTTCCCCAGTGACCTTGTCCCAAACCACTGTTGTTTCTCTCTGATTTGTAATTCCAACAGCTGTGAAAAATAAAACAGAATAAGAAATTAAGAATTTTAATAAGAAATATATCACTCCCAGAGCCACATGTCAATATGAAAATTCATAGAAATGTGAAAAAGGCATTCAAGTTTAATGATTAGGAATAAATCCTTCTTCCACTTAGCTGGAGAATGCAGTGTTCAATCATTGTCTTACCTTTCACATTAATTTTATTACTATCACAAGGAACAAAATTTGTTTTGTTTCACAAAGTAATAGTAAAGTTCCATGAAGGCAGTCAATACAGTCAAATACATAGTGTTTAGGGGCCTATTTCTCAAATTTGCCGTAACTTGACAGGCCAGTAAAGTTGTTCTTTTTTCATTCAAGATAGGGGTTTCAAAACTTTTTAAAATTATTATACAATAGAACCAAAAACTAAAGAAACAAAATGATCTGGTCAGGGTGCAAGAACCTTCTTCTTTCTTCTTTAAATTTTGCTTTTAAAAAAGGGCTTCAGGCCTGTTAACCCCTTAAACCCTAAGAGTGACCAGCATCAAATTTCTTCACACAGTATCAACCCTGAATCACACGTTAAGGTCATGAGAATAAAGGAAATGATCACCAGTGAAAGAAGCTTTGGATGGTAAACAAATTCTCCTTGTCAGCACCTTAGGAAATGTATAAAGAGTAGTATGGAGAATATGCATACTGATGTTAGGGTGTAATGGGTTCAGTTACTGGGACTCCTAAGAAACTGGCCCCTGGACTCCACACCAAAGTTTTAGGCCCAGGCTAGTGCCATATTTTTCTTTCTGAAAAAATGAACTCTCAAGGTTCCTCTCTCAACTCAGAGGTAAGGACAAAGCCAAACTGTTAGAGAAATTTGATTAACCCTTTACATCCTAACATTGATCACTATGCATATACTCCATACTGCTCTCTATACATTTCTAAAGGTGCTACTGAGGAGAATTTGTGTAACAATTAGCAGCTTTGTTAGCTGGTGATCATTTCCTTTATTCTCATGATCTCAATGTATGATTCAGAGGTGATATTGTAAGGAGAAATTAGATGCTAGTCACTCTTAGGGTTTAAAGGGTTAAGGTGAAAATAAATACTACTACAACCTTGCAATGATGTTTATCACTAAAGAGTCTCTGTGGCTCAGTGGTAGAGTGTCAGAGGGCCATGTCCCAATGTCTGAGGTTCCATTTCTCACAAGGAGTCAAAATTTTTTCATTGTCCCACACTCATCATGACAAGATAAGAAAAACATTCTCCCTTTACACCCTAAACTCAGTTTGTAAATTCTCCATACTGTTCTTTGTACATTTCCTTAGGTGATGAAAAGGAGAATTTGTTTGACAATCAAGAGCTTGAATAATGGCTGTAAATATATGAAAATCATATATGTGTGCTGCAGCTGAAGAAACAAATATAGAAGCAATCCTCACAGCTATGAACACTAATGAACTAGTAGCTGAAACAAGGCATGAAAAAAATTCAGGCCTATATGGGATTTGAACCCATAACCTCTGCAATACCGGTGCAGTACTCTACCAACTGAGCTAACAAGCCAACTGGGAGCTGGTCATTAGATTGGATCTGAATAAACCTTCCAAGTGGTGAATAATGGCTGTAAATATATGAAAATCATATATGTGTGCTGCAGTTGAAGAAACGAATATATAAACGATCCTCACAGCTATAAACACCAATGAACTAGTAGTTGAAATAAGGCCCGAAAAAAATCAAAGAAATCAAGAGCTTGTTTAGTTGGTGCTCATTTCCTTTATTCTTTTGACCGTGATTTTTTTTTATTTAAGGGTGATATTATGTAGAGAAATTAGATGGTAGTCACTCTTAGGGTTCAAAGGATCATACCATCCCTCTGCCACTGAGATACGGATAAGATCAGAGGTCAAAATAGTCTGAGTTTGCTGCATAACCAAGGATATATAATGTGAATATTTATGTTGATCACCTTTGATATCAGCTGGGTTGATTTTCAAGTCTTTGCAGCTGTGAAGTGTCTGCTCCATACAATGATACACAGATGATAAAATTTCCTTTGGATCTTGCTCCACCCATCTGTAACAATCATTAGATGATCAATATCACACTTTGTTAGTTAATAAGGGCTGTGTTGAGAGTACTTGTAACCTGCTATCTCAGAAAATAATCTGCTATAACTCAGTGGGAGCAACATAAAAATAAGTGAAAGATAACAAAAAACTTTCAATGAGTCCTTTTGTACTTTAAGAATATCCCTAAGCATTAACTTTTTTCACATTACAATACTCCAAGCTTAAATCTTTTCAAAGTTCCCGCTGCGAAACCCAAATTATAAAATGGTCTTCACAAAAGGAAGTTTAGTTACCAGGAAAAAAAAAGCCTCTTAGGAAATATTTCAGCTTGATACTCAGAAAATTGGTGAAAAATACTCACATTGGTTTTAATCCTTCAACTCCCACAAGAGATTAATGAGTAACTTCTCTCAATAATATCCATACATTATCCAGTAAACAGGAAATGAGAATACACAAACTCATCAAGCAGAAGTTGCTATCTTGATCTAACATCCAGTTCTCAAAACTAATTTATATGGAAAAGTGTGGCAGCTAGAAGGGAGAATTAACAATCAGATCTTGGGAGTTAGGCATTAACAATATTTAGGAAAATGTTTGTCTTTGTCTAACTTAAGACCATAAGCATCAAGTTACTAGATGGGTAGCCTCAGTCACCCCAAGCACAGGTTACCAAATTGGTAATTGCCTAATGGTCGCAGTTTAGTTTGGGGTGATGTATTTCAACCAAATTTCTTTCTTTCACAATATAGAAGATTCTAAAACCTGTACATTTAGCACCTGTGTTTTATTTTTTCTACCAGGTATATGTAAAAAATGTTGTTATCTTTGAAGAGGTAATTAAGAGTGGCATTGAAATACTTACCCTTCCTTAGGATAGACACTTTCAACCTCAATTTGGTGAAAGGCAAGTAGTTCTGCAGTTTTACTTGCAAAGAGCTGCAATAAATGGCAAATTTCAAATTTGGGATCCAGTAGAATAAAGTAATATCATCAATGTTTTTTTGAACACTAAGTCTACATGTCTAGCAGCAGGTTCTATCACAGATGTTTGCTTGGAAATTCCAAGCAAGTGGACCAATTTCTTTCAGAGCTTGTGTATAACATAAAATTGCTAGGTTAGATATACAGTCAAACCTGTATTATGTGGTCACCCACAGGGAATGGCAGGGTGATTGCTGCACCCTTTAACTCCCAGATCAAATTTGTCATTCTCCTTATTGTCATTCATACAATTCTCATAATTCTAGTTTGGAGAATTTAGTATTGGATCAACTAATTATCCCTAAATTGATATTTTTCTTTACTCTCATCACTTATCTGGTTGAAATTGTATTGATATTGTAAGGAGAAATTCTGTCTTGATCACTCGAGGGAGTTAAAGGGTTAAAACAGGTTGACTGCTAGATACAGGTTCCAAAGAGAAGAGGTCAAACACAATAAAAAACACCATCTTGTCCTTACCGTACTAAGAAGAAAGATAATCTGCAATACATTGAGGATATTTGAATTCAAAGTGCTTATACTAATTTAAAGAAATAAACACAGAATAATTTCGATTTCAGACATTGTTTTGTGTTTTATTTGGGCTGGTCCTGCATTAAGTGACTATTTAACACAGATGGAGACAATACAAACAGGCTGCAAGGACTCAGTTAACTCTTTAACTCCCTATAGTATTCATTCATTATCCAGGAAACAGGTGATGAGAATACTCAAACTTATCAGGTAGAAGTTGTTATCTTGATTTAATGCCAAATTCTCGTTAATAATTTATAAGGAAATGTATATGAGCTAGAAGGGAGAATAGACAATCAGATCTTGGGAGTTAAAAAGTTAAGGGTGACCACAACTGCTTTATACTAGTGAAATTACAGTACTTGAGTGGAAGAAATTTTGGATCTTAAAAACCCAGCCAGTTAATACAGGGTGACTGCTTAATACAGTGCTGCTTAAAACAGGTTCCACTTTATTTTCTAAGTGTTGAAAACCTAGCAGTTTTATGGTGTGCACAAGCTCAGAATATTTATCCACTAAAAAAACCAAAGTAATTTTGAAATTGCTTGACATTTCTGATGTCCAAATACAGAGTGTTGAAAAAAAAAAAAAAAAAAAAAAAAAAAAAAAAAACTGTCCCACTGGCGGACATGTAGAGATTCCCTTTTTGAAATTTACTTAATTAGCACACCAACATTAAATTCTATCAGAAATACTTATTGAAAAGATTTCACACCCAGATTATACCTAGAATTGACACCTAAATCAGTTTACATTAGAAGCTTAACTGTAAGCCTGTGAGTCATGCAGATGTTTTTTGACCGAGTCGTCTAATGCAATAAAACTGGGTGTGTATATGTTACGATAGCCTTTGACCCCTGGAAAAGTTAAGTAGAAATAAATGCCTCACTAAATTAATAAACCAAAAAGTTATGCCGTAAAAACTAAAAATAACAAGCTGCAGTATCGTTCAAACAGTGTTTAAATCTACAGCTCGATTGCTTGAATCGTATTTCAAGGCTGTTCGTAACAATTTTAATCTCGCAGGCTGAAAACTCCCTTCCTTGATTTCAGTTGATTTGCAATCTAATCTTGAGGATGAACACTGGAATTTTGAGAGGTTTTTCTGGGTTACAACTCCCAAGGGATAATTAATTGTTTGCCTTCAGAACTAGATCACGAAGGAATGTTTATATTGTAAATTCACGTTGGAATCCGGAAAGGCAGCGCGTTTTGAAGACAACTACTAATATAAGCCTAGACTTATATTTATTGCATGATTTCCAGTTTGTCTGATGGAACTGATCTCATATGAGAAATCTGGCGGAATATGACATTATCTAGAAGAGATTTCGAGTTGTTTCACATTTGCACGAGACACGATGAAAAAGATCTTGTGACACCCATATCACACACTGCACTACTCAGTATCCGCCAGTTTCGGACCATAGTTGTAATTTGATTGTAAAAGGAACGATGCTTACATGCAAAACTGAACTCAGTCCTTTACTTAATTGATGTGCAACTCACCAAGAACCTACTGCTGGAAGTTCCTTGGTCGATAGCTCCAACCAGAGGTCCAAAGTCCTTGTAATCGCCTTCACCCATCGCCATGTTGAAAGTCTTCTTCTGACGACAGAAACCGCTGAGCAGCGACACCTTTAAGAGTCGCAAAGGTCGTGCAAGTGAACAACAATATCGAATTTTCATCTGCCACTTTCTGATTTATGTGCACAAACTTTGAATCTTTTCATTACACGAAGCAAAATCTGCAATGAAGAATGTAATGATTTTTGCATTGTGAAATGTATTGAATATGGAAAGTTGTCGAACCACGCGCAACCAAAACAAAATGGCGCGAAAATTAACATCAAAAGTTATGTAAAAAATTATATTTTTTGGTTCAAATTCGCAACCCTCTAAATAAAGTGTAAACAATTCCTTATGGGATCACGTAGAAGATTATGAAAATTCGAGAAACACTCTAAAAGAAAACAGAAATGGGGATTAAAACTGTAAATCTTGTGGCTCTAAGAATGTTGTACGCTTTAAAAATCTTCATATTCTCGAGAGCTGTTAAAAAGTTAAAAAAAAGACATACTTTCATGAAGTTATCATATCATCACGAATATGCCCACGAGGTAAGCATATTCAGATGAAATTTTGAATGGTTGTTTTTTAAACAAAAGGGAAGGAGGTCAGGTATCTTTTAATTTGCCTCTAACAGAACTGATTATTCCAAACGCTTGACGAAAAGTATGATATTTAGGCTAACTCAGTTCAGGAAAAACTGCAATTGGCTCTTTTTTCAAAATTCGGTTGTTTCAGTTCGAAAATTTGGTGCACACAAGTAATGTAAATGAAATTAAAAATCTGTTCGATTTCCGTGCCGGCCGAAAAAAAATCTGTCTCTTTCATTGAAAATTTCTTCTTTCCCTTTTCGGGTAATATTTCAAATCGACCAGTGTTTTCAAGAAATAGAAACACTAATAAAACCATCAAAATTCTTTTGCTAGCCTAAAACGCATTTCATAACCAACCTTCAATGAATTCTCCGACTTGCATACATTATGAATGCGTGACATCACACACTGGGTGTCACGCAAATTTTGTGCGTCACCCAAATCGAAAGCGTGGTAGGGGCGGAGATCAGGATTGTCAGCATCACAATATGTGATAACAATACTTTCATTGTGGATCATCAGGGATTCATGCATTAACTTCAGTTCTCGATCTGAAAAAGAGCTCTCCTTAAGGAGAAGTGTGCTACTGAGGTAAACCATTTAATGTTTATATCCACCGTTAAAAGGGACTTCTAAAAATATATCACTTACCACGACCTTAGATCTCAAGGAGAAGCTTCACCGTTCGAAACTTGTCTTCAAATGCGCAGGTAAGACGAGATTAACAAGTAATTCCCTTGGTTGGTTGTTGAACCGTTAAGAACATCCTTAAGAGTTGCACGAAAACTTTCCTGGAAAAACGGTGTTGAGACTTTTTTTTATGACTGAAAATCTTCGTTTTGCTGGTTCCTTATTATTTTAACTTGGCAATTTTGAAGACAATAAGAGTTTTATTTTTGTATGTTGATGTTGCATAGAATATTACTTCGTTGATAGAGGGAACTTGAACCGGACAAAGACTTGAAGAAATTTCTTGGCTAACAGTTGAGCAGCAAATGAAGATTTTAGATATATGAAAATTCATATATTTGCACTGCGGTGGAGAGATGAAATTTAGAGATCCTCGCAGCTAAGAACACTACTGAAACGAGTATTTGTAAATAGGACCTGAAAAAAATTCAGGCCCGTATGGGATTTGAACCCATGACCTCTGCGATACCGGTGCAGCGCTCTACCAATTGAGCTAACAAGCCAACTGGGAGCTGGTCAATGAATTGGGTCCAAATAAACATCCAAGTGAATGAAGATTTTAGATATATGAAAATTCATATATTTGCACTGCGGTGGAGAGATGAAATTTAGAGATCCTCGCAGCTAAGAACACTACTGAAACGAGTAGTTGTAAATAGGACCTGAAAAAAAAATTCAGGCCCGTACGCAATTGCTACAAAAGTACGCTTCCCATGCTCTAATGCTCCCTCGTTGATGAAAAAACATCATTTGCGGGCAAAATATCCAATGGTTTCCTTCTTGTTGTCACGCAGAATATTCACTTCTCTCCCTGATAGAATTACTAATTCTTTGTTTACTAAGCCCCTTTGAGCTCGATATTGTGAAGGTAGATAAAACGAAAGAAAATGATGTTTGAAACCCGGACTACCAGAGTTTATATTCCTCTGATAATAAAGGTTCAGCTTGCAGACTGATTCTCCAAATATATAATACTGGCACCAATACTTTCAAAATGGTTAAGTAGAAGTTTATTGAATTCTTTCACTGATTTGTTATTCATTGTAACGGTTCCGTAGCCGGCTGGATAATGAGTCTGTGTAATTTAGATGTAATCATGAGATTCAGTGCCCTATTGTAAATCGCTCAAATTGTCCTTTACTTGCACTGCTGAAGGAATTTCTGGCGGTTTCCCCACTCAGTCTGACAATTAGAAATCGAAGCCTGGAGACTATCATTCTGCCAATATGAGATCGCAAGGTGGGCCCACCCTTAATGTTAGAGATGAAGTCTGTCCAGTCACAAGGGAATTTTAAACCTGAGAAATTATCATATGACCTCTAGACCCGACGCGCCAAAGTCAATTTGTCTTCCTGACTGGAAATTTCTCCAGGACGAAAATTATGCAAGAGATGTTCATATCGTAAACAATGACGTGTAATTGTGTGATTTAGATGTAATCATGAGATTCAGTGCCCTATTGTAAATCGCTCAAATTGTCCTCAACTTGCACTGCTGAAGGAATTTCTGGCGGTTTCCCCACTCAGTCTGACAATTAGAAATCGAAGCCTGGAGACTATCATTCTGCCAATATGAGATCGCAAGGTGGGCCCACCCTTAATGTTAAAGATGAAGTCTAGATGAAGTCTGTCCAGTCACAAGGGAATTTTAAACCTGAGAAATTATCATATGACCTCTAGACCCGACGCGCCAAAGTCAATTTGTCTTCCTGACTGGAAATTTCTCCAGGACGAAAATTATGCAAGAGATGTTGATATCGTAAACAATGACGTGTAATTGTGTGATTTAGATGTAATCATGAGATTCAGTGCCCTATTGTAAATCGCTCAAATTGTCCTCAACTTGCACTGCTGAAGGAATTTCTGGCGGTTTCCCCACTCAGTCTGACAATTAGAAATCGAAGCCTGGAGACTATCATTCTGCCAATATGAGATCGCAAGGTGGGCCCACCCTTAATGTTAAAGATGAAGTCTAGATGAAGTCTGTCCAGTCACAAGGGAATTTTAAACCTGAGAAATTATCATATGACCTCTAGACCCGACGCGCCAAAGTCAATTTGTCTTCCTGACTGGAAATTTCTCCAGGACGAAAATTATGCAAGAGATGTTGATATCGTAAACAATGACGTGTAATTCAGGACCTGAAACATGCGCCGCGCATGAAAGTCAAGATATTTTTCTCAACCATGATCTCAGTTCTTAATTGCTGGCATCGACGATTTGCGGCAGCGTTTCTCTTTTGTAAAGAAAGACAAAGAAAGAGAATAATCATTGAATTTACCAGGAATAATAACCTTTAGTTCTAGAAAGTGCAGTTGTAAAGAATTCTTGGCATTGTTTGATTTCATGAATAAGTCATCTTCGGGGACTATAGACTCAGTACGACTATATAAAATCCAACACACCTGACATAAAATCAAATAAGTTTATTTTGGGTGACCCTAATGAGGAACAACCTTATGCTGCCTATTCGTGATCGTCATTAAATTGTTATGTTGGTGGCGACACTCTGTTTTGAGTGTATTAACGCAATTTTAATTAACTGAAGTGGTAAAAACTCATTAAGAAACCTTTCCACGTTCTAATTCATTTGGGGACTAACCGATGGGAGCTTTGGGGACTAATTTACTAACACGTTGAGCACTTTCACTAGGCAATGTAAAATTTAAATGATATTAGCAAGAGTAAGATCTTTTGTTGTTTGTTTACTCAGAAGTTGCTTGGAAATCTGTCGTCGAAACTCTCCGTTGAAACAAATATTATCGACTGCCCTTCTACGTTTCGGCGCTCTGTACTATTTCAGTTTAATGCCTTGAAACTCCTCGGTTCCTTAGAATTGATGACAGCGTTGTTTATTGATTTATAGGAATTCTTAGCTTTGCCAAGCCGTTAATCTGCCAAATCTTTGAGCTTTCCGAACCCTTTGTGTCCGCTTGAATAAAACTGCCTCAGTTAATTGAAAGATACCTTGTGTATTTGTTCTCATTTACTCACTGCAAGGTCAAAGAATCTCTTTCATTAAGCACCATTTAGCTGGCAAAATGAACTAGAGGGATCTTCAAAGATTAAACTGTCATTCCAGGGATTAAATCGCTTACTCTCGTAAACAAGTTAGACGAGAAGGTTATAGTAAGCGCAAGAGCAAATCACGACAGATTAAGCACACAGGTGAGGATTAACTTAATATCAGCTTGGAGAGGTACTTCTTGATATGAGTTTAGTTATATTTCGTAAAGTCATGGCTCCCTTTGGAAATTGGTCAAATCGTACTCAGCTTCCGTAGTCTTTCGCTTCTTATTGCAAGAGACACACCATAAATCAGGTTTTCTCAAAGCTTATTTATTTATTCATTTTTTTTATCTATTTGTTGAACGGCAATATTTAACCAAACTGGCCCAGATCAGCTGTAAGCTGGTTTAAATGGGGGCATGTAGATAGATTTCCCTTCCATGAGGTGTTTCTGCTAAGGCATAATCCAGTTTTAAGGACGATTGTCTTCGGAAGTCAAATTTTATTGATCGTCAATACACCGCTTAATGTAGAAGCCCTCACTCCTTTTATATCATATATATAAAGTCTCGCGGGCGAGGTTCATTTTCTTAAAATTTAATCTCGTGCATTTGCAGGTATCATTTAATTTCCCCTGGTGTACCATCAGGTCATTTTCTCTCAACCCCTTTGGTAAATTCTTAGTTAAGTCCATAGTTGGCTTCTCTTCCTTTTTAAGGGATTCAAGACAAAGTTGTCCACGCTCACTTTTCCTGAACTGTGTTTGCAAAGGGAATGCTTCGTTCCAAATTCAAAGTTTTTCGGGATTCACGGATTGCTATTGATTTGA